ATCATCTCTTTCTTCAGTCTCTCAAACTGTTTTGATTTATATACTGTATCATTAGTGCATTTTTATTTCCACTTTTCTTTCATTTTTAGCATTGTAAACTCCGGGGTTTGCCGGTGAACATGTCAGAGCTTTTCAAAAATAACTTCTTTTTTTTCCATTTTATTCCAAGATCTTAACTTATTGCGCAACTGGTACACTATATTTCAAAATAGTAGAAATGTAAACAATAAAAAGACATGGTTGTGTTTGAGAAAGAGTAGACACATGCAGTCATTAGAGATCGCACATCTATGTGCTCAATCATTAGCGACTCTCTGTGGCAAATTTTAAGTTGATTACATTTTCATTATCATTATTTTCAGTATAAACACAGATTTAAATAGTTTAATAGGATTTCAGTTAATTTACCTACCTAAAAGTGCTTACAGGTGTTAGAGAGTAATTCTAAGTTTATCAAAACAAAGTGTTGTAAAGGTTTCCTGATGACACTTCTGTGGTAGTAAGCTTAAAAAAAGAAACCACTGACACAGTGTATGAGCCAAATCTCAGATATTCTCCAAATCACACCTCATTAGAATTAACACAGAAACAAACTTACAACCTCGTTTTCAAAAAGTTGGGTTGCTGTGTAAACTGTTTAAGAAAACAGAATTTGATGATTTGCAAATTATTTAAACAACAAAATGATTTCAAAATAATGACAGGAAACATATCAAAGTTGGGAATAAAACTCAATTTATCAGGTGAATTTGAAAACAGATCACTGGGTATTAAAAGGCGCTCTGTGAAAAACCATGTGAGCAACTAAATCAACAAATCCAGATTAACGCTTCTCAGAAAAAAAGGGAATTTACTATATGCAGTAGGCTGCACAGTACCATGAAGAGATTCAGAGAATCTGGGAAAACTCTGTAAAAACAAACAAGGCCAGAAACCAATGAATGTGATCTTTGTGCCCTCAGGCAGCACTGCACTGCACTGCATGCTGTTGTGTCTGTTGTAGAAATCACTGCAAGTCACTTCCAAAAACCATTTTAGATGGACTTTTAGGTTTTCTACGTCATTATTTAGAGCTGCTGTTTCATTCTTGAAAATACTACTGAGTATGAATAATATCGATAGAATGAGTGGATTCAAACACAGCCATATACTGAACTGTTGATGGTCAAGAAGAGGGTAATACAGGCATACAGCTGTGAGAACAAAGACAGAAGGTGTGGGGGAAAAGATAAAGTTAGAAAGTTATCTTGTACTCTGATATTTTACTTTTAGTTTCAGAAAGTTCTCGGTGGTTCCACAATTGAAATTAGTTCACATAATAAAACAGTGAATCATTTCAGGTCATGCAAAACTAAATCCCAAACTGATTAAAGGTAGCTGAAACTTTGAAGATGACTTGAAAGGGAGTTTTTAGAAATTGTCACAAAGAGCACTCTAATATTTCATCCAATTTGCCCTTGTATTAATAAGCTGAAACAACTACTTTTATGTTCCCTCTGCATGAATCAAAGGCGTGTGAGGCTACCTCAGTAGTCCCCTGATGAAACACAATCCTGTTTCTTGTGTCCTGCCTTTAGAAATGAATGCCCTTAGCAGAACCATTGCAATTATAAAGCAATTACAGTTTCACATGGCCTCTTCTTTTGAGGCTTGGGAGAGAGAGGAGGAGGAGGTAAAAGCTTGATAGTTAGGAAAGAAAAAGTGTGCAAATATTGGTGCTCCTTTTTCCCAATTGATCTACATGCACTCCACTTCTGCGACCACAGTTAGTGATATTTTCACTCTATCAAGATGAAAATTAAATGAAAAACGTTCTTTGATAATTGCTCTGCTATTATTCCTGCACTTATATGAACCTTGAGAGCCGGAGTTCATTCTCTACAAAACAATGTCAGGGAAGGAGCTGTTATTGTGTGTGTGATATTTGATAGGTCTGCTATGGTAACAATGGCTCCACATGCACACATAGACACAAAAACACGCACATTTAGTCCAACTGAACTGGCACTACTTGACTGGCAGTATGCCAGAGGCCCACACCTGCTCTGACTTCCTTAAACTCCCTTTTCCTTCTTTGCTATTTGACGTGCGATGAAATCATAATAACTATCTTTCTGTGCTTTTGGCTGAATATGAAGTCCACCACCTGACTTACCCTTTGATATGAGAGCTCTTATAATCACTTCCTATGCAGCCACCATGAATACATTGCAGCCACATGGTAGCAATATGTCAAGCTCATACTGCAGTCATGTTAAATTGAAGGTCTCTGTTTTGGAGGTGCTGGTCTGGGAACAGCCTTAAATTCTCTGCTTCTTTCTGGAGGTGCTAACATGCCCAGAGGCGGATCAGGAAGGAAAATTGATATCTGCACGGATGTGTGAAAGACGCGGCTCCCCAATCTGTGAGTCTCAAATTGGAGGTCAATCATCCCTGTTCTAGCAGCTGCATGTTGCATATCAGTGACCATAGAGGAAAACAGCTATTTCTGTGTTAAGAGGCAGCATTTATGTAACCAAATTTATTTCAAAGCTTCAGGCAAGTGTTTTCTTTTCATAGTTGAAATCTAAGAGATTCAAACCTTTAATTTCACAAGAAACTTGGCTGGTCGTGATTTCAAGGCGCCCCAGAAAAGTTTAATCAGACTCTTAACTGAACTCTTCCTCACTCTGCTGGACCTCTTCAGCTTTTTGTCATTGAGGTTTGGACACAATTCATGGGGGCAGGAACTGTTTTGCATAAAATTTGCGGCAATTTCACCTTCTTCTGTCTGGCTGTTGGCATTTTCCAGATGTGCCACAATAGATGTTTCCACATGTGCATAATAGAAGGAAACCAAATATTACTCAGTTCATGTTATCATGCCAGATGGGAAATTTCATATTTGGGAAAACTTATCCTTTAAGGACTCTCTCTATCAGCGGTCGAAGAAAAAGTGAAGAATTAAGGTCAATCTGGTGATGGAAACAAAACTGACCACGTGCGATAAACTGCTATCACCATTGCGGTATCAGACCATTGTCAAAATACAATACAAGAGCTTTATTGATCCCCAAAGAGAAATTCATCAAATGGTGATGTCTTTAATAAATTTATTGTATTTCAGTGATTATCCCCTACTGCATTGAAATTATTGTGCTGTAAAGCCCCTGTAAGGAGTTTTTCTCTGCTTATAAAACCACCTTTAATTAGTATTGATGCCTCTTAATGACCAGCAAAGCAAACAAGATTATCACTTCCAAGACTGATGATTTCTATGTAGTTTTATAATGTCTCAAACTGCCGGTGGGGGTAGGTGTCAGTCATATTGATAAACTGCACACCTATTTTACTTTTCCATGGACAAAATTGTAATGAGTGATTCATTTTAGTGTTAAAATCACGTAGGGTGGGACAGTTTGTTAAAAAACAAGACTAGCAAATGTTCAGGACAAAATCAGGACAGAGATGAGAGATAGCTACCCTCAAAATCAGCATAAATAATAGTAAGTTACTCACTTAACCAAACTGGTTGTGAATTTTGGTATTATAGAAAAAAATTAAATTAATTGCATTAAATTGGATAAAAAAGCGTACCAACCAAAAACATATTTCCTTGACACAAACGACTCAATGTGTCATTATTAAATATTTTTTAACCTTCTTCCTGTGTTAACTTTACTACTCACCCACCATGTTAACGGTCGGTTTTGACCTGTGTTTTAAATCAGCTGTAAATTACACTAAAAACATTTCTCTATCATTTAGTTTGGTTCTCATCTCTAGGTTACCTTGTTAAGCTTTATTATCAATGAAAATATTGCATATAATATTTTTTGTTGTGGGTCTCTGGGCCTTTCTTTGTCAGTATACCACTCACACAGATATCCATACTGAACTGATCTCATATGTCTGGACATGCCCAACGTTGTTTTTTTTTTTGTGCAGGGAAAAACATGACAAAATAAGAATTTCCTAAATCTCACATGATTGGAAGAGGATCTGACTATCAATGTGGTGCCTGACAGTGCGCATAAGATTTCAGTTTTTGCTGCCATTATATAAAAAAATAATAATAAAAAATAATAATAATAATGTTTATCACTTTATTTATTACTTACTTTATTTGTATAGAACTTTTAAAGACAGAAGTTTACAAAGTGCTTTGACATATAGTCATAGAGCACGTGGAAAGGGACAGATAAAAACAAAAAGCTTAGTTAAAACGGAATTGAAGGCCATTTTAATGTCATAAGTAACCCAGACAATTTAATTTTTTTATCTTTATTTTGTTGAAATAGAGGTTCCTGACAAAGTCAACAAGTCTTGATGCGAAAAAAGCTCTTCTAAGTGGTTCTTTTAAGCATTTTGAACAAAAATGGGTCAGTGCAGACCCTAACACAGGAGGAGGCTTAAATCCACAAAACAAACCATTTTCATACTATTTCACTAACTGTGTAAAGTTCTACTGTTGCTTCACTTTAGAAAACACGAAGGTCTTTTAGAATTTAGAATAATAACAAACATATTTTAGAAAATATATATTAAGATTATAGGTTTTTATATATATTTTTTTTATTTATTTTTAAAACACACCTCTTTATTTATTTATTTTTTATTAACATATTTAGCAATTATTAAAACTCTCAATGGGAGACAAATGCAATTGAGATGTACATCTTACTTTTACAGAACAGTGATAATATACATGAGAACAACATAATGTAGAATAGGAAAAACACAAAACTTACAGCAAGGCCTGCCTTTGGAATTCATACAAACAGCAAATGTAAATATTAGATCATTAATAATTCATTGAGTTACAACAGTGCATATTTAGTAACATCATCACATAGGTTTTCTAGCTCAAGACTAGAGTTTTTAATTTGTGACAAGGAAGCAGAATAAGATTTAAGTACTCAAACGCACCTCTCACTGTGAGGTGACGGTGCTCTGTTGTCTATTTGTAGTCTTCCATCAACTCGCGAGATTATGAAGCTCGCGCAGCTTCGGCTTGGCACGTGTGCAGCTCTTTTTTTTCTTTTTTTTTTAAGTGTGGCTCTCTCAGCTGCCGAGGCGGATGATGATGATGGCGGAGCTGGTTCAGGGACAGGCCTCGGTGGCTCAGCCCGGAACGAAAGATGACTTCGCAGACACGATACGCCGGGTCCGACAGGTAAAACACGCTCTGGCGAAGACGAACGTGGTGCTTCGGGACCACGAAGGACGAGTCCGCGTGAGGAACCGGGCTGGACTTTTTTTAGTCGGGGCACCCCAGACCCCCCTACTACTACTACAAACACTCCTCATGTACCAAGCGAGCTAGCAGGCTAACGATAAGTAGCAGAGAGGACAGATTAGAGTTTCCACCGGCTGAAGATGCGTTCACGTACTCCGTTTAAACCGTCACGGACACGAGGCGAGTCGTGTTTCACGTGCACCGTGAAGGCCTCTGAAAATGTCGAAGTTTGTGCAACTTTACTAAGTTAAGCCAACACTCTGCAACCTGTTGTCAAGTCACAGAAGTTGTAGTTAGCTCAACTCGCTACCTTACTATCACAAATTTAGCACCTCCTAGCTCGGCTCGCGTCGTGTCTGAAAATAACATTCAGTTAAAAAACGAGAAAATTAGACGAGAGAGAGGAAGTGTCAGAAAGTTAGCATGCTAGTTTTGAAGTTAGCTTAACTGCTCGTTGCCCCCAGTTAAAGAGACAAGAGCTCATCAAGCTACTACATGTTATACTGGCGTTTCAACCCCACTTTAGCCTCATTAACTCAATATCTCACTCGTACATGCGGGACTTTAAGCACATTTTTGGACGTAATTCGGCGTCTGAGTCGGCTAGCGGAGCTGAGGTCGGCTAGTTAGCATGTGTGGTACTCTGTGTCCCAACAGGCAGCGTTGGAGTAAGGCCATGCCGTGTAATGTAGCGTCATCTGGTCAAACAACCTCCCCCCTCCTCGCCTCCTGTTGAGCACACTTGGATTTTTCCACTAGTGTTCAGATAAAAAAGCTAATAAATGATCACCCACTATTGCAGCCTGAATGAACCCCCCTCACTGGTTAAATAGTTTTAATTGTGACGGGGGCAGAGATAGTCAGGCGTCCATGAGGTAGAGCTGTTTCAGCTTTCTGTCATCATATCCCAGTGATTGTACTGTTTAATGTGTGGTTTATATCCCAAGTGTAAAAAAAATATGTTCCTACACCTTCTAGTCGCTTAATATATCATTGAAAAAGTCAGATCTTTTCATAACTTTCCCAAAATATCTTAAAGGGATATTCCAGCGTAAAATTAATTTAGGGTCAAACACACCGTAACACCCATAGAGTGTATATACTATGGACAACTTGGTTCTACCTTCCGCTAATATACGGATTTGAAGCCAAAAAGCTCTCGCTAATTCTGCGATTTTTCTCCACTTCCTGAAACCAACATTGCGCAATAGCATTGTACGCATTCGGCGAGAGAGTCGCTGTGATGATGCTCGACTCAAACAGTGTATCCCCCTGGCTGAGCTACGCAATCTTCGTACCCCCAAAGGCTGTATCAGGTGTCAATCTCAGAAAACATGAACCCCCTTATAACTTTTAAAAATGGAGCTGTACAGAAAAAGAGGACCTGAGCACAAACCAGTCTTATAATGACTAAGTGTCAGCATTGCAAGCAGGGGGTAGAAAAAATTATGTTCAGTGTAATAAATTTCTAAAGTTTGTCCACAGCCCCATAAGCCTTGCTGGCAGAGGTGGGATTTATGACCTATACTGCAGCCTGTCGCCAGAGCGTGCTGTTCTTCACCCAGCGAGGAGGCAGATGCTGTCCATTCTATATACAGTCTATGGTAACTCTGAGTTAGTCACCCCCTCGAGAGATGAATGTTGCCGACTGACTGTTTCTCTAGTTTTACCAACTTTAGTAACGACCGCACAATAGCAATACACAGTGGTCTGAGGAGCCATAAACAAACCTCAACCAAAACGCCACTCTATAGCCACAAATAATGCTCAGAACAGCACCTAACTTCATCAACAGTACATTTAGGGTCCCAGCCACAGCACTAGCCACCAAACATCTTTTTAACTTTGCCTTATTTCTTTAGCAAAGAGACTAAACACAACTCACTTACTCTCTTCCAGCAGCCGCTTGTTTGTAGCGAGACCTCTGGCCACTCCATTACAGACTACAGTGGGGTGACACAGCTCAAGGAATTTCCCCCATGGGGGGTCAATAAAGGAATATTCTATTCTAGGAAGAACATTTACTAGAACTACCGCATCTGCAGTGCAAAATTATTAATATGGTGAACATTACTTCAAGGAAATGATAAAGAAATTATAAATGTTCTTCCTTGAGCTGCGTCACCCCGCTGTAGGGCTTTCTTACTCAGTGTTACGACGTGTTTGACCCTAAATTAATTTTATGCCGGAATATCCCTTTAATATCCCAAGTGTAAAAAAATACTGTTCCTACGCCTTCTAATCTCTAAATATATATCATTGAAAGGTCATATATTTTCATCACTGTCCCAAGATATCTTAACTGCACATTGACCAGTTATAATATTATGAACACTAATGCAGTCAATCAGAAGTCTCCCGTATCTTCTTACAGAGAGCTTCTCAATCAGTTTTTTTTGGGCATGCAGGTGGTAGTTGTGGCACTGTTGTGTTGTGTGTTATAGAAAAAGCTGCACCTCACATTCCTAATATTTCATTCACTTTATTAGCAAATGTTAGGATGGCAAATTATTAGGAACACTTTTCAATATAATCCACACTATACACCATTCACATAAGCCCCAATAGCTGATGTAAAAAAAAAAACAAAAAACTTGAAGAACAACTCTTACCTGTCTGTTCATGTCACTACAACTGAAATTGTTGAGTGTGAAAAATGGACCCAAGTTAGACCAGTTGAGCTCTCCCTGACATAAAAAATCAAGTTCTTCGTGTTTCAATTACAGTATTTATATCATGAAAATGTCAAATCTCCGTGAACCTGTTCTTCAACTGAAGCCTCTAAATAGGGTCATTTAAATTTGTGAATACATTCAATCAAACTTTAAACACACTCACATTATAACGTGCCATTCCCAGTGCCAAACCCCTCCTTCCTCCATTTTGCCGTATTAAAGGTCACACCTTGTCCACAAAGGGAACGACAACAACAAGAGGTTTCATAAAGGCTGTAACTCTAAGCAACAATAGTTCAAATACCAGGGACCTGAGTGTGGATCTTTTCACACAGTCTGTGTATGTCCCTGTGTTATGTTGTGTATTTGGTTGTGAAGTGTGTTAACATGCGAGTGCTGCTGTGTACTTGTTAGAAAAAGGGAAGTTGTGCTGTTGTTACCAGCACTATCATATGACAAAAGAGGCACAAGTGTAGGAGATAGGAAGTGGACGGCTTGTTCCAAAGCCCCTTTACACTAGTTTGAGTTTTGCATGTGTGTGTGAGTGTGTGTGTGTTTGGGTAAAGGGGTGAGTTCTCACAGATGCAGCTGAATCACTCACTCGCTTTCATGTCAAATCTTGAAGCTTCATATTCACTAGTATAGTGTGTGTGTGTTTGTGTCGGATATCGCATCAGCTCCGATTAACAGATGCAGGTCTGGAATTTGATTTGCCTCCTCATGATGTGTGTGGCTTTTACTGTCAAAATGTACAGCTTTAATCCAGATACAACCTTAGAGACGGACCCTCTATGATTAGATAAAAAAGGCAATCAAAGTCTAAAAAAAGACCTTTATATACTCTGTGAAAAAGTCTTACTGCAAAGCACATTTGGACAAGATGTTCTTGGACCCAAAATATATTCTAGTGGTCATGTGACCACGTATCACGTGACTTCTTTGTCTCATTTTAGACAAATCAGGCTTTTACACTCACATCCTAAGGCCGGAGTCATGAAGCCTGACTGAGTATAGCCAATGTTGATGTTTTACATGTATGTATTTATCCTGTGTATACTACATTTGATCTGCAGAGATTACATTCTTGATATGAGCTGGTAAAATATGAAATGTTTATTTTCTATGAATTTAAGAGGTTGTAAAAGTTCCTAACTTAAATACGACACAGCACCATCCCTGTGACTTGTTCTTTTCTCTACACACTAAAACATAACAACAGGCCCAAGTTACAGTGGACAGGAGCTGTTGAACTATTTTTTAAAGCTCGGTGAACTGATGACGGCTCAGCGTGGAAGAAAGTCTAAAGCAGGAAAAAGAGTAAAACAGGCTTCATATACCAACTGTGTTTGCTTGAGCTCCATCAAATCATCAAATACATTTAATCAGAGCTGTTCGGTTTATCTTGGCTCAGACCAAAATTTAGAAATCCTAATCCTAAAAAAACAAAAACAAATTATGCACTTTAAAGTAATATCACTGAACTGTACCCTCATCTACAAGGTCCTCCACTCACTGTAGAAAATGAGGAAAGACATCTTTGATTGGCTCTCACTCTAATAGTGTGAATATTCATTCTAAATCTTAAACATCAGACATATTTGGAAGTAGTTAAGAGTGGATTTGTAAAACCCTCGTGTGGCGAGGTAACCAGGACCAAATCTGTCTTACTGTTGACATAGTTTAATTAATAGAAACTGCTTGTAGTTAATCAATCATGATTGTTTATCTTTCCTGAACACATGAAGGAATTTAACTGAAGTAGAAACACCCTCCTCCTCCTCCCTGTTTTAGACACACGCAGCTGTCTGTGCAGAAACACCTCAGGTATCTGTCTGAGTGAAACAAAATTCTCCGATGTTGAACAATTTTCCCTGAATACAGTCTTAATCTTAAATGTGTTTTTAGACTGTTCATAATATGTGGCTGTTTCAATGTTGTGGAAAAAAAAAAAAAAAGGCAACCTCACACCTGCTTCCTTTTCTGCCTCTTATTTCCATCTCACCCCCCCTCACTCTCACTCGTAGGCTCTGAAGTAGATAATCGTCCCTGAAGGTGTTGGAGGACTCTAATTGCCGTCTCTATATTTTCATATTGTGAAAAAAAATTCCAGTCAGGCACAGATGTCAATTTAGTGTAATTTTCTGAAATTCTATACTTTAGTGTGGAAGGAGAGGTGGCAGATTAACGGGGGAGTGGAAAATACTGTTGGCACTCCGGAGCAGCAGAAGTGAAGATTTACATGTCCATCACTGCAGAACTTCACTTTTCACTTGAGGTTGTTGTAGATGCAGATTACTAAGCTGTCAAGCAAATGAAGTTGCCTACAGAGACAGTAAAACATGAGTCTGGGGTGTCAAGTTTTAGGGGTTCATCATGTAGTGATTTTCATCCGTGGTATTTCTAAGCACTGATTTAAACAAATCGTCTCTAAATTTCACCTGCAGCTACTTTATATCCTCTCAAACCAACTAAATCAGGAATTTAAAATCTTAATTCCAAGTTCTGAGACTAAATGCAGGATTTTATGGCGCTGTCTTTTCTTCTACATTACCTTTGCACTTGTTGGTAATCCACAAGTCGCCTCTACTTGACAGCCTCTACTTTCTTTTCGAAAAGGAGCGATTTGGTGGTAGTTTTCGGCAGCGCTCACGCCTGTCAGAAGTTTGAGGCTTCCCATCTACAGGTATTTTGTCAAAGATCTGCCATGTGCCATGAAAATCTGTGTCATTTGTTGGTGAGGCATGAAAAGAATTGGTTTGCCCGCACATGGCACGTGCCTCAGGAATCTCCGCAAAATCTGAAGCAGACCGCTCCAAGCTTCTGTCATTTTAAACTTAAGTGCAGTTTTTCCCGCTGCTGTCAAAAAGGAAACCCCTTTGCCAGAGAGAGCAACATTCAGGTGAAACTTCAAAGAAAACTTAAAGCTTTTAGAGAGGCAAGAAAAAGAAATGTCACTCATCATGATGGGTATGTCTAGAGAGAATATCATCACACATCCACTTTGTCACCTCTATTTAATCTGTCTTACTTTTTTGTGTCTCCAGATGGCAGCCAAGATGGGAGGAGACCAGTTGCCCAATATGAACAGCTCCTCGCCAGTTCTAGACCCCTCCCTCTATGGCTTTGGAGGCCAAAAACGTTCCCTAGACAACGGAGGTAAGTTTTAAGCATGTGCACGTACTATCCCCACATATTAAAGCTTCATGTCTTCAGATAGAAACAGTCACACTAATATTGTTGGATATTAATACTGTGGACCTTTTTAACTCTCTAAACATGTTGTACACACCTGTAAGCGTTAAGGTTTTGAGACACTGAGCACTTTCAGTCCTCAACTTTTGAATCTTTGGTTTTAGATTCCACTTAAAAATTTGGAATCCGCCCAAGTAGTATCGACCAATCAGGTTTCAGCTGGCTTTGGCGTGTGTTGGAGAAACAGTCCATGGCTGTGTCTGAAATGAATCCCTAATCCCTAACCCCTAACCCCCATATGGGGTTTTACTATATAGCTGACTATGTAGTGAACTCAATCCCCGGAGGTTTCGGACACTACATGGCAAGACACAATGCATGACGGAATGCCCACCACCGGTGAGTGACCATCAGATGGTCACTACATTTGGCAATGCTCTATGGGAAATTTTGAGTCGCCTATATTGGGCACTGGAATTGATCACTCAGGTTTCGGACACCCCTCAAAATGGCGCTAACCCCCATATAGTCGCCTATATAGGGGTTAGGGATCCATTTCGGACACAGTCCACATGTAAAGCAGGAGCTTGGAATAAATATCCGTGCCATGACATCCCGGTTACTGTTGGCAGATAACTGGTGCTAATTTGTTTATCTCGCATATCTTCATGTAAGAAAGAAATCATCCTTGATGCTGTGTTGCAAAAGCCCAACAGAGGTTCGATTTCTTTTTGTTCGAATCCATAGAAAAAGATTAGTCCAATCTTGATACAACAAAACCATTTTAAAAGTTGTCTTCCCTTTTTAAAGAACAAAGTTTGTACATTTTACTTTTAACAAATCTTTATCATGTTGTGATTTTTAGCAAACTTAAAATCCGCAAATCCTAAGTCAGTCGTTGGTTGTCAGGTTCTGGCCGGTGTAAGCATCTGTGTTTACCGTCGAACTGAGACCTGTGAGCACTTGAAACACTTGAAGGGGCCATATACCAAGAGATGTAATGGACCAAGAAATGACGGCATTTACAGCCAAGACATAAACACAGCACGGAAATGGAAGTCTCTCTTTGCTGGGAGTAGTTTTTGTAACCACAGTGGCTACTATGGCTTCTCAGAAAGTCGGCATCCACTCTGAGTCGTATATCACCCCTCAACGTCAGAAGACAACAGACAGTGATGGAGGATAAACTCGGGTTTGACATATGTTAAGATCAAAGCAATACAGCAAGCTACATTGAGTGACATGGGTAATAGGTGCGGCATACTTAGGGACATCTTTCCGTCTTTGACTACCTGCAGTGCATTTGTAGAAACTCTGGTTATGACAGCGGCACAAGAGGTAGACAGCAAGGGGGAATGGTTGATAGCTGATTGCAATTTGACAGGGACTCACGAGCAACACTGCTGTAACATCGGGTAAATATAATCTGGCTGTCATGTAAATGGTATAGTCACCTTGCAACAACTATTGTGAGCATCCAATACCAAACAGTTTGGAGTAAGTCTCATCAAGACTGTTACTAATACACCTAAAATGTCATGATGTACCTTTTATAGGTCAGTGCTACACCTGGAAGGGAAGACAAACTCAGAAAAAGCCGTCGATGCTTTTCCTTTTTCGCCTCATGCTTCCTCGGCCAATTTAAAACGTTCCACTTTGATTCTTCTTCATGTAGAAATTGGTCTAGTTTTTTGTAGCAGAAACACTGTACTCTGATTTTCGCATTTTTATGTCTGCGTAGAGTTCCAGGATCTCATGCTGCAGTGTAGAGACAGTGTTTCTCTCGCCGTTGCCTTCGCACACAAAGATTTGATCCGTTTCATATCCGTGAAGTGGAAAAAAACAAGTCATTTATCCTGTCCTCCTCTTATCTTGTCATAGTTGTTTGCATGATAGCTCAGCCCTGAATGCATGGATAGATAAATTGTATGCAATTCTGGTTTAGGTTTTGACGCATACTTATTGTTTGCAACAGTTTGTCCTCGGTTTCTTTCAGTCAAGGTTGTCCCACAGAACAGAAACGCCATCTGTGTAGACTACAGGGCGAAATTATCAAACGTACACAAACAGACTCAAAGTATTCACGCTGTATCTTGTAGTCTTGTCCTTGGGTGAATCCGGTAAACCTCCTGCTTTATATTCATAGCTGTTCCGTTCTCAAGCGTTAACCCCGGCGCATTTCCAGAAGAAGTGAAATCAGTGCAAACGACCATAAAATTGATTGAAGCTGCTAGATATCAGCTCAGGTGTTCACGTCCATGGCAGCACATCCTCCGCTGACCCTGCAGGACCCTTGCTCGGTGCTACCTGTCAAAATTCAATTCATGACCGGCAGCCACTGACCCGGCTGCTGCCTCTCGCCTCTGATTGAAACACTCACTCAAACACTCACAAGGCCTGATTACCATGCCGCTGAAAGTCCCCCGCTGAGGGTCAGACACCAGCCACAGAGGATTGGCAGGACCGCATCCATCTGCTCCCATCCCCTCCGGCACTGACGCGCTCATTTTCTGTTTTCTGCTTCGTCAGCTTTCACCTATAAAGAGATTCAGAATCGTATCTGTTTGTAAACATGATCTTAGGTTTTTGCTCGCATGCTAATTGCGTTCCTCTCTTTTCTCAGTAGGGAACCACCTCGGTGCAATGGTACATCAAAGGTGAGCAGACATTTGTTTGAAAATCTATATTTACCGTGAATATGGTGCCATAATTACACTCTAATAATCTAGTTATGACATTTGAATAATGAGAAAATAAAATGGGTCAACAGAAAACTGGTCTATAATCTCCGGTGACCTTTAATTGTTAAAAAGAAAAAGATAATGTGATGGTTTCGCCTTTAAATGTGAGTTAGCGGTTCAAACCAGCCACCTTTGAGTGTTAGAGAGGAACCTGGAAATGCCAGCCTGTGTTCTGAGACGATAATAATGAATGAAGTCATAAATATTTGACCTGATAAAGTCCTTTTTTCATTTAACTCTCTTAATTTTCTACACGCACACGCTGGCTTCAAAAGAGGCTCGTAGGTGAGAGTTATTGATCACATTGTCGTCTCTCTCTCTCTCTCAGGGCTCTGGCGACAGAAGACTTCAAAGTGCCTGATAAGATGGTGGGATTCAGTAAGTCGCTCTGCGGTTCATTATAGTCAGTTTAAATGTTTCACATGCAATCATCAGTATTGATATTCCACTCAGTTTTTTGGGTCACTGCCTCAGGCTCCTGTCTAAAAATCAAAGAGGCTTAAATCTGTCGTTTTCTCCCCCCCCCTCTCCTGTGTAGTCATTGGAAAAGGAGGAGAGCAGATCTCAAGAATTCAGCTGGAATCAGGCTGTAAGATCCAGATCGCTTCTGGTGAGTTGGAAAAAAACCTTCATCTACTTGTGCATTTAGGAGAAACACTGAATCTTAGGAAATCTATGTAGATTTTTTCACATGACTCTATTTTAATCAAGATGTCTTTGTCACCAGTAGGAGTGTTTAACAGGTTGGATGACAGCGATTTCAACACTTTAGTATGATTCAGTAAACATATGAAAATGTGTCAATGTTAAAAACAATATCCCATGACTCTAAAGTTTATTATTTTTGTGTTGCAGTTTTTGAGTATCTGGTGTGAATTTGCTCAGCTGACTGTGTCTAAAAGTTACTCAACTGTTTGCTACAACTTGTACTGAATTCGTCACTTCCTGGTGTTTGACGTTTGAACTCATTTTTAGGGCTGGATAATAAATCATTTGGCCATGAAGCATGCATGTTTGATTATCACACACAGGACATGCAGTTTCATGTGACCTTAAACACATCATGCTATCCCCAGTTTCACTTTTCTAATGATAGGGTCTGATATCACATTAACTCACTCGAACCGCTGTGTATGCCCTTTTTCACCCGTTTTAATTTGATGACTGTGAAGCACCTTGTGAAAACTGTTCTAGAAAGGTGCTATACAAATAAAGATAGGTAGGTAGGTTGAATTTATTGTCCCCGTGAGGAAATTCATTTGCAGTAGGTTAAAAACATGCACAGAGACAGCACACATACACAGTTCCATACACTGTCCCATATAAAACAAAGCAAAACAACTTAATAGACAATATAAAAATTGTACTGTACTGTACGTCTGTGTCAGTGTGTCACATGACTGTCAAATGTAAGCTGTTATGTTTTGCAAAACAGGCACCTAAATGAGCACTAAATCTTGCTATGTAATGTAGAAGTGCTAAAAACTGCAGTTCCTCTAGTGTCCACTTGAGGCCGGCTCCAAAAGCCCTAGAAGCCACTCGCTCATAAAGTCACATCTTGACTTGACTGACAGGTGGGTACAGTTGCTGTTAGCAAGGAGGCTAAAATCTGTTCTCAGCACCTCTAACACACTCACAGTGTAGTGTTGTTAAAGTTACAGGCAGAATAAGATGATGAGTTTCAGTCAATCAGATTACCATCAGAACTCAACAGGCAGATTAAATTTAACTTTGACCATTTCATAAATGATTCATGACTTGTCAGTAAGTCCGATGTGTTTATCAATGAAGTTTATGAAGTTACATGCCGCTCCTCCTGCACTCTGTCCTCTTGACTCTCAGAAACACTCACAGAGGGCTGAACACAGTTTGGTAAAAGTAGGAAGGGAATTCATTTAAAACCAGAAAATAGACTCAAAAATCCAAGTTATTAACAGAGTAGTTGTATCGTTGAAATCTTTAAAAAAAGATGATAAATTAAAAAAAGTGCCGTATATAATAATATCCAAATAAATATCACAGTGTGGTGTTGTTGTTGTTGTTGTGCTGTGTATCTGTTTGTATTTCTGTTTGTATATCTGGTTGTGTATCTGGTTGTGTTTGTCTCTGTATTTGAATAAGGATTGTATTGTTTGTGATATTTTATTTGCATTGACGCATTGCGAGGTCATTTAATGGACCCCAGGAAGAATAGTTTTGGCATTACCATGGCTAATGGGGATCCAAATAAATCAAATCAAATATAACAGGAAGGAAAAAAATTGGTCTATCTAGTATCGTGCAGCTCTACTCAATACAATGGTCATGCCTGTAAACAACACAACTCTGCTGAAACTCATTTTCTCTGTTTAAAATCTTTCTCAGTGAGTTAGTTTGTGTGTGTGGAAGTATTTGAGTTCACAGTCGTATCCTCATTTTTGAGTTTGATATGTGTTTTCTTCAGCTGTTGTGCTCCTTTTGTTGCAGACAGTGGAGGCATGTTGGACCGGCCCTGCACGCTGACCGGCAGCCCAGAGAACATTGAGTAAGTCTCACCTCTCAACTTTGACAGATTTACTAGAACTGCACAGACCATTTGGAGAGTGTGCTCTATTGTCGTGACACAGAGGGCATGAACTCAAATCTCTTTTCACGTCTCCTCTTAATCAGTTACTGAATCACCTGAAAAACCTCTTTTCACGTCTGACAAAGAAAAATGTGACTCAATCGTTGTGGCGCGGGCTCTGTAACTGTGGTGATGAATGTATTCATGCTCCGCCCTCCCCTTCTTCCGCAGGCAGGCCAAGAGGCTGCTGAGCGAGATTGTGGAGCAGTGTCGGTACGGTCCAGGTTTCCACAGCGAGATGGACGGCAACAGCTCGATTCAACAGATCCTCATCCCCGCCAACAAAGTCGGCCTGGTCATCGGCAAAGGAGGAGAGACGATCAAACAACTCCAGGTCTGGTGGTTGAAAACACCGAACAGTTTACCTAACAACTTACTCACCATTGTTGCAGGGAGTGTTCACATGCAACTAAAAGCAGCTCAGAGGTTGAGTTTGTTGAGAAGAGTTCATTTATTCTAACAGTTAAGAAGTGGAAATTAACCAATTATCTTTTAGCTGCAACCTTAGAGGCTCAAAAATGACCAAAACCAGCCATTTTCTTTCTCCTCCCTTATCTAAAACTGCAGTGATTGACTAGAAATGGTTGTAACATCTCAGTGGTCACAAGTGCGGACAACCCCTTCTGTTTTCTACAGGAAAGCTCGATATGTTGAACTGATTCCTTCTAAAGCCGCGTTCAGACCAAACGCGACCAGGTCGCGTCGCGTTGGTTGGTCGGTCAGGTCGCGTCGCGTGGTGCTCTGGTGTGTTCACACCGGGTCCAAAGTTGCAGTCGCAGGTCGCGGCTGGTCGCCGGTGACGTCATCCATGTCACTAGCTCAGTTTTCAGTTCATCAGTGCTGCCGCATATCTGTACATCCGCAGTAGACGCCGCCGGCGTTTATGGGTGCATGAAACCATCCGGAGGAGGACGGAGCTGGGTGAATTTCACCGCTTGCTCCAGGAACTCCGCCTGGACGACGGCCGCTTCCAGCGGTATTTCCGTGTGTCGACGGCGCAGTTCGAGGACCTCCTCGCCCAGGTGGGAAGCAGCATCTCCCGCCTGGACACGAAATACAGGCGCTCCATCTCAGCTTCGGAGCGCCTGTCTATCTGTCTGTCCCTCATATAAACGTCTCTAAGCCCCTTCCACCGCTTGCGGCACACATCCACTGCAAAGACACACACACACATACGTTGAAACATGTAGCCTAGCAAGCAGGGGCAGTTAGCTGGGTGGTAGCTAACGGATGTGATTAACTGCTCCTCCATTGTGATTCTTCTTCTCCTCTTCCTTGTTTCGCCGGTTTGTTGACGTCAGCAGAGCCGTGATTGGCTGTCGCGGCACGAAGTCGCTCCCAAAGTTCAAATATTTGAACTTTGGGAGCGACGCGACTTGGCGTCCTGCGACCTCAGCGACGCGACCTCGGGGACGCGCCTTGGCGACCGGTCGCCCGGTCGCGCATGGTCGCGTCGCAGGAAGCCGGCGGTCGCCAAGTCGCGTCAGGTCGCGGCTGGCCATAGACTTTGCATTGGGAGCCGTCGCCAAGTCGCGTCAGGTCGCGGCTGGTCTGAACGCGGCTTAAGACTTGCCTTGTCATATACAGCGTTTGTTCGAGTATTTATAACCACACCTGGGGTAAAAATTCCAAGACTACTCTGGATAATTTCTTGAATCATTATCTCTAAATGCTCAAAGCAATTTTATTCCACTGCGTGTGTTGATTTTCAGTACAGATTCCTAGTTCTGCGTCATCGATTCGATCAAGCCAAACAAACAGTTGCTTCAAGCTGCTGCTTGTTTTATTGGATCAGGAGTGGTCTAACATCATCCTGCAGCAACTGACGGAGAACATTCAAAGGCACATGAACGCTGTGATAAAAGAATTAGTCTAAACTCCTCTGAGTCAAAACATTACTATTCTATTGTTTATTTAGTCATTTAAAGCACTGTAAAATCAACAAAGACATATTTAGACGTGGATTTAGATTAATAAAGATGTTTTTTGTTTTTGTTTTTTGTTTTACTTGAGAAAATATTAATTGAAGAAACATTTCAGAGAGCTGTAAATGTTTCCACATCCTTCAGAGTTGTCTCAGGTTGTCAGGATCGTGTCAGGATAGTAAACCCTGTACTTAAAGTTGTTGCAGTGTTTCCTCTCCTCACAGCAAACAGTGTTTTTGAGCCCCAGGTATCTCTCTGATGTGTGTTTTTGGGTCCGTCTGATTGTACCCCTGCAGGAGAGAACAGGAGTGCAGATGATAATGATTCAGGATGACCCCATGCCCACTGGAGCGGACAAGCCCCTGAGAATCACTGGGGATCCCCACAAAGTGCAGGTCGGTCTGTGAAGAGCTCAGTGTGAGCCGCTGTCTTTCCTGTTTACACTCAATTTTACACATTTGATGCCCTTCTACTTCCACTCAGATCTTTCTTTTTATTGAGAGGATTCAGCAGCACTTGTTTTATGCTCCCTGCGCAGCATTTTGTTGCAATGTGATTTTTATTTCGTAAAGATTAAACCCTTTTTAAATCTTGATAACAGCAAGCCCGTGAACTCGTGGTGAAGCTCATCCGGGATAAAGACCAAGGAGACTTCAGGGTTGGCAGAGCTGACTTTGGAACCAAAATGGGGGGCAGCAGTCTGGACGTGAGGGTCTTTCTCTGCTCTTCAAATTCTTAAAAGTTTGGATGTTGCCATTCATTCACATGTATTCGTATCGATGCCTTTTATCATCCAGGTGGTCGTGCCCAGATTTGCTGTCGGCATTATCATCGGCAGGAACGGAGAGATGATCAAGAAGATTCAGAACGATGCAGGAGTCAGGATTCAGTTCAAACAAGGTGAGAGGATGAAGCTGGACCTCCTGCTACCCACCAATTAAAACAAGTAGAAACATGGACTTATCAAATCTATTTTCACAAGTGTGGCGAGAAACAGACCGCAAACTGGGGTAGTAATGCTGCTGATTATGAACAAATCGACGTGTACTATGAAATCAAGACTATGAGTTGCATCTGTATTAAAGCTGCAGGCTGTTGTTGTTTCCCAGTTTCTGAGCTGTTGTCTGCCTCTTTCTTGTTCCATCTGTTTTTGCCATGTGCAGTTTGCTGTCCTGCTTTCTTACTGTAAACTAGTCCAGCTCAGCCTGCAATGACTCTAAAAGTTGGGAAGCTCACGACCAACTTTCCTGGATTACCTAAAGTTGCCCAAACTTGAGCCATCTGTTAGAGGCCTAACCTCTGTTTACAGGGCATGCACTGAATCCACTAGGCTAGCAGCTCCCCTTTCACATAGTTACCTCACTTAATATTATATCAGTGTTTTTTATTCTAGTGCATGATCAAGACTTGGAGAGATAGGAAAGTGGTTAAAAGTGATGAAGCTTTAGCTGGGGTAGTGGTATTTTCTGGGATTATAGATATGATCATACAGAAAATACCTCTCAGTGTTTTTGTTTTGAGTTAGTGGTTGCACTAGTGTACAGGATGCACTCCTCTCTTTGTGTAAAATCAACAGTTTGAAAGTGCGTCTGTGCACCAAGTTTTAGGATAGCTGTGCGGAAACTGTAGCAACTTCAGGGAAGAGAAAAAAACTACACAATTATTTTTTTCCTGTACAATAATCGGTGACATTATTATATCGGTGACAAAATCACGACATAAACCTGCAACCAGCAGATGTCTGTTTTTTTTTTTTTTTTACTTTATCTCATGGACTCATACTCGTAGTGCTAATGTAAATAATTCCATTTCAGACTGTTAATCTGGATTTTGTATTCTTTGTGTTGATAAACCAGATGATGGCGTGAGTCCTGACAGAGTTGCTCAGGTAATGGGCCAGCCAGACCACTGCCACCACGCAGTCCACCTCATCAATGAGCTCGTTCAGACCGCTCAGGTACGTCCTCCTCTCTCTTCACAGACGACATCAGTCCATTTATAGATATTATCTTATACGTTGTGTGAAGAATTTAGAAATTAAACCTTTTCATGGGTTTGTAGAAGTGACAAATAAGCTAAAGGTTTAATACCGTTGAATTGAGAAGCCTAAAGTGTCAACAACAGAATTTGTGGATACCAGAGTTGATGACATTTTTGTCGATTTTTAAATGCATGTTTCCTCTCTTGACATCTTCCAAAAACTGCTTGTAAAAAATTTCTTAATTATTTTTCATTCCTGGTCGTCCTCTGTAGGAGCGAGATGGATTTGGCGGTATGATGGGACGTCGGGGGCGAGGTGACTGCAGCATGGGAGGACCCGGAGGACTGCAGGAGGTGACATATGCAGTACCTGCTGACAAATGTGGACTGGTGATTGGCAAAGGTAACAGACTGACCACCCTTCTTGACTTTTTAAATTGACTTTGTGCCGTGTCTAAACTCCTTTTGTAGCTGTCTTGAATTTCAAAGTTGATCTGAAGGAGTTCTTGAGCTTTACTGATTTTTATTCCCTCAGATTTTCACACAAAGATCATCAACATTATCACTTTTATTCAGAGTAAATCCAACTGCCACATTAGCTTTTCCCCCTTTTTAATAAGTGAAAGCTGTTTGATGAGCTGCCTCTGCGTGAAACTGATGAGAAGAGGGGGGGGGGGAGTGACCACCCTCCTATTCTCCCTCCGGGGCTCATGTATACAGCACAAGTGGCATTCATTGGCTTCACTAAGGGCTTAATGACGGGGATAATGCGTGTAATGTGACATTAATTGTTAAAGGTGCATAATAACAGCCCTCAATCATGTGGAAGGCTGCCTGGCATCTAATGAGGGTCTTTCAGCCCAATAGAGTGCAGCGAGGGAATGAATAGGAGGAATTAGCTTATTGGCTATTCATGCCCACTCTATTGCCAGCTATTTAAAAGTCATTGACCATTGCATTGGAAGGAGCCGTGAGTGTGTGCGCACATCAGCGTGCACGCATGCGGCCTGGGTGTGTGTTTGTGTGCGTGCGTGCGTGCATGTGCAGCGGTGGGCGGGGTCGGAGGGGGCCTCTTTACCTAAGATAAAAACATGGCAATAGAAATGTCAAGTGGCTTTTGTGCATGTAGTGGGCCGAGGGAAACAAATAAACCTGGGCGTAGCGTCCCCCTCTCCGGGCATTAGCATATGAAGTGAGCCAATATGGTGGAGATGGCGGTGGGTCTGGGTGCTGTCAGCCGTCCCTTAAAGGGCGCTGTGATTAATATCTTTACGATGCCATATGCAGCCCATTGCCCCTCTGTTTTGACCCCCTTCACACAGACACACACACACACACACACAGACACACACGGGTTGATGAATCAAGCCACCCACAAACCTGCTCACTGCAAGAGCCGGTATCTTAAAAAGTTTACTGGAGTTAAAACATCTAAAGTCAAAGTTCTTGTAACAACTAGACTTTGAAACTGAGAAATGAGAGTAAAGATTTTCAGCATTTTGTCGTACGTCTCTGTTTGGAGTCGTATTCACCGATCCTGCATCAGCGTTTTTTGTTGTACGCAGGAAAAAAAACAATCAATGTGGAAATCAAAAATCAGAACCTGCAGCTTTGTGATGCAACAGATGATCTCTAACCAGATATCTTCATGTGAGTGCAGCCAACAGTCCGTTCTGGGTCGAAATTTCATATTGAGCAACAAATCTGATTGCCACTGTGTCGCAAAAGCCTATCAGGTTATCAGCAGGCAGATTTCTGGGCTTGGACTTGCAACCTGATCAGATATGATTGACAGAAACGACCTCTGCACAACGAACGGGCATTTTAATGGAGGCATTCTTTATCTGTGGAGGACAGACCTGACAAAGTCTGCTTTCTGTACTTTTTAAAATCTTTACCATGACATTATTTTAAATTTAACACCCATGAAGAGTTAGTAAGTTTTCCTTTTACGTTGTAGCAAAACTGCTCAAGCAAACCCCAAGGATTGCAGGGTTGCATGCACTTTGATTAGAGTAGACATACAGGCAAGGACAATGCAATCCTCATTATCAGTCCTCGTTGTACTTACTATGTAAACAAAAATATCTGTGACCAGGACCAGCAGGGTTTGTCTCTCACAAAAGTACTTCTAAAGGATCATTTATTAGGATTAGGTGTGTAACGATACAATATTGATATTGGTCGAATATCAGCTAAAAAATGAATATGGGATCATATCGGCCTGCATCAAAAATCTCAGATATCAGCACTCCGATACAAACAGTCCATTCCAGACTCAACTCCGGCATCTCTATCCAGCAAGGACTAACAAAGTAGCAAGGAGTAGGAGTGATGTCGGCCCTGTGGCAGTATTTTTCGTGTAAGTCTGAAAAAGATGTTGCAGCTGAGTGCAAAACTAATGCACTGTATTGCACAGTTTTGTGCTAATATCAGATTAATATCGATAACTGTTAATATTGAAGGCTACAAAATCGGTATCGTGTCAGGAGTCAAAAAGTTGTATCAAGACACCCCTAGTTGTGATGAATAACTTTAAGTTATTGATTTATTTCTGCTCAAGAGCAAACCGAAAAAAGCTAAAGCAGTCGTCAGGAGATTGTGTATCAATAAAAAGTCATAAAGTCGCCCAGGTCACCATCATGAAGTCACTTTTTCTCTAAAGTTTGTCTGAAATTATAAAAGTTAATATGCACACCATCAACAGTTAATTCGCCCTTTTAGCTTATTGATTTCATCCACCAGCCCTGGATTGGAGTAAATGTCCGTGTTAGACTCTGTCCGTCTGTGTTATTTGTCCCCCCTGGAGGCCTGAGAGTTTGTCCCCACCAGCAGCTAACCAGTCCCTCAGCTCTGCCTTGAATGCGTCACCAGTTGCACTTTTGTGTCCCTCCTTTTCTCCAGCTCACTAAACCAGTCTCATTAATAAGGCCCGTATTATCTGTCCTCACTACAGCCCAGTCCATGAAATGAATGGTCAGGGTCTTCATTGCTCTCTGCTGTCTGACTAGAAGAGCTCATAATGGCTTCATTAAGGCAGAAGTTTCATTTGGTTGACAATGGGTTAATGGCCCATGTGCAGTCTGTTGGCAGCGAGGAATAGGCCGCGGGAGGGGAGCGCTTTCTGATGAGCGTTTTCATTCGGGGGTCAGCCAGGGTCATCCGAGTGTCAGCCACAAGTGAACAAATGTGTAATTGATGTTGGGACAGCCCCAGTGTCCCCCCGGGAAGCACCCTCAGCCCTTTTTCGTTCAGATGGGCATTGTGGAGGGGAGGAGAGGGGAGAGCGGCTATATGCCCCCCACCCTGGTTCACTCCCTCCTCTCATCACAGAGGACAACACCGAGTCAAGAATGAAAAGGCTAAAAGAGACAAACGATATCCCAGAAGGAGGATACGCTTCAATTTCGGCCCCTTTCTCCTGCCAGCTATGTTTCATTTCTCCCCGCTGGTGTAATTGCTCTCTCCACACGTCGGGAAGCTGGCATCTGATGCCGAGGAGGGGGAGGTGTGCAGAAGATGTCTCCTTTTGTTTCCTGATTTGCATGGATGTTACTGCAGAATGGTAGATAAGTGTTGAGACACATGCCAGAGTCCTCCATAAGGTAGCACCATCACATGACTTCAGTCAAGGGAATCAGTGAGTCTGGTGAAGAGGTGGGCAAAATTTCAACATTAACATAACATGCATGTGTTCAATAGGTTGACTTTTAAAACTTTATTGAAAATACTGAGTATAGACGAGGTTACCCCTTTACTAATGTTGGGGCAAGAAGTAATGGCTTCAATGCAAACATGTTGTCGTCACTGATTGCGTTCAGTTTGTCTGTTGCACGGCTGACACAATCAAATATTGTCAGAATCAATGTTTGAATTGGAAGATTTAGTTCACGTATTGGTCTTCTTGCTTTATTAGAGAGAGATGAAACTTTGGGAAATTACATGCACCAAATCATGTTGAGTCCAGTAAGTAATCCAGGACTCTACAGTGCGACTGTTTCACTCACATTTGTGTCTAAAAAAAAGATGTGTGCGAATAGTTAAATGTATTTGGGGGCACACGTGCGCATAAAAAAATCAGACAAGGAAACACATGGTTTTTCATGTAAATACCGCAGTGACTTAAGTTTTTGGTTTGATATTTGACATTCTTCGGTGTCTTCTCACTCTCTATAACTGGGAACAGCAACAGCAGCGCGGTTAAATCTACTCGGCACCCTCGCTGTCAACGTCGGGTGTTGAATAAGGGACCATCAATAAATTATGGGTTGATGTTCTCAAAAAATGGCTGTTTTCCTTCAATAGCTTCCATGTCATGTGACCAAAAGACCCTTAAATTGATTTCAAATAAAAGTACTAAGGTCAGACAATAAGACACACATTATTTGATCAATTTTCATTTTGCACCAAAAGTTCTTTGTGTGCTCCTTACTGTTTCAACTTAAGAGCACATGTGCTCCTTGTGAAAAAAGTTAGCATCAAGTCTTGAATGTACTTGTTCAAACTCGGGTTAAAAATACTGATGGACAAGGTTATCCCTTTACTAATGTTGTGGCAGGAAGTAATAGCTTCAGTGCAGACATGTTGTCGTCATTGATTGCGTTCAGTTTGTTTGTTGCTCATCTTACAGGCTCAAATATTATCAGAATCAATGTAGAAGTTGTAAGATTTACTTTAGGTTTGGTCGTCTTGCTTTATTTGATAGGACAACTTTAAAGAGAAATGTAACTTAGGGCGAGTTACATGCACCAAATCATGTTAAATCCAGTAACCAATCCTAATACCAGTATTAAGCAGACTGTGGTCTCTGTATGTGAGGTGTCTGCTATGCCATCTGGGCCAAATCAGGGCGTCCCAGGCTGTTGGATTAAAGGTCATTACACACCGGGACCGACGCGAAATTATGAAATATTTGGAGGCGAACTTTGACGCGCCTGACTATACACATCAAGCCCGATGCGATTTTGCGACTTAAACAAAAGAGAGTGGAATGCAGCTTAAGTTAACCATTTCCTGTCCCATGATGCTTTCCCAGGCGGAGAAACCATCAAGAACATCAAAGAGCAGTCTCGTGCCCACGTGGAGCTCCAGAGAAACCCACCGCCCAACACCGACCCCAACGTGCGCATCTTCTCCATCCGAGGCACCCCTCAGCAGTTGGAAAAGGCTCGCCAGCTGATCGATGAGAGGATTGGGGTAGGTGGTCTGCTTTTGTCCGGCTTGATATTCATGAGCGCACATGTCAGCGCGCAGAGCCGCCGGGGTGCGGCTGGTCACTGTGGTCCTGGTGGCCGGCAGGATGTCACCAGAGGTTAAACATGAAGAATCCATCAAATGGACTTAATGGAGTGCACCAGCGGCCGGCCCTGACCTTTGACCTTGCCTGTTGGCTCCCTTTAAACACAAGTGTGGTCTTTGACTCCATTCCTCTTCCCTCTCTCTCTCTGCTCTAGGGCCCAGGGATGGGGGGCAACAGCAGCTTCAGTATGAATCCCTACAACCAAGGACCAACCACTCCACCTCAGCAGTGAGTCCAACCTGTAACCTCTGATCCCAGTTCAGACCAGCACAGTGTCTCCACCAGCAGGAACATGATCGATCATTAATAACTCGCACTTTCAATTTCATTTTGCATCAGTGGGCCTCAGACGTTCATGACCGGTGGAGGATGGGGAACGACTTTTCAAATATGGCAGCCTCAGGGCCAACAGGACCACAGTGAGTAAACACAAACATTTGTACCATATTTTTCGCACTATAAGGCAAACTTGAAATCCTTTTGTTGCTGAGTTATTGAATGAAATAAATAAAGTTTGACTTATCTGACTGCCTTATAGTGCAAAAAATACAGTAGGTTTTAAACAAAACACTGATTAAACCCTGAGTGTGTGGAAGAAACTGAACCTGCAAAAAAAAAAAGCTGAACCCCCCCCCTCTTTATTTTCTCACTCATTATATTTGTTTTATCAGAAAACGGATTACTCGGTTAGAAAAAGCTGAAAAAAATCCAGTTCTTAGGGAGATTTTCTTTTTAAATCATATAAAAAAAATCTGTGTTTGTTTCAGTTCCTCTTTTACATAATAACATTGACTGCATACTTTTAAAATCATCAGCGCCACATTTCCATTGTTGGTCAGTCTGACCCGGCCAGATGTGAACAATCAAAGAATATCAAATCTTACCTTTTGTGCCTTTTACCGGGTTTAATTCCTGCTCCTGATGAATCACTGCGAAGTGCAGATTCTGGATCAGGGTAAAAACATAAGTTTTCTGAATTTAAAGGTCCTTGCACACTGGGACCGGCGCAAATATCCAACACGAAATTACGAAATATTTGGAGGTGAACTTTGACGCACCTGACTATGCACATCAAGCCCAATGTGATTTTGCAACTTTCCGGGGGGGAAAAGATGCGTTCTGGGTGGAAGTGAGAAGACTGACACAACAGCAGACTGTCTGTTTTTCAGTTCTGATTAGACACTAGTGTTGAGATGACTGTCTGTCATGATAGCATGTACTGAGTCGGGGCCAGTACCAGATAAGCACATTAAACTATAATTCATAAATGTAAGGTAACAACCAAGACCTAATGGTGCTGTGACAGCAACGCTATGATTGAGTTTGAGACAGTGAAAATACATATGGTATGTTGTATCTGAACGGTTTAGCTTACGAGCTAAAGTTACTTAGCACAGATGAAAGTTAAAACAAAGACGTTTAGCAAACTGTTAAAGAACACAAACTATTGTCATATGAGAAATCCGACACTATGACTCTCCACAAGTTGTCCTTCGGGTCGTTATCTTTGTAATGTTTGTGTCTTTTATCAAAAAGCACTCTGTTCTCCAACTCGTAAACAATCAGTCGGTCGGCCATGTTGGATATACCGGTGAATCAGACGTCCCAACAACACGCAATCTGATTGGTCAGAAGTGGACACACAGTATACGAAACTTTGGAAAAATCGACCGTGATCCGAAAAAATAAATGCCGCAATATCACAGAACGGGAAAAAGTCGCTGATGTGAACGCTGGTATTGACAGAATATGGGTTAAAAAAATATATATACTTCCGAAATAATCGCACGATAAAAAACGGTCCCGGTGTAAAAGGACCCCAAGTCCAGTAGTTTTTCTAACAGTGCAACAAATACGTCCTCTTGCATGTTGCAGGATATTTAAGGTAAGTCCAAGGCCATAGAAAATCCATGAGAATGTAGGCCTGGATAAAAAACCATTCACTCTTACTTACCTAAGGCACAAAAACAAGACCTTACATTATGATCGAAAAACAGTCATTTTAATTTCTTTTCTGCTTCGTCAGAGTCCCCCTCTCTCTTTTCTTCACCTTGGTCCTCACAGAGAGAGCGTCTTAACTTGTTTCCAGACCAAAGAGTGCTGTACAACTCCTCAGGGTACATCACAGCGCCACCCTTCGTATAATCGTGAAAATACGGTTTGATGGAGTTCTCAATAGAGCAGCATTTTGTCTGAAACGACGATATCTCATCGGGAAAAAGAGTTTTTAATAGGATGATGCCGCCCTGCTTTTCACCTTGTCTAATACTAAAATATCATGTTGTTTAGTTTTGTGTTTGTATTTGAGTATCGCTGCAGGTGGTCCACTTTCACAGGGTCAAGGTTTTTAACCAGACTTCAGTACTGGAAACATTCACTTTCCTCCAGATCAGTTTGTGAGGTCTTGGCTCAGTGCGGGGAGTGTAATAAGTTCTCTGAAAGTATTCCTACCCCCCATAACTGTGTCACTGATGCACATCCAGATCCAGTTTTTATGCAGGAATCTTCTCAGGCTGGGAAAGACGTTGCGCTTTCTTCCCTGCGGCTAACCGCCTCCTTCCTGTTCGGAGAGGTTTAAAATTTGCCGTCCATGGAAATCATTAGGAGACAGATTTTCAGATGAGAGCAGAGGGTGCAAAGTGGAAAAGGAAAGCCCACTCTGAGTGACTCTGGTGTTCTCTGTGTCTGGTTTCAGGTCACAATGGTTCCCAGACAGGCCAGATGGACTGGGAGCAGTATTATAAGAAGCTAGGCAAGTGTCACTCAGAGAAAGAGGATCACTTTCAGATTGAACCATGAAGTCTCCCTTCTACATGTAAGACCGTTTGAGATGTGATTGTGAGAAAAACTGTTCACTCCTTCTTCTGCTTGTTTACAGGCCAACAAAACCAGGCCCAGAGCACTGCTCCTGAATACAACAAAGCTTGGGGTGAGCAGACTTTCACTGTTTTTGTTAGAAACACAACATCACAACAAAAATACACCTTTGATTTAACCCGCTGTAATTTATCTCCAATAGGCCAGACAGCTGGTCCTGGATCTCAGCAGACCTCTAACCCCGACTACAGCGCCTGGGTTGATTTTTACAGACAGCCGATGGCGTACTTCAACCAGGGCGCACAGCAGACACAAGCCCCGGGCCTTCAGGTGAGAGAGAGAGAGAGCGCGGTGCATATTTATCCTAGTCAGGCCGGAGCGGTTCTTTCACTAATTTAATCTCTGATTAAAAAGATCTAAATAAAACCTGCTGACCTGCAAATCTCGGTTGACCCGCGCCCTCTGGAGACTGCACATACGTGTGTCGGTATTTTTAGGCAGAGCTTAAATTCGACAAGAGCAAAAGCATCTGCATCTACTTTATAAAAAATGATTCAACATTTTGTCTCCATTTGAGGTTTCGCCTCTAAGTCGAACATGATGTTAAAATTCCTATTTGTTAAAAAAAAATGTACATATTGGCTTCGAAGAGTGTGTTTCTAACGTGTATTAAAACACACCTCCTGACTAATCTTTGTCAAACCGACCTGCATTGCCTTGTTTTGTGTAAATATTGTGTTAAGATAAACTGTTTGTATCTCACAGGATCATTAGAGAAGCCGCCCAGGTGACAGACTTGAATCACTGAGGATGAAAACAACCCTTTTTTAACGGAGGGGGAGTTCTAGATTCGCAACGCCTTGAAGACTTTTTTTCTTAGTGAGAAACACTAGCTGTAGAATGACTTCTATGAAAAAGTAATATTTCTAAAATCAGGAACATTTATTTGTTACTAAATGCTTGTGTACACTGTTATTTTGGATAGACAGTATCTGGGATCCCTTTTTGGACTTGAGAGAGCTGTTTTTTGTTTTGTTTTTTGCTATATTTTCCTGTCTTTGACTCAGATTGTACCGCCAAAATGAACCCAAAAGTTGTAACATTTCAAACGGCAATATGATCTATTTTTTCTAGTTTTGTTGAAATGAAACATGGATTTTGCGCTTAGCAGTCTTGAATACCGTTTTGTCACATGTCATGATGTTTAAAGAGTGTGTTAAAAAATGTTTTCCTTTTACATAATTCAGTGAAATGAAACTGTGATGTTTTGTTACAGGAAATGTATTTTTGTTACAAAGCTTAAAAACTTTAAGGATTAATGTCCGACAGTGGCAATAGTTCTAATTTAATTCCTGTTGTGCATTGTATGCTGTTTTTTCATTGTCATTTTATTGTACTCTGGTTTAAAAACAAAAAGGTGCAATATCTTATTTCACTATTGAAACAAAGATGGGTTCTCTAATATTTTGACAGACTTTTAACTTGTAGTTTTAAGATGTTTTTTTTTTTTTTCAAATGGAAATGTCATGGATAATTTATTACAATTATCTGATAGGATTTAGGGGGATGTTGCAAATAGCTTTTTTGCCTTTGCTACCTTGTAAAACTATGTATATATGCTCATATATTTGACTGTTAATTTAAAATATATATGTTTCATATATATATATAAATACTTCTATAAAATTATTTTTTTCCTGTTATCAGTGTCGCAGGAAAACGGTCCCTCTTTTTCTGTTCTGTTTTCATACTGAAAATGTTCAAAGATTGTGAATGTGTGATTTTTGAAATTCGATGTTGCATCTTGTTATGAAGAAAAATACGAAGTGGTAGATTTTTGTGTATGTTCTGCACCTGAGCTATTCAAGACTGCTAAGCCTCTGTTCTTCTACCTGTGTAATAAATAATTAGTGTAGTATTTTTATGTTTTAAGTATTATGATCAAAAAACTGTCTTATTTGGTACCTCCCAGTTCACTCACGCCCCGCAGAGTCCACAGCGAGGACTCGGCGGGGTGTTGGGCTCAGTCCAATGCTAATAAGTTTTTAATTAATTTTTTATTTCTTTGTGTGATCTAATATAAATGGTATAAATGATGCATCATTATGGAAAAATGATTATGGTATTAACGTTATTTCTTAATGAAAAGGGATATAATTTCAAAATGTCTAATTATGGTGTTTGTTTTTTTCCTTCTGTGTACAGTTAACCATGTATTAAAAACATCCAGACTACCTTTATGTCTTCTTGTTAAGCTGATTCTCTGTTTGTGACTTAACTAGAATTAGAAACATGTGGTGGATGTCTTTTCCTGCCAGACCTCTGATGTGTAAATGCTAACAGATGATTCGTAGAGTATAACGTTATATACGTCTCACTAGGCTGACTGTATGTTTTCATGTTTTATAAGCAGAAAATCTCTATTTTCTATAGTCTGCTGCCGATTCTTCAATCCAAATAAATTGTCTGCAAGCTTCTCTTGTGGTTGGGTAAAAACATCGGTATAATTTATTCAACTTTCAACTGCAAAACTTTTCCTCTGCTGCTCTTTCAGGTCAAATGTATGAACCACAGTCAAACTATTTTCATTTAAAATCCCTCAGGATTAGTCTTTTATTTATGATCCCTGCTCTTTTAATGTGTTAATGAAACACAATCAGGTGTGAAGTTAACCAAATCTAAAGCTTAAAGTCTGATTTTCTTTTTTTAAAATCCCTCATTTTGTATCACGATCTTCCTGTCCTCAATAACCTCCTGTAACATTTCCCCTCCTTCCTCCTTTTCTTCCTTCCTTCCTTCCTTTGTTTTATGTTAACCTTCCTCCAGGAGCAGTAGCAGCAGCAGTAGCAGCATGTCCTCCCTCAGGCTCTTGTCCGCTGAGATCTTCCTCTCCCCTCCTCCAGAGCCGCTCCAGCTTTGTCACCGCACATCTTTGCTCTCAGCGGGGGGACTCCTGCCACACTGGCCCCTGCATTGATGCGCTGCAGCTGTTTCCAAATCCAGCCCTTGATTTTGATCCTCTTCCTTTTTTTTTTTTTTTTATATACGGCCCGGTCCTCGAGGACAGTCCTGACCCTGGTGGTCCTTTTGTGTCCGAGTAATGATTTAGTTGTTCCAGGATCATCATCATCAGCACACTGAGGATGAGAGGAACAATCATTCTGATGGGAACGATCTGCACTTAAATGCTCAGTATCATGAGGTAAAGCAATACAAATGCACTTCAAATACCCCGAATAAAACGTCATGTCTCTTAAAGTCAATTAATACTTTAAGGAAATTAAAGTGAGAAAATATTAATGTAAGAGTCAAATTTAGACTGAATATCTGGTTAAACTTTTTGTCAGCTACAAATAAAAAACAGTTTTTAAAATATGACCTGTAAAATATCAGGAGGTTAAATGAGCTTCACTGAAGTACTTTTTTTTTTTTACCACAAAGGGATTTGACCCAGACATATTTTAGTGTTAAATTCAAATGCACTTTTTCCACCACTGACATTTTTTCACTCAATTTAATCCCCTTTTTGTTATGACTACAAGGAAAATACACAGGCCTCTTGTATTTAAGTCCAAGCAGCAGTTTTAGCATGTTAAAAATACTTTTTAAAAGAAATTAATACATTTTGAGGTTAAATCAAGTACAAGCAAAAGTATCAGAATCAAAATAGACCCTAAAAGATTATCCTGTGAGTATTTAAATGTATTGACTGCTTCAGTTTGAATTCCTGCATTATTTAGTTAATACAGTTTGCTGCTTGGTGGTTAAATTTGCAGCTCAGCTTCTTACTTTCTCACCCCCTTAAGTTGCATCCTTTTAAGTTTGGACTCATTGCCTTATGTCTTAATTTAAACCTGATTAAATTAACAGTTAATACAGTTATTGTGATCTTCAAAGTAACCAAAACTGTTAAATAGATTGGATTAGAAGTACAGAGAAATTGGCCACTTAAATATAAAGTTATTCTGCTATATTGTGAATTTAACTTTAACAGTATTTTAGTGTTTAACACCTTTGGCAGTTTTAACTCGCCCACATTTCCCATTTCTCCTTTGAGTCTAAGCTCCACACCAGCATACTTCCACACTCAAACCCACTCCCAGTTTCTCCATGAAGCAGGTGTCCTGACTCCCCCCTTGTCCTGTCCTGCAGGAAAAAAGAAAAATCACTTTTGCAGGGTGGGTGGAGGGTGGAGGCACCTCTCTCACCTTTGCATCAGATCTGTCAGCTCCTCACTCTGGCGGCACCTTAATCTGGTTTTAATGACCCTGCGGAGGATCCCCGGAGACCCCGTGCGCCTCCCTCTCTCCAGCTGCGTGGACGGGCTGAAGGATGTGTGTGTATGTGTGTGTGTCCCAACATAAGGCCCGAAATCTCACAGAATCTTATTTCATTGTAAGTTTTGACCTCAGGAGTTTTTTGGCTTTTGGGGGACTTGCGTAAACCTCATTTTTACGCATAAAATATTTAGGAAACGTGAATGTCTGTAGTTTCACCTTCTCTTTTATAGTTTTTGTAATTTTTCTCACTGACTTTATAAAGTTCAAACGTTTTTATCTTAACACCATTGAGCTTTTCCCTGCCCTTCAGGCTTTTGGTTTCTCTCCTGGTGTGCGTAAACTCTTGGTCTCGCTGTTTATCCCCAAACAAACTCCTTTCTTTGATAGGTTTCCCAGCAGCTCTTTGAAATAAAACAATTACCGCATTCTTTGTGCAATAATTGTCAATCATCCACACGAAATTGATAAGCTTTAAATGGACAGAAGAAAAGCTTAAATTGTTTTACAATGGCACAGCTAAGCGGGATGATTTGCTATTGCTGACATGCCCGCGGCTTTACCAGCTCCACATAAAGCCACAGGTTAATGCATAAATAAGCAAATCAAATCCATGCGTTACCCCAATTCAATTCATTTAATTCCTCTTTAATAAAGAAGCGGTCCCACCCCCCTGTCCCCCTCCCCTGCCATTTACCTCGGATTTGTGCGATGAATGCCATAAATGTAAATCAATCTAGATGAGAAAGAATCCCATTGAAAGAGCAGCGAAATTTCATCTGGGAAAAGGAGACAAATGTAGGAGGGGCGCGCTCATAAAAAGCAGCTGTTTCACAGTAATCTTTTTTCGTGCCCTGTCACTCACCTTGCCTTTTCACTATCTCTGGAAAAAAGCCTCCGCCATTGTATTTAGTTGCCATATCTTCTTTTTCCCATTACATAGTCCATATTCGTCCAGAAAGAGAGAGAGAGAGAGAAGAGTGTAAGCACAACTTGCCCATTTTTTTTCGGACAATCCCCTTGTAGTTGTTGCAGTGAAAAGAGGAGTGCATGGATGTCAAATTGCCCTCAAAACACCATGAAAGATTGATTTGCAGCACTTTTCAGGGCCCTGACATTACTTGGAGGGGAGCTGAATAGGAAACCTGTGAGCCGGGGATGGAATAAAGATGTCCTCTCTGCTGGAAGAGAAGGAAAAACTGCCCATTTAGCCGCAGTCCATCAAGCCCGAAAAATAGGCGAAGAGAGGAAAAAACACTATAGAGAAGAAGAAGAAAAAAAGAAAGGAGGGGGTGTATATACTCATCTAAACGGTGTCACAATACCGAGGAGGGGGCTCCGAACAGCCATGAATATTAAACCGCTTATAACCTCAACAAGGGCTTGAAAAAGTGAAACCACGTCAAAGCAGCTTTGCATTTTTTGCATGTGAACAATGCTGTTAAAAAAAACGGGTTGTTTTTTTTCTTCTTTCTCGTTGTTCCCGCGCTAACTGCGTACAAAAAAATCACAATTATTACCAGCACATGAATAACAAATGCCTGAGAAAACAGAGAAGAGGGACTCCCAGACTCAATGACCCACTTAGTCCAAAACTTATCACTTTACTCTGGAAAAAAAAACATGTTTATAGGCTTCTTATGAGGCATCGTTTTTTTTTTAAAGGTTTTACGGTTTTAGCCTAAGTTATTTTTCTACGTTATCACTTAACTTTAGAAAAAAGCAGTGTTTCTAAGCTTCTTATGTTGACTCGTTTTTTTACGATTTTACGGTGTAGCCTACGTTATTTTCTTATCACTTTAGAAAAAATGGCGTTTATAGACTTCTTATGAAGTAAAGTATTTTCACGATTTTACGATGTAGCCTACGTATATTTCTTACATTATCACTTTACTTTAGAAAAATGTGTTGATAGACTTCTTATGATGCATCGTTTTTTTATGATTTTACCGTGTAGCCTACGTCATTTTCTTATGTTATCACTCAAGCATTTATAGGCTTCTTACAATGCGTCGTTTTTTTTTTACGATTTTACGAAGTAGCCTGCATTATCTTCATACTTTATCATTTTAGGGGAAAAAACAGCGTTTAAAGGTTTCTTATGTTGCAAAGTTTTTTTTAACGATTTTACAGTGTAGCCTGCATTATTTTCTTATGTTATCATTTTACTTTAGAAAAATGAACAATGTTTATATACTTCTTATGATGCATCGTTTCATACGATCTTACAGTTTAACCTGTTATTTTTTTACATGATCACTTAAGGAAAAAAAGTGTTTATATACTTCTTATGATGCATCGTTTTTTATGACTTTACAGTGTAGCCTACGTTTTCTTACGTTATCACTTTACTTTAGAAAAAAAGGGTTTATAGGCTTCTAATGATTCCTCGTTTTTTAACGATTTTACGGTGACGCCTGTAGTAATTCAGGTTTTAGTGTGTTTGAAGATCGCAACGAACCCTTGCACACGTTTTTTAAGCTTGTGGGTGCTTTTTTTTTAAGTTTACGTTTTTTGCATGAATTGAAAAGTTGGCTCATCTCTAAAATAAAGTTTTCTTCTTCGTCTGTGTCTGCTGGTGTTGCGCAGCAGCAGCAGTAGCAGCAGCAGCAGCAGCAGCAGGCAGGTCCACACGGTGAGGGGTGTGTCATTAATAAGTAATTAGACAGGGGTCACACACAGCCACTTATATAAAGAGACCCTCAGAGGCAGGCAGGGCGCACAGTTTGGTGCAGACGCGCAGACAGAGGAGCAGCTCACTTCTTCTACTTCTTCTTCTTTTCCTTCTTTTTTTGTATCTGCACCGTTTTTTTAGGGATTTCTTCTCTTCAAACATGGGCTCCGTGCTCCCTGCAGACGCTTTAGCTCTCAAGTCTGGATTTAAGTGTCCGAGTCGTGCGCTGTCGGACGTGATCACCTCGGACATCCTGCACAGCTTCCTGTACGGCAGGTGGAGGAACGTGCTGGGAGAACACCTGGCGGAGGAGCGGCACAGCAGCAGCAGCCCCAAGACCGCCTTCACTGCGGAGGTGCTGGCTCAGTCTTTCGTCGGAGGTAGGCATGAGAATTTGATTTAAGACGGCACTTTTTTATGTTATTTAGAGGCTGGTTTCTAGATATTTGTGGGAGAAACAGGCGAGTTTTGGACATTTTTACGATTTTATAAAAAAAAACAAAAAAACACGTTTTTTTTAACGATTGCTTAGCGCACTTAAAATTATGCATGTGACCTAAAGTTACACATATTTATCCTTAAAGAAATAAAAAATGCACCATCTATGTATTTTGCTTTTGCGCATCAAATCGTGCGTAAAATCCAAACACCCCCTCTCAGACGTTTTCTCGTATTTTCTTCCACTAACTTGTTGCATTTTTCTGCACTTTCTTCGCCTTTTTTCGTCCCATTTAACGCATTAACCCTTTCAGATGTGTGGGACCTCGCGTTTGGAGCCTTGTTAGGCGTGTAAGCGCCGCTGATTGAAAGACTCAGGGCATTAAATTCATTTGGTTAACTTTGTGCTTGACCTGGGAAAGTTTCCACTTAAACCTTTACTGCAGAGAAAGGTTCCCTTTCTTTGAGATGTCCCGGGTTTTTATCCCGCATTCATCAATCTCCGGACAGTCTCTTTTCCTCTCTTGGCAGCTATGGGGCTCCGCAGCTTTTCTCTTTCTCTCTCCTTAAAAGATTTGCTGTTCCTCGCATAATGCACCGTGAAGGCTAAATCTAATGCTATTCATTGCATGTCAACCATCTAATCGCCTTTCCATTTTTTTGTCGCCGAAATTCCTGAGTCTTTTAAACAAGTCCTCGTCTCATTCAGCGCAAATTTATTGCTACAAAGTTCTTAAAAGGATAATGAATTTGGAATTAGCCGTTTTCTTTTCCAGTAAACTTTAATGAATATCACATCTGAAGCATGACAAATCGCTGGACCCTGAGCAATAGAGGACCATTTAACCCCGATTCCACCGGCCTTTTCTCTGCTGCCTCAAATAAAAAAATCTTTGATTTTGACATTAAAGAAGCGCAAGAGTTTCTCTTTCTTCCCTCTCTGGTGCGGATAAAAATGCTTTCTGAGGGGGTTTCTATGCGCAACAAAAACTTTCAATTCAAGCAGATAATCGAATTAAACGGAGGATAAAGTGTAGCTTAATATTTCTGGACTGGAATAAGATCCAGTCCGTTTGCTGCTTTTAGGACTTTTCTTGCTTTTACCACAAAAATCGCTATTTTTGCACATTTCTCTCATTTCTGCTTCTGCACATTTTTAGAAACCTTTTTCTTTTAAGATTCTGATGCACTCGGCCTCAAACTTTACAGGCCTCAGATTTAAATTTCTATTTTCTCTTTTGCAGAGGTGCAGAAGTTGTCCAGCCTGGTCCTGCCCAGTGAGGTGATCATCGCCCAGAGCTCCATCCCTGGAGAAGGTCTGGGCATCTTCTCAAAGACCTGGATCAAAGCAGGGACCGAGATGGGACCCTTCACGGGGAGAGTCCTGTCCCCTGAGCATGTGGACTTACTCAAGAACAACAACCTGATGTGGGAGGTGAGCTCAGAGTCCATGCTTCTGTCTTCACAGCTGCAGAAAAGGTCTGATCCTTTGAGATAGTCTAATATTGTTCTGTTTGTTCACATGATCAGGTGTTCAATGAAGATGGCACTGTGCGATACTTCATCGACGCCAGCCAGGAGGATCAGCGCAGCTGGATGACGTACATCAAGTGTGCAAGGAACGAGCAGGAGCAGAACCTGGAGGTGGTGCAGATCGGGAGCAGCATCTTCTACAAGGCGGTGGAGGTGAGGAGTGTTTCTGCTCAGTTCAAGAAAATTAAAACTGTAGTCCTTTAATGCCTGAAACCACAAATTATGGCCAGAAAATTCACATTATTTTGGAGCTGAAATGTTTGTTTCACCTATTACTGAAAACCAAAAAAATCAAAATGTCCTTAAAATTCAACAAATATATTTATTTATCTGGTTTAGATGTTTTTGGAAACTGATAAACTACAAGAGGACATTTTTATCATTTATCTGACTGTATTCATGTGTTTTTTTAAGTAATTTGTTGATCGTATTGATTTGATAGAAGTATCATAAAAGTATGTTTCAAATATGATACAAAAGACAATAAAGGGTTAAGGTCTGGATGACAGTGTGCTTTGAAAGAGCGCCACCTGCTGGATAAAATGTGGTGGTTTTCTATCACAGTTCAGCAAATTCAAAAAATCACATACTGACCAGCTGACCTTTTGACCTTTTCTTCCTGTCTCAGACCATCCCACCGGACCAGGAGCTCCTCGTCTGGTATGGAAACACACACAACACGTTCCTGGGAATCCCTGGAGTTCCAGGACTCGATGAAGAGCAGCAGAAGAAGAGCAGGAATGGTGAGTACACATCAGGAGCTCGTTTGTTTCAACACATCCCTAAACCACTCGTCTGTCACACCCGTCCTCAACTCTTCGTTCTTTCTCCTCCAGATGACTCCCACCCCTGCGAAGGCCCTTCTTCATGCTCCCCCTCCTCCTCCTCTTCCTCCTCCTCCTCCACCACCTCAGCGGGCCGCATGCGTTGCGTCATCTGCCACCGCGGCTTCAACTCCCGCAGCAACCTGCGCTCGCACATGCGCATCCACACCCTGGACAAACCGTTCGTCTGCCGCTTCTGCAACCGCCGCTTCAGCCAGTCGTCCACGCTGAGGAACCACGTCCGCCTGCACACCGGCGAGCGGCCCTACAAGTGTCACGTCTGTCAGAGCGCCTACTCTCAGCTCGCAGGCCTCAGGGCCCACCAGAAGAGCGCGCGGCACAAACCGGTCAATCACGGATCAGAGGTGTCGTCCCAAGTGTCCCCTCCTCCTCCTCCGCCACAGATGACGGCTCTGACCCACCAGCACCAGATGCCCCTCGTTCACCACATCCCCACCATGGTGCTATGATGATGCAAACGCAGAGAGACAGTGATGCAGAACAACGTTGCACTTTAGATTACAGCTGTACAGAAGAAGTGAAGGACACAGAGGAGTTCATGTGATAGTAAAACATCCCTCACATTCAGTTTTTTAGCCATTTTGTGATTCAAATTCCAGCAAAAAAAGACAATTTCTGAATATTTTGATCAGCTAAAATACGCTGAAAAACTCACTGTTCTATGATTTTACAAATGCTGTTTTTTACCACTGTCATTCATCACTGCAAATGTGAGCTTTTTCTACATTTTGCATCACATCCTCACCAGCTCAGGAGATCACTTCGGTCAGTCAGAGATTTGTCGGGGAGCAGAAACAAACAAACAAAAAAAAAGGACGTGTTGTTTCCGCTGCATCAGTCCACACTGTAAACTGAATTTGTCACTTTAACCTTGCACAGACTGTAAACTTTACGATTGTGTAATTGTAAAATTGTATTGTATGCTTCTGTACATGTGAATGTAAATACATTTGTGCTTTCTTCTATTCTAAATAAATACCTTATCATATTACATATGCTGATTTTTGTTCGTTTTTAATTGTAGCTTGTTGATGAGAAGATCTGCAGCTGCTCTAAACTTTTTATTTTAAATTTTATATTTGATATGTTTTATAAAACTCAGACGTGGGAACATGGAGTTTTTTTTCTGACTGTAGAGCTTCACATTGAATTCATTAGATCAGTTAATCTATTTTAAACAACTTTAAACTTCTTCCTCTTTGCTACAACCACAACAAATACTGAATTTTTCATGATGTAACCCCTCTGCGTCAGATAAGCCTCAACCATATCCTGACTGCACAAAATGCAGACACTGAAAAATGAAACAGTCGTCCATCTGAACAGAAGTAAACTCCAGAGCAGTGAGAAAAGAAAAAAAAGCTGTACTTCTGAAGTGTTTCTCAAATTTTCCCAACCTTTTGAAGAACTTAAACACACGTGTCACCTTCGCTCAGTCGCATAGTCTACTCATATAAGAGGACATCATATAAAGAAACTTCAGTATCCACTAAACCCATTTGTAAGCAATCACACCGCAGGCCAGGACACAATATGGAGTTCAGTGTCTCTTGCATAACCTCCTGACTGAGAGATGACCAACTTTACCACAGAATCACAACAACCACCTTAAGAGGACGTGAATACACTGAGATATTGTACAAATGCATGAAATATACATGATCAAAAAGGACTGTAATTATAAAGTCAGGGTCAGAATAGTGCAATAATTCATAATAGACAAATAAAGAATGGGAGGACTGAAATGAACGATCATCTCAGAGAATTCACAAGTAAATTTTTTTAAAGTTTCTGTCCAATTTTCTGTCCCCTTCTGGAAAAATCTGTCTTGACTTATCTTGTCTTCCACAAGCTCAAACAGTGTCCTCTGACATCAAGTTTAATGTTTCAGTCTTAAAATACAGACAAAAAGCCGATCTAGAATAAAACATAATAACTGATTGCTGAATGACCCGACAGGATAAAAATGTGTATTATTTCTATTATTATCTGAGAAGTCAGTTTTCATGATAGAAAGATCCTCTAGAGTAATGATTACTTTTTTAAAAACATGTTCAGTTGTGTGTTTTTTTATGTTTTATGGACTCTGGATGGAACAAGACAGTTTCCTCTGCTATGTACAAGAAACATGCGAATCTACCTCCACTCATGAATTATAAACCAAACTTTTATACGGCATTAGGCTCTCTGCTTATAGACATTGCCATAAAGAGTTTAAGGGTTTATAAATGTGTTTAGGTTGCATTACAAGAGGCAGGTTACTGAAATCTGCTCTTCGCTTCATTATCTTCCATCATGATGAAAATCAGCTCCACATATGGTCTTATATCACCTCCCGAGTGAGTTCTCTCATTTGACCGTAAAAAATTCCTCCTGCATTAGTATTTTCTTCCACAAGGTGGCATCACACACTCAAGAAAAGAGTTTAATGAAGTCAAGAAGACACTTGAATGTTCTCAACAACCGCTTTTATTTGTTAACTGGATTAACGTACAGATTTTCTGTCTCTCCTGAGCTTATGCTGCTGCTGCACATGTCTGCTGTCAGACTTCATCCCACCCCCATGAAGGAAGTTTTCAAGATGAGTCGTCATTAAAACAAGTGCAGAGCATTCACAGATCAACATGCTGCTGTTAAATGAGACTTTTAGATCTTCATCTGTCTGCTCCCCTTAGAGGATTATGTTGGAATTGGACTTTTAGGTGTTGTTCCATCACTGGACACTGTCCACACTTTCTGCCCTGCACAGTGAGAATAAAAAGAGAGTTGTAAACAAAATATTTTAAAATTAGGCAAATTTTTCTAAATGAGACACACCTTCATTCCGGTAGGGTCATCCTGTCCTGTCCGTCTTTGAGCAGCAGCCACAGCAGGAAGCTATCCACTCAGCTGCACGGCTCAAAGCTAGAAAAAGACAGACAGAGATCTTTCTATTATCTGTCTGGAGGGTCCAGTAAGTAACCTGATCGTACCCGTATCAGGTTTAATACTCTCCATTTAACACTCACTCCTTCAGGTTACTGTCTTTCTCTTATCATCCTGTATTAGAATTTGAAAATGTTTCTCAACACAAAGAGTATTAAAAGCCTGTAACAAAAGTATCATTCTCTATAATAAAAAGAAAAATCCTCTGAGAGAGAAAAACAAATTGTCCATAAAACACGTCAGAGTTTGAACACTTACCAGAGAAGAGCAGTCACAGCATGGTCAAACTTTTCTTCCTTCAGTCCGGTTGTTTATCTGTTTGTAAGAGGTCAGTGTGGAGATATGTGCTGCACCTTGACACTACACACCAATGACACAGCGTTTCTTACTCACACAGCCTCTTATGGGTCACAGCTGAAAGGTTCAAGAACTGATGCAACCTTTATAGTGATGTCAGTGGACTTGAGGACACCGCACAGGTAAAGGCGGTGAAGTGTTACCTCTGTGTGTGTCTCCTGCATTATTTATTGTGAAAAGGGGGTTCATTTTCACACAGACCTGTCATAGACTGCTGTATAAAGGACTTGTTTTGTTACTCTCAGCTGCCCCCTTCTGGTCTTTGGAAAAGGATGCACCTTTAAGGACCTTTTCATGCCTCAGTTCTAACAGTTCTAACATTTTATCCACTATTCACAAATATTAAACATGTAATCAATCTCCTACCACTGTTATTGTATAGAAGCCCTAAGCTGACATGCTTATGATTTATTTTACTGACACTGTGAGTTATAGTTGATTCATCAAGAGCAAAAATTATTTAGAAAGTTGTGTTTTCAGACAAAAAACTCATTATCATAAGTGATTATTTGTCATGAAAAATAGTAAAAATGCTGTTTCTTTTGTGTGCTGTTGATCATCTGATCTGACACCTTCGCTTTTTAGGTATAAAAATTACAACAGAGAGTCTATCAGCTTTGTTACTGATGGTTTAAATTTGCTTCTCAAAGGGATATTCTGGCGTCAAATTAATTTAGGGTCAAACACACCATAACACCGAGTAAGACACACCCTCGAGAGATGAATGTTGCCGACCGCTTGCTTCTCTGGTTATACCAACTTTAGTAACGACTGCAGGATAGCAATGCACAGCGATCTGAGGAGCCATTAACAAACCTCAACCAAAACGCCACTCTATAGCCACAAATAATGTTCAGAACAGCACCTAACTTCATCAACAGTACATATAGGGTCCTAGCCATAGCACTAGCCACCAAACATCTTTTTTAACTTTGCCTGATTTCTTTAGCAAAGAGACTAAACACAACTCACCTACTCTCTTCCAGCAGCCGCTTGTTTGTAGCGAGACCTCAGGCCGGTCCATTACGGACTACAGCGGGGTGACACAGCTTAAGGAAGAACATTTATGATCATTACTTTATGGAAATGCAATCAGACTGAGACGCTAAGGCAGAAGAACTACTGCGTCTGCAATGCAAAATGATTAATATGATGGGGGCAGCTCCTCTGCCTCCGTTAAAGGTGGGGCTGCTGGGCCACCACCCGTTTTTCTGGCATCTGCCCTCTTTCTGTTTGCTGAGTGAAAGTCTAATATTGAGTGTAGTGTGTGTTAGTTTAATATATGTACATATACATACTGAGAGTTAGTTTAATATTCCTAATCATTTAACGGAACATCATAAGAGAGTCAAAATCAGTTTTGAGTGTGAAAAGAGCATTTTCTAAGGGATCAAACTGCCACTTAATACTTACTTGACAATGTAAAACATGATCAAAATGATTCAAGCAGTTTCCCTGCAACAGTCTGTCATTGTGTTTGCACGAGACTAGATTTAAAGTTACGCATTGACGCGAGCAGCGATTTCCTCCCAAGCCCTCTCCCTCTCCTTTGCAGCTGCTGCTGTATTGCACTTTCTTTTAAAAACGTGCTGTCATTCGCTGTTGGCTTGCTGCTGCCCCCTCCTTCTCCCTGTTTCCATTGGTTGATCATTGAATCTGCGCTCCACAGATGCTGGCTGTTTATGTCTGGCGTGCACGTGCTTAACTCCAGGTCAAACTACTCGGAGTTGTTAAAACCGTCTCAAATCAGGTGTTGTGAAACCGGAAACTCAGAGTTTCCGAACTCAGAGTAGATCAACTCAGAGTTAAGGATTTAACTCAGAGTTTGTTGAACCACCTACGTGAAACGGACCCCAGGACTGGACTTGAGAACCACTGGATTAGACATTTCTTTCCAAAAAAACATTTTTCACTCTTGAAAGTGAATTTAGTTTGTCTTAAGTTTTATTAGAACTGTGTTTAGACCAAAAAAGATCATTTTAAATTTGTCTTAAATGTCAGTTGTGGTATCTATGAGCTACAACATGAGGTCAAAAACCTAGCATAACAGTCCACCATTTTAGCTTAGAGGACTAATAAAGTCATAATAGTAGTTCTGGGGTAAGCTGATCCAGTGGTTCAACTGAGAAAGTGAAGAAGTTTGATGAGAGGATCAGAGTTTCAGTTCAGATTGTTGAAATGTGTTACTTTTTCTTTTCAAAAATATAGCTGTGAATCTTAAAATATCTTTCAATATTTCACATTTCCAGTACACCACCACCCTGTACATCTTCATTATGTAGTCCAAACCGGAGTAGATCTAACTGGTCTTGCTGGATTTAGCTCAGCATGAGAGTTGTGTGATCTCTGTCCTTTTATGTCTCTTATGTTCCTTTTATCATTTTTTTTCTTTTTTGATTTTGTGTTTTTATTACATTTGTTTTATTCTAAATGTTTTTACCTGCTTTTCTTTATTTAATCTTGATGTTTTCTGCATTGTCTGTTCTTTTAACTTTATTGAGCAGCACTTTGGCAAACTTGAATGATTTTTCAAATGTGCTTTTAAAATAAATAAAGCGGATTGGATTGGATTGGATTGGATCGATGCCGCTGTTATCCACTGGTCGAGTCTGCTCGATGAACCGTTCCTGGTGGATTGTTGTCATTATTTTGGTGGCTAGCCCTCAGAGCTAGCTAGCCGCTTGATTTTCTCTTCGACATACTTTGATCCAGCAGGTGGGTCACGGTTTATGTCAACAACTTTGTATTGCGCCAAGATGATAAAGTGTTGTTATAGTAACGTTGGTTTGTTAGAGTCACTGCTCGTTGTTCGACACTAAGCTGTTACGGGAGCAAAAAGTTGTAAACAAATGTCAGCCGAAGCTAGCTGGTCGGTAACAAAATAGCTAGCGCAATGTTAGCTTGAGACACATAACCGAGCATTTACTTAATCTTTTCACTAGTTTGACAAGCATAATGATAGTGTGTTCTGTATTTTTAAGCTCGTCGATGTTTCGTGAAGGTTGTAGACTGTTTTTAGTGTCAACAGAACTTGTAAGAGTTTTACGCAGACCGTTAAAAATTCCCAATGCTAGGTCACCTTATCAGGACGGGCTGATGTAGGGGGGGAAATGCACGTTTATTTGCTTAGTTATTCAAAGGTAATGCTTCATCTTGACAGAGTTTAGGTGAACTGTTGGGTTATCATGTCAGTGAGGGTTTGCCACGCTAACAGGTCTCTGTTTCTGCACCGACTGATGGGTGTCTGGATGGACTAAAACCCAGTCTACACAGAGATCTGAGCTGTAAATACAGAGTCTGGAGGCTGTAATGTAGTTTTTAGTGGATGTCAGACATGATTTTACTATGTGAAGTGAACTGGACACAGCTCTGTACAGACACACACACACACACACACACACACACACACACACACACACACACACACACACACACACACATAGAGACTGCTCACAGCTGTCAGGCTCAAATTAGTCCCAGCTAAGGTGGGGCCTCGAGTTATTTATAGGTGAACAGGGAAAACAATTATCACCTTTTAGAAGAATAATGTATCTCCCTTAGCTTGAGTGAAACTGCAACTTTGAATTGAAAGACAAAAAAAAAAGAAGAGTTAAAGGGATATTCCGGCGTAAAATTAATTTAGGGTCTAACACACCGTAACACCGAGTTAGACACCCCCTTGAGAGATGAATGTTGCTGACCGCTTGCTTCTCTAGTTATACCAACTTTAGTAACAACCACACCATAGTAATACAGAGAGCCACGTGCTCAATCAAAACGCCATATATAGCCACAAATAATGCTCAGAACAGCACCTAACTTCATCAACAGTACATATAGGGTCCCAGCCATAGCACTAGCCACCAAACATCTTTTTAACTTTGCCTCATTTCTTTAGTAAAGACACTAAACACAACTCACCCACTCTCTTCCAGCAGCCGCTTGCTTGTAGCGAGACCTCAGGCCAGTCCATTACGGACTGCTGCGGGGTGACGCAGCTCAAGGACGAACATTTATGATCATTTCTTTATCATTTCCTTGAAGTAATAATCATCATATTAATCATTTTGTACTGCAGACACGTTAGTTCTTTTGCCTTAGTGTCTCAGTCTGATTGCATTTCCATGAGGTAATGATCATAGTTGTTCTTCCTTGAGCTGCGCACCCCGCCTCAGTTCGTAATGGACTGGCCCCATATCTCTGTACAAACAAGTGGCTGCTGGAAGAGAGTAGGTGAGCTGTGTTTAATCTCTTTGCTAAAGAAATTAGGCAAAGTTAAAAAGATGTTTGGTGGCTAGTACTATGGCTGGGACCCTATACTGTTGATGAAGTTAGGTGCTGTTCTGAGAATTATCTGTGGCATTTTGGTTGAGGTTTGTTTAAGGCTCCTCAGACTGCTGTGTACTGCTATGGTGGTCATTACTAATGTTGATATAACTAGTGAAGCAAGGGGGTGTCTAACTCTGTGTTATGGTGTGTTTGACCCTAAATTAATTTTATGCTGGAATATCCCTTTAAGTGGTAGAAATGTTAACACCAGCCGTTTCCAATCTCAATCACAGTGTGAGAAATTTGCTTTTCATACTAAAATACCCGACAGCCAAACTGGTGAAATGTGAGGATCTTCTTCTTCTTCTTCGCTGACTATAGTAAAGAAGAGTAGAGTAAACACAACTTTTGGACCAGTGATTGCCAAAGTCGGGATCTGGACCCTCTGGGTCGCAAGATGCCTCCCAAAAATATAAAAAAGGAAGAAGTTATTATTACTATTATGAAGAATATATGGCTTCCAGCGAGCTGTGTGCTCTGTCACATCTTAACTCTGGAATGTACAGACTGCGATGAAAAGCCTTGAATATATTTCATTTGAGTACAAGTTTGGCTGGTATGTTAAGTCTAGAGAGGAGTAGTACATTGTGTAAGAAACACCAAGACAAACAAAGGCAATGGATGAACCATGATTATGTTTCATTGTTATTCCAAGTTCCTTTCATTCAATGAACTCCCAAGTTTTAAAACAGTGGCATGTTTGTCATTGGTTGCTCAGAACTTGTGCTGTGCCACTAAGTGTTTGAATAACCCCCCAGGTTTCATATTAAAGGTGCAGTGTGTCTTATTATCTCTTTTATATGTTCTATTATGTTCTTATGGCTCATACTGGGACCTCAGTATGAGTTTTGTTCTTTTCTCTTGCAGACTGGAATGACAAAACTCCTTTGAATCCTTTTGGGAAACAGTAACATAACAGATGCTTGAAGATGCTTTTTACTTTTTCACATGAGATTGCATCAATAAAAAAAGAGGCAGTCTGGTGACATATGAGAGTAAAAGCTTGTATTCAGGTATCTGAGTTACTTTCACCACCTCTCATCCATGTACCTGTGATGTGTCTGTGTGTGTTTGTACACAGGATGTTAGTATGGAGTGTTTCCCAGTTCTGCCGGACAGCCTGGTGTTGGAGATCTTCCTGCGCCTGCCCCATGATGCCGTGCTGAGAGCTGGTCTGACCTGCAGACAGTGGCTGGCGGTCTCCAGAGATGAGTTCCTTTGGAGGGAATTGTTCTACGACTACTATCGCATTCCACGCTCTGTTCCCCGACACCCAGGTAAGAACTCGTGACTTAAAAAGTGAACTCCGTTTCATTCAGTATTTGTGGTTGAAGTTTGTTAAATAACCCCTGGTTTACCTGTGTGCAGCGGCGGTGTCATGGTACAGGGAGTTCAAGCGTCTGTTCGACTGTATCCCCTGTGTGGAGGTTCAGACGCTGAGAGAGCACAGTGACCAAGTCCTGCACCTGGCTTTCTCTCACAGAGGTCACCGGTTCTCCTCCTGCTCCAAGGACTGCACTGTGAAAGTAAGATGAATGATTGATGGTTTTACTTTCATGATAGATCTCATTTTCTTATTTACTACTGATTATGTTCAGCGTTTAGTTACATCCTTTACTGCACAGCTTTTTAGTTGCCTCTGGTTTTCCTGATACCGCTTCTTTAAAGGTCTTTTCTGGAGCCTGTTCCAAGCCCAGTGTTTTCTGTTTTTATAGTTATTTAGTTTCAGAGTTATTTCCCTCTCTAAGCTCTGCTGCGTGTGACAACCTACAGCTGTCTACTCTCTTATCGTCTGCTCTTTTCTCCAATTCCTTATCCTTACCGCTCACGTGCAGCTATGGGACACTGAAAGGCAGGATGGCAACATCTCGCTGGTGCACAGCTCCAGCATGCGCCAGTTTAACTGGGGCTACACCCAGTTCTCCCAGTTCAACGCTGATGACACCCTGCTGCTCGTTTCCGGTGTCTACCTGGGCCCGCACCACTCCTCGTCTGGGGAAATTGCTGTCATCAGTCTGGGTAGGAAACCGAAACATCCTACTTTATCCCACTGAGCATTTTTGGGTCCAAAAGAAGTCTAATAGACGTCTAAATGTAGCCTAGACGACTGGTCTAAAATCAGGCTACCACAGGTCTGAAAATGAAAGATTTTCAGACATCTAAATTAAGACCAAGTTTAGACTAAATCTAAATCTCGGCTATATCTATACTACACTGTATATTGATCAACGGTTATTATAATTACAATGGTTAAGTACTTGGAGATCAGTTATGCAACTCACAGTTGCTTTTTGAAATAAATAGTTATCAAATAATGGGTTAAAGTGCAACGTCTGAATTCTGTCTAAAAATAAACAGAATCTAGACGGTTGAAATTAGGTCTAAAAAAAAAAAACTAGACGTCTAATACCGTCTACTGCTCAGTGGGGTGGTTGTGGTTTTCATCACTTCCTGTTGAGTTTTTTTATAATAAATAAGGGTGTAAGAGAAGTTGCAGTTTTGATTTCCTGTTCGAGAATGGAGGATATAACGGTTCATGTAGATGTTCTTACATGTAAACATGGAGCTAAGTGTTTAGTACATGATTCATATATATGCTGCTGCAGTCTGCACAAAACCAGTCGAGAAAAAAAAGAAGGATTTGTACTCCTCTATTATTTAAATAAACATTCAAATCTTTTGTCGGTGTCCTAACATCACAGAAAATTACACGCTGTTGTCCCGCGTGAGGAACAAGCCGTACGATGTTTTCGGCTGCTGGCTGAACGAGACCCACCTGATCTCTGGGAACCTGCACTGGATCGGAAACATGACGTCGTGCTCTGTGCTCTGGCTCAACAAAGCCTTCCAGGTGAGACTTAATATAGAAGCAAAAGCCGGTTCTGTCAGGCCACTCAAAGTCTTTTTTTTTTGTCTGAGTGCAGAAGGAGGGCTGGAAGATGTCTCCCGGCAACTTGTGAAGCATTTTTTGTTCAGATAGTTTTTCATGATAACAGATTAAATGAAAGAGTAAAATAATATCAGCATTTTCCCCTGTAGTAAATTTTAGAAATAAACTCTTTTGGTAAGTACTTGGCTTGTGCGTTTTAAAGTGAAACACATCTTTGCTGATTTCTTTCCTCCTCAATCTTTTTAAGGATGTTGAATCAGAGAACGTCAACGTCGTAAAGCGCCTTTTCAAGATCCAGAACATCAACGCCAGCACCATCCGCACGGTGATGGTGGCCCACTGCCGCCGACACGATAACCCAGACTTGCTGCTGGATTACGAGGCTCAGTCTCAGGCCCGACGGCAGAAAGGGCAGCAGCAGCAGCACCACCACCAGCCTCTCCTCTTCGACTTGGGGACCTCGGGAAGCGATGAGGAAGATGAGGACGAGGAGGACGAGGAGCGACAAAGGGAAGCAAAGAGTCATAGCTTCCCTTCTTCCCGCCTTCCTCAGCCGACTTTCTCTGGTCTGGAGCACGTTATACAGGTGAGTTAGGAGTAAACGCCCAGATTTGATTGAAATTTACAAAGACGTTTTCTTCATTTGGTTTTTATTCCCTGTTAGAGTCGTAAAAACGTCGGGCCAAGGGAGCTGGAGATCGAGACGCAGGTGGCTCAGATGATGGGCAGAGCGTACACGAAGGCGCCTGTCTCTAGTTTAATCGAGCCGTCTGACACCGGAGAGGGAGAAGACAAAACCTATTTACTCTTCACCACCGGCAGCCTTACTTACTCCCCTCACCAGATAGGTACGATTATTTCTGTCCTGCTGTAAACAAACACAGCGCTGACAGTCACCTCCTCTCACGTCTCAACGTTCACCTTTTCCAGGTATTAAGCGAATCAAGCCCGACCAGATGACCACCTCTGGTCCTGTACTCGGGGAGGAGCGGAGTTCAGATGAGTTCTTTGACTCCCTGGATCACGTCATCGACATCCACGGACACATCATCGGAATGGGCCTTTCTCCAGACCATAGGTGAGGAAACGATGTGTGTAGATTCAGATCTTATGATCCAACTGGATTCTGGATGCAGTCTCTGTACATGTTACCAGGCATGAAAATATCACATGGTTAGTCATTCACACAGAGCATGTGTGTGTGTTAGTGTTGGTGTACAATAAAGCATTGATTCTTTCACCCATCAGAGCAGAGCCTCTATTCTGGGCTGATATCACTGCCGGACATGAGAGTCGCTCGAACAATAGCTCTCCTCCTGCACATGTCGGCGGTGAATGGACAGCTTTAGAAAACGCAGAGTTTAACCTAACCTAGTTCGCTATGAAAAAGGAGGTCAGGAGCACCTGTATCTGATTGTAGCAGTGAACATAACCGCAGGTGGTCAAGGCTGCTGCTGTTTGTGTTCCCCCTGAAAGAGTCACATGATCAGGGCATGATGAATCCTTAAGACAACCCAGTCAGCACGTGGATTGTGGATGTTGTGTGCTTCACTGTAAAGTCCGAGTTTCTGCTGAGGAAAAAAGAAACCACTATTTCACACTAAACTGGTGTCAGTAGGTACTTTTCAGCCACAGGAACTTTCCCCAGGAAGTCGGTGTTAGTTAAATCAGGAGCCAGTTTTGTTTACATTATAAGCCGATACAGAATTTACACACAAACACGAGCTGAGCAGGGAGAAGGTTAAACGGGTACAGGCGCCAAAGATCAACAGCACAAGATCCAACCATCCCTGGATGTCATCAGTCAGATTTGTGTTTTGTACCACAGAGTTTCTTTAAGTCCCAGGAGTAAAAAGCACCTAGTAGGAGTTTTTCCAGAGGAGTATAGGGCTGAATAACACTGAGGAAGAGTGGGGTGTACATGCAGCCAACGTTGTGCTTTTTTTAAAACCACTAAATGTAGGAGGGTAGATGTAGTCCAAGTTAAACCACTTCCTTAGATTATTTCGGTGTACCTCCTGTCAGAGGCGGTTTTTCATAGTTTAACCCTTTTGTTACCAGCTATCACAGATGAACCGAAGATCATTTTGACCACTCAAGAGACTCATGCAAAACTGTTTTCACTGTATATGATTAGAGACAGCACACAAGTATATCTGTGTCTGTGAGTCAGTCAGTACATTTACATTACAATCGAGAAAACTGAATTATCGCCTTACTCCGATTAAGACCAGACAACTGAAGTGCATGTAAACACCTCAGTCCGAATATAATCAGAGTTGGAGAACTCCGATTAAGACACCCAGATACTGCAATTGGAATTCAATTTTCTCTACCATGTAACCAGCGTAGTCGGAGTATGATCGGACAATGCATGTGTGCGTGCGCCACGCTCCTGTAACCCCGGAACAAAAACACCAGAAAGGAGGAGTAGCGTCCATCTCATCTGCAGAAAAAGAAGCGCGTCCATCATGTACGACAAAAACAACGTTGGACGATGCTTCATCTTCTTGTTGAAAATGTCCAGCAGCAGTTGTAGCCACTTCTAAAGTCTGGCACGGACCTGCTGTTGTTGTTGTTTTTGACAGTTGTTTGGTGTCAACTGGAAACAGCGCCCATATCGCCCCTGGTTTTGGGGAGGATGACACATCCATGTCAATTATTCGATTTTCTCCGCTGCATGTATACGCGGACAAGGAGAGAAGTTTGAGAACCGAATTATGAGCTTAGTCCGATTAAGCTGCGCATGTAAACGCACTGAGTGAATCACATGTATATACGTTTTATTCTAAACCGACTCCCTCTCCGCCTCAATCAGGTACCTTTATGTGAACAGCCGTGCGTGGCCTGCTGGCTGCGTGATCTCAGACCCCATGTCGCCCCCTCCGATCGCCGAGGAGATAGATCTGCATGTGATCGATCTGAAGAGCTTGAGGGAGGAGAGGAGGAGTCTGCGCGCCCACCGAGCCTTCACACCCAACGACGAGTGCTTCTTCATCTTCCTCGATGTCAGCAGAGACTTTGTGGCCAGGTGAGTGAGGAGGAGATGCAGTTTCACGCAAGTACAGATCTTATTCGGTTTGATTTTAAAAGTCTGGTAACAACAGGGGAAGAACACTGGGATGATGGGTAATGTAGCACTGCCGTTTAAATCTTTCTGTTTCTATACCGATGCATCACAAAGTTTCTATACTCGTAATTTTTTTAATCAGATTACAGTTTTATTAAGGAAGTCAACACTCTTCTTAAGAAAACAATAATCAGTGCAGTGCTTTAGTTGGGTAAGAGGTGAGTTTGTTTAACACACACTGAGGATTTCCACACTCAAACCTGTTTCCAAACTAAAACCAACCACCAAAAGCAGCTCTCACATTGTTGAAACCAACCCTCCACGGATAGGTATGTTTGTCTTGTGGGTGGTGTTGACGACCGAGTGATTAAGACTGAGAGTCTTGGAGGATTTCCAAAGCTGATAAATAACAAAAAAACACTTCTTTAAAGCCGTTAAAGACGCTCTACAAGTGCTACATTTCCACAACATGGTTAATAATTGTTTGCGTTTGAATTTAGAGTATCTGTTTCCTTTTTAACGACTAAGAGTTTGTCTCTTTTTCAAAGTTCAGTCACAGCTGGTTTTAGTTTGATCATTCTGGCTTTGTTTAATCAGAGACGCAGAGACTAACAGGACTCTGGAGTCAGATTTGAAAAACATTGACCTTTCCTTTTTTTTGTTTCATTATGCCTGATGTTCTGCTTCTGTGAGATAGAAACCTGCCCAGCTTACACGTTTGTGTTTTGTAACATGAAATTAAAAAGGATCCGTTTGCAACATTTTTCAAATCTCACTCACCTTTTTTATAACTATTTTTCCTTTGATTTATTCAATTTCAGCCTGACCATATAGAATTAAAATTCAGGTTTGGGCCTCAAAGAATCTGTATTTACCGTTTTTCAATCTTTATGAAGCTTTTAAGCTCTTTTATACATCTCTGGACTTCTTCAACATAACTTTTCCAACACTCTTTATAAACACATGGCCTTGAAAGAGGGTGTTGTGACTTTGGTTAAGGGTTGAGTCCTGGGAGGCAGGATATGACCTCTAAAGTATGCTGTGGAAGCCGCAGTGATATTTACAAAAAGGCGGCCATAGCAACAGAGTCCTTTGCTATGAAGACTGTTTTTGCATTTATATCAATGAAAGATGTAGGGAAACCGTTACTGTTCTTGTCATGAATGTGATTGTCCATCTACTGGGTCCCAATAGACCCAATTAGCTGATCAGAGTGATGTAGGCGCAGGAATATCTGAGATTAGTGTCAAAAAGAGTGAGCACTGACTGAGAGTTGTGCTTTGTTTGAGTTAGTGATAACCGTCTGAATCACGTGGCAGAGTTGAGCCTGTCTGGAGAAGTTCACAGGCTAACTCTCCTCCAAGTTCTCCTGCCACTTTTCTCAACAAAGGACCCGCTTCAGAAAAAGTGAACTGTCCCTTTAATTAATGAAGAGAAACTAATCTCATTAATCCGTATTTATCCATATCATAACTTGCAGCTACGGTACAAGCACTGTTGTTGAATGTTGTTTCTTCCTGCCTGTAGTGGAGCAGAGGACAAGCACGGCTACATCTGGGACCGGCACTACAACATCTGCCTGGCACGTCTGGCTCATGACGACGTGGTAAACTCAGTGGCGTTCAGCCCCGCCGACCAGGAGCTGCTGCTCTCAGCCAGTGATGACTCAACCATTAAGGTGTGGCGCTCACCACGTATGGTCCGCTTGGCTCAAACCCCTGCTCGACCACCGAGGCCCCGCAGCCTCTTGTCGTCCTGGCTCAGCCGAAACAAGAACTCAACGTCTGCTGGCAGTATGAACGGAAGACCGTGAGTCAGGTTGACAAAAACCCTGCAGTGGAAAGGAGAGGGAGGGGAAAATGAGATCTTTTTCCTCTGTGGTGTGAATATAATATACATACACTCCATGTATATGTACAATGTGGTTACAGTTGGTGGTTGTGTTTGAGCTCACAGTGTTTTAACACACAGAAGTGCTTGTTGACATAAGCTAAAGAAAGCGGTTTGTGATGCGACTCAGGGGTTAGACACAAGAGAGCGCCAGAGCACCAGCACCGGGACAGGACACAGCACAGACTCTTGAGTGCTGTCGACAGGAGTGATGTGAATTTTTTTTACCACAGGTAGACATAGTGTAGACACCTAAACGCACAAGACAGACGTCCAAACGTGTTCCCCTGAGAGACGTGTCTGTTTTTGTTTGTCTGGACAGCTCACGCACAGGAATTGTGGACCTGAGGTGGAAATGCTCTCGAGAGATGAAAGTGTATGTTCTGCTCATCGGAGGCAAAATGCTGTAACAGAGAGAAAAAATTCCAAATGGTTGTTTCTTATTTATGGATATATCCCGTTGATGTCTTGAGTATTAACACCTCAAAAATCCTGTTTTCAGAGATCTAAAAAACAAAAAAAAGGGAAATCAACACTTAGCTGCTTTTACTGCATTCTGCCTGTTTTTTTTTTTTTTGTTTTGTTTTTAGCTTCATCACGTCACCTCGACTTTGTGCCCCTGAACTGAATGCTCACTTTACTATTCACATAGAACAGTTTAATGATTTGATCCTGAAGAGTTCCGGAGGCACAGATTTTGAGATTCATGACTGTGAACTTAAAAAAGTCTGTGTAGCTCATAATAATTTGGACCTAAAACACAGAAATGTATTTTAGCACCGATGTTAATATCTGGCACAAAGCTGCATCCTTGATTTTGAAACACCTCTCTGACATTTTTTAATATATACTTTTTTTTGTCTTTCCCCATCAGTATATGTTATAGAAAGTTTTTCTAAAATCCATTTGTAGAGTGTAAGGTGCATGAATTGAACCTGCATAGAGCCCCTCTGAAGACAGCCCTGCCTATATACTTTGGGTGTTTTCATGGCAAGCGATAGACTTGATCCTGTCTGCCAAAAAAAGTAAAGAATCAGCACCCCACAGTCCTTAATTCTAATTTTTTTGTGTATGTAATATTTTCTATTTCTGATTTGACACGTTTCATGAGTACATAAGCCCACTACATAATGCATGTGTTTGTGGTTGTGACATGGTGAAAAAAAAAGGCCCAAATTGTGAAATTTGCAAACTAAAAAGAGAAGTATTTATTGGACGAATTCAATACTTGGAGTTTAGAAGAAAAAATGTCGCCACTGTTTTGGGAAGTATTGATTTAGAGCGGGGAATCTAGATAAATAGTGTATTTTACAGAAATTTCAGTCAGACAAACAGTACCAAAGTCTTTTATTTAGACATGACACGTGTTTTAAATGAAATTGAGAACATAGAACAACTCAACAATGCAAAAAAGATTTTAAATTCTCAGACACACCTTTATAGAGTTGAGAACATGAAGATTGCAGAAAAAGCGAAGCAACTGTCCTCTCAAAAGCCCGTTTAAAACTTTTGTTTTTATGTACCGAAGTGTCCATAAATATTCGTGTGAACATGGGTTACCCCTTGTTTTCCCAACAAGCCTAAAGTTACTCACTTAAGTCTTAAATCTCCAAAACAAATCTTCCATAAAACAAAACAAAAAGTGACTCATTTGATATTTCATGAGTTCACTGTTTAAACCAGAAAAAAACTCAAGGTACTTTACCTGACATCTGCTTTGAGATTCCCCGCTTGAGACCGTTTTGACTGATAACACAACCCTAAAAGACCTTCAAATTGGAATTTGATTTGGTTGTAATTGCATGTACGTTTGTAAGAAAAATCTGTGTGAGTTCATCACATCTCTGGCTGTCTCTTGCCACTGACCGAACAATATTTTTCATGTTTTTCTAAAAGTGTGTGATAGGTCATGAACTTCTCCTCGGTTCCCTTTGGCATCTTTCTCATCTGTAGCTGCATCTTTTTAATTATGTTTCCTGTCAACTTCTGTTTTTTTTTTTTCATACACCCCTGAAATAAAAAAGCATGCCGTGAAAGGCCAGAAGTCTACTCAAGTGTCAAGTTGATTTCTTTTTTTCCTGTTTAAAAGTTTAAGTGTTTGTCAGAAAGCTTGGAACAGTGTCTACTTTTCTTCGCCTGTATGTTTTAGTATAACACTGTTGTCAGTATCAGCTCTTAGATGCAGCACTTTTTTTGGCATAAAAAGATAATGAGCATGTTTGCAAGCTTTAAAATACTATGGTATTTTTTTAATGTTGGCAAGATTGTTGTTCACCATCCAAATGTAGTGTGTTAGCACTTGCTAATTGGTTTAAATCATAGACTGTATATAGTATATACGGTCTGTGGTTTAAACATATATTGAATTACTGTTTCGAGGTCCAACTTCATGTTCTTTGACCAAAAAATGACTTCAAATATTGAATTTGCAAAGTTTTCATCTATCTGTAGAAAACTATCTCAGTAAAATATCAGAAAATGGATCATGGGTCAGTTTAGGGATCATTGAGATGATGTAATACAGTCGTATTTGGCAGACACAGTGCAAGATACGTACATATTCTGCTGTGTGTCACAAAAATAGAAAATAATGCAAGAAGAAGAAGCTGGAATCAGAAGATACTGCTCTAAAACAAACAAAAAAACTGTAGTAAACAACCTTTCAAACATTAGTAAGTTGACTTGTGAGAGAGTAAAACTTAATTCAACTTATTAAAAATTCTTATGCGCATTCAAGTTTTATCCATAGACTGTATATACTATGGACAACTTGGTTCCGCCTACCGCCAGTATACGGATTTGAAGCCAAAAAGCCCTCGGTATTTCCGGGATTTTTCTTCATTTCCTGAATCCTGTAGCGATGCGTGCAGTTGGCCGCGCAGTCGCCGAGAGTCGCTTGCTGCGTCCGAACTGCCCGCTCGGATACTACATGCTACTGCGACGTGCTACTGCTAGATCCTACTCCTACATACTAAACACGTTGGCCCAATTCGGACACACTAGACGAGCGGAGGGGAAAGACGACCCCCGCAGGAAGAGAGTAGGTACTGCGCCCGTGCAGACAGTGGTAACTGAAGCCCCTCATCTGCGGGCCTGGCTGTAGTACTGCAGCTGTGCAGTTTAATGATGGAATAAGTGAGCTTTACCTCCATGATGTCGCCACATATTTGCTCATAAAATGATTACTTGGGCAAATATGACATCATGACATGACAAAGAGATACAACCGCACATTTTTTAGGACAGTGTGTGAAGTTACATGAAACTTACATCTGTACTGCTGCGGTCCCGCCTGCTGCTGCCGCGACATGGTGCGCGCTGCTGTGGCCAGCCGGCGTTCGCGACACATTTAAATAGGCAGAGCAGCTGGTGGCGCTAGCATCACATGCGCTTCTACAACTTTTAAGAGGACGAAGAAGAAGCCCGTGGTGCATTTTGGGTCAGTAGCATGCCCGTAGGATGCACCGAGACCAACCTACAATGTGGGCGTGTCTAGTATCTGAAGAAGTATCTGAAGTAGCATGCTACTAGCTCCGGTGGCCAATTCGGACATGCTAGATATTACTTCGACTACTACTTCGACTACTACTTGGCAATTCGGACGCAGCTGCTGTGATGACGCTCGGCTCAAACAGCGTATCACTCAGGTGAGCTACGCAATCCCTGAACGCCAATAGGCTGTATCAGGTGTCAATCATAGAAAATATGAACCCCCTAATAACTTTGAAAAAACGGAGCTGAACAGAAAAAAGAGGACTTGAGCACAAACCAGTCTTACTGTAACTACATGTCAACATCACAAGCAGGGGGGAGAAAAATTTATGTTCTGTGTCATAAATTTCTAAAGTTTGTCTCCATAAGCTTTGCTGGCAGAGGTGGGATTTATGACCTATACTGCAGCCCGTCAACAGAGGGTGCTGTTCTCAGGTCGGCTTCACCCAGCGAGGAGGCAGACTCTGTCCATTCTATATACAGTCTATGGTTTGATCATTATCCTTGTGAGGTCAGAAATTCGTCAATTCACAGAAGATCTGAGCTGCAGTAAAGAAAGAAATTACACTTTTTAGCAATAGCCTCAGAATATATGACAGATACTGACTTGCACTTCCCCTTGGTTATTTCTACAAGCACAGATGTCTGTTTTCTTAGAAACAATGACATACTTTGCTATGATGACATGTTTCTCTGTCACCTGAGCCGTAGAGTAGCTAGGGTACTGAGTGTCACAATGCAGGATGTGACTCAGAGTGCTCAGTTTGGGGTCAATGCGGTGGTGTGAAAACCACGCTGAAGGAGCATTTCTTTAAAATAACTCTATGCTGTCATGAAAACACTTTGAACGGGGTAGTCCAGGAGGAAAGGAGTCAGTCTGTACTTAGAAAAGTCACTTTTGTTTTAATGCAGTGGTTTGAGTTTGGTTAAAGGGATATTCCGGCGTAAAATTAATTTAGGGTCAAACATACCATAACACCGAGTTAGACACACCCTCGAGAGATGAATGTTGCCGACCACTCGCTTCTCTAGTTGAACCAACTTCAGTAACACTGCAGAATAGCAATACACAGCAGTCTGAGGAGCAATAAACAAACCTCAACCAAAATGCCACTCTACAAATAATGCTCAGAACAGCACCTAACTTCATCAACAGTACATATAGGGTCCCAGCCATAGTACTAGCCACTAAACATCTTTTTAACTTTGCCTGATTTCTTTAGTAAAGAGACTAAACACAACTCACCTACTCTCTTACAGCAGCTACTTGTTTGTACATAGACCTCGAGCCAGTCCATTAAGGACTACAGCGGGGTGACGCAGCTCAAGGAAGAACATTTATGATCATTACTATTTTAAAATGTAATCAGACCGAGATGCTAAGGCAGAAGAACTACCGCGTCTGCAGTGCAAAATATGATTATTACTTTTAGGAAATGATCATAAATGTTCTTCCTTGAGCTGTGTCACCCCACAGCAGTTCGTAATGGACTGCTACAAACAAGCGGCTGCTGGAAGAGAGTCAGTGAGTCGTGTTTAGTCTCTTTGCTAAAGAAATTAGGCAAAGTTAAAAAGATATTTGGTGGCTAGTGCTGTGGCTGGGACCCTATATGTACTGTTGCTGAAGTTAGGTGCTGTTCTGAGCATTATTTGTGGCTATAGAGTGGCGGTTTGGTTGAGGTTTGTTTATGGCTCCTCAGACCGCTGTGTATTGCTATCCTGCAATCCTTACTAAAGTTAGTAAAAGTAGAAAAGCACCGGTCGGCAACATTCATTTCTCGATGCGATGTCTGACTCGGTGTTACGTAGTGTTTGACCCTAAATTAATTTCACGTCGGAATATCCCTTTAACTTAGGTCACGAAAACACTTTTTATCCTTAAGTTTACTCTCTTTTAGGACGACTAAGTTTGGTTTAACTTGTTCAGGTTTTTTAAAATTCTTACTTTTTAAACACTTTAAAGCTGAATTCGTAAAAAACAGAGTGTAGTGTCTGTATATGCTGAGATCACTATGGCAACACAAGATGGCGACGTTAGCGTTCAAACAGTTAGCCTCATTTTGGCACGCAAACAGTTGATTTTAGCTAATTAAAAATGCGGCTCAGATTGCCAAGAGGGCCGTATGTCTGGGTTTTTGGGTTTCACATTACAGTATTGTACAAAAAGGTCCATTTTACACCTGAATTAAGAATAGTGGTGAGAAATTTGCTGGTAGTACTCAGTCCTTGTTGAACACGAATGGTTGGTCTCTGCATTGGGACCATGAAAGTCAGTAGGTGTCTATATCTGTTTTTGCGCGTAGAACTAGTACGATAGAGCAGCTCATGTGCAACCAAAAATAAAACTGTGTTTTCTTTTCCGTGCAGTCTCACCCACAGTCTGTGATCTCACCCTATCGAAAGTGAGAGCCCACCAAGGTTTGCATTTGCAGAGTTTTGTGAACAAAGTCGGTTAACTTTCCATTTCTGCATGAGGCAAATGGATGGAAAATTCATGGTTGTGCTTTAAACTGAAAATAGAATCAAATTTACAAGTGAAATAATGATTGAAATGTTGCCATATTGTATGCACATAGTAAAAAGTAAGAAAACAGCATGGTGAAGAACAAAAGTTGCTGCTGTATGAGTTTTTTTTATTGTTATTGTGTGCGCCTCACACAGTCTAATATTTTTTATATAGGCCTACTATAGGCAGGCCTTACAGAAGCAGAAGTTGCAAAATTTGTGCAACCCAGTCCTCAGTAGGATTCCAAACCCTTAAACATTTTTGTTTTGCTCTATAATTCAAACTCTGCCACTCAAGTCTCAGTAAAATCACACAGGTGTTGCTCAGCTATTTGACTAAATTAACCCTAATGGCTGTAATTATGTTTGAGTCTTCTCTGTAATGACGTAAAGGAAAAAAGTACACCATGTTCCCATGTTGCAACACTAGCAAACCATCAACCAGGTTAGCAGCTTCACAGGCAGTTTGCTCACATATTAAGAAAAACCACACACGCACAGTGGTCAGTGTGTACTTATTTCTTCACAATGCTTGTTGCAAAAAGTAGGCGGAGTGTTTGACACCCCAAAAATGAGATACAAGGTGAAAGCGTCGACTCTGGCCCACAGTGGAAAGTCTTCACATTTAACTTTTAACACTGCATACACCCCCAGATATATGTCATCGAGGTCTGCTCTGGGGATATTTCTGATAAGAGGGGGTTTTGTGAGGTTGATTCAGACCTGATAACTTAATCAGTGTCATACAGGTGGATTATGTTTTGTTTGCTCTAAAGATTTTTTTTATGTACTATTACATGCTGGTTTGGTTGTTGGTATATTTTCCTCTTTATAATCATAAGGTTTTTTGTTTACAAATGCAAACTGACACTGCTGAATCACATAAAAAAGACAATAACACATATAATTCATCAGAAAAATCAATTTATTTTGATTTTATTCTTTTTTAAACTAGTTTTCATCATACTACTTCTAACAAACTTTGATGTTACACACATATACGATGAAAACTCACACCAAGTTAAAAGGAAACTAGACAAAGTTGAGAGATATAATAAAGGTAGGAAAGCATAATTTATAGTGGAAACGAGTTATCAAAGTTTTCTGGTACACTGAATGCACTTACCATCAAGGTATGTTTTTCATTTAGCTCAGTATTGTTATATGTATCTACAGCTGTATATTTTCAGTTTCCATAAGGCCATTTATAAAGTACATTTTAATACAAGTTTCTGGTAGGTAGGTAAAAACCTTCCTAAGGATGGTGACTTCAGGTTTAAGTAGTTCATATCAGTGAATTCCACAGTTAGCGCTAAAGTAAAGCTGTAAACATAACACAAAGCAGTCTAAGAATCTTATATCTTTAAATGAGGTAAGTTTTATGCTCAGATCCCATATTTACGGCAACATAGATAAGTTTATTTTGTCACAGTTTTATGAAACTAAAATCCTACTCTTTTATGTAAAAAGCATTGATTTAAGAAAACCTTGACTTCTAACAGAAGGCCAAACATCTTTGTTTACTCCTGTCATGCGAGCGATTTGTCCTGTTCAAAAAAGATGTAAAGAGTTACAGAGTATTACCGCTATTATAATGCATATATAGATATAATTCCGACAAGGTATATGACATAAAATATATGTTAATAAATGCAGAGTATGTCACATTAGGACGACTACAGCGCTCCTTATAGTAAGACCGTTACTGAGCTCAGCTATTTCCTGTAGCTAGAGCGTTTACTAGTTCAAGCACTTTGCTTTAGCGGCGAGTGGCAGCTTCATAAGTTTGTGATTAAGGTGCTTCCTAAGTCAAATGAATACAAGACATATACACGATAAGAGTAATGGTTTAGTTTATATAAAGCAGAGTTTTGACATGGCTGTGCCTCCGTCCATCGGTTGCTATAAGTCAGGTTAATTTATCCTCTAAATATGGATGCCCATAACTCAAACAGATCCACAGCCTTAGATGTGACTTCCCATCATTGTATATCTGCCCTAATGTGACACTGACAAGAATTACATTCTTGTCATATAATATAGATATGATATAATTATTATGTTTATCATATATAACAATATAATAAAGTTATTGTATTTATATATTTATTATTAGTTTCTCGTTTTTGCCTTTTTAAGTATTTTGGTGTAGCTTCCACAGTACACACATTACAAGCCAGTTAGGTCTACGATGGCTTTTATGAATATTGTATCATCTCTGAGATACGAGCTCTTGCCTGCCAGTTTAGCTAGCGGGCAAAAGAGCGGGCAGCCGCTGGCGATATTCATCTCACTGATGGGTCTCTGGAAAGAGCTGGAGGTGACATCGGGGCGGAAAGCATCGATGATGTGCTCCCTGTTGTTCTGATCCAAGAGCATAAGAGTCACCTGAAGGAGGAGGAGAGAGAGAGGAGCTTGTACTTGTTCTGTTTGGTGTGGCGCACAACTGGCGCAAAAGATTTCTTCAAACGTTCGTTTACCTTCTGACTGAAAGGCCACTTGAGCAGAGCGTCGCACTTTCCCCTCATCACGACGAAAAACAGTGACAGATGAGTTCCTCTGCCTGTCCCGTCGCCATTCAGATACAGCCTCAGGCACATTTTGTAGCCGTACTTGCTGGAGTAAAAAGCTGTGAGAAGCAGGAGAGGAAGGATGTAAATGTAAGCACAGGGCTTAAATATAATGGTCATGTGAAAAAAGGACACACACAAACACTCCCTGAAGAACAACAAGGGCGTAGAGAGGAGGAATTCCCCGTGACTACACGCCAAGAGTCAAGATCATGTGAAACACATGATTCTGGCTCACTCAAGTTCAGGAATGGCAGACAACCCAAAGACAGCTGCCCTGATTAAAAAGCAAACTTTTATTATACTCTGATTATTTTTTTCCATCTAGTTGAATCTATTTTCATCTGTCAGTCTTGTTGGATGCTTTCTCATTCTTTCTAAATAATCTCACTGGATTTATGGTGTTTAAAAAAAGGAAGTAGGTGGACGGGTAAAGCCTTTAACTTTGATCTCACCTGGAGAAAACATGGCAGGTGTTCTACCGCCCACAGCATCCTGTCTGCGGCGGGCGAAGTCTGAGATTTTCCAGACAAATATCCCGTCGTAGGTGCAGAACTGGAGCTCTCGCACCATCTGGTCTCGCTCGGCCAGCTGCAGATCTCTCATCTGGACTGTCCGCTCTAACTGGTTCACTCTGTTGGAGAGGTTTTCGATTTTTTCTTGATCTAAACGATGTTGATGGGAGAAAGCATCCAATGTCACAGAACTCCGCTCCACCTCCCGGTTCAGGACACAGACTATGTTTTCCAAAGCTTTGACCTGTCAAGAACACAGAAACGAATCCACTTAGACCCTCGTTCAACAACTACAAACCTGAGCAGTATAAGAACAAGGGATCGATCGAACCTTTTTATCCAAGTCCACAGACTGCACAGAGGCTGCAGCTCCGGCGCCCATAGTGACTCCCTCCTCAGGAGACCTGTACAGGCCCAGACCTGAGTCCTCCTGCCACTCCCCAGGACCAGGGTCAGAGCGTGTCCTCGCCATGGACAGCACCATGGGCAGCAGCAGACGCAAGTGCTCCATGGTGCTGCTGTGCTCATGGTCGCTGAGCTTCCCGTTTTCTATCTGAAAACGCACGACAGACAACTTTTACCCCCTGCTTTCACAGAGGAGGCCCACACTGAAACTGCTGTCAGATTTCTTTTGTGGGGGTAAATACAACAAAGATGTTCCTCTTAAGTTTCAGTTAGGCCTAAAAAAAACCCTCAGCTAATGTTTGTTGGGAGACTTAAAAGTTAAAAACAAAAAAACTTCACAGCTTTGACAGAGCTCTGTGGGCACCTCAGAATTCAAACAATGCTCAACTCTGATTGGTGGAAACAATTTCCTGTTGACTTTTTCAAACAGAGCCACACCCACTTGATAAATAAACTGTTGTTTCATTTCTTTGTAAGGGACCTCTTTTCAGTCTATTTGTCCTGGAGTATTTGGTCAACTCCCTTAACTAAAGAAGTAAAGAAAGAAGCATATTTGTGCAGATGACTGTACATACCACAGATTTACAGCCCACTTCATTGAAAGGACAGGCACTCTTTGTCTTGGCACAGGACTTGATGTGGTCGTTGAACTGAAGGTAAGAAGAGACAAAAACAAAAAGTTTAGGACTATTGACCAGCTCCCAAAAAAGTTCCCGGATCAAAGAGAAAAATGAAAGTGAATGGGATTCACAGTCATAGGGAAACTTAAAGCTCAACAGGAGACCACTTTCACTTTCTAGACCATCCAGGAGCAACACACACTGATACTTTCTGTCTCTTGTAAACATTCCTTATCATTTTCTTGGCTTTAAAGCTCTTTAGGTAATTTTGTGCTGTTCAGGGCACGTTATATCTTAGCAGAGGCTACAGATCCAGTATCATTTGTTTAAGAAAATGCGTAATGTGAAAATCTTTTGCTCCATTTTAGAAAAACAATATGAAATGCAACGAATGAGTAAATCTGAAGTCGTGCATATTAACTGTGCGAATGCTCACATCGCGTTAACAGTGAATTTGGGATTTTTGCGCAGTCTTGTATGTTCATGAATGTTTCAAACCTTTTCTCGTGGGATCTTCTTCTTGCCGCAGTCTTTGCATTGTAAGGGAAACTTGAGGCAGATCTCATCATGGGCCTGAAATACACCATATAAATATATATGTATTAGAATATTACTCCCAGTCTATTTATAATATCTAAACAAGCTCAAAGCTTTCACTTGCTTTCTCTGCTCCTCACCTTGATATCTTTAAAGTTGAAGGTCATTTTGCAGTATTTGCAGTTGAGCATTCTGGCCTCACACTCTCTCTCAGCGTGTCTGTCCTTCTCCGTACGAAGGATCAACATTTTGCAGGCCTCGCACTGTATCCTCTCAAATTCACAGTGACCTTCATGCTGACTCTAAATATTCAAGACAGAGTTGTATTCATTAGGACACTGTAAGTCTTTTGCATGAGCCAGGTGTTCACTCTGACTACTTTTAGAGGAATATCCAACAAAACATAGAGCTTTGTCAGTGTTATTTAAGGACGACACATCTTTGTTTATCTTCACTTGCTTGAATGCAGCTGTAAAAATCAGACACACCTGAACATGTAAGCAGGAGTGGTCTATAATATACTGACGGTTTAAAGTGGAAAAACAAGCTGCTCTTTTTTTATACAAACATTGTAATTATCTATCACCAAAGCACGGCAGCTGGGCAACTACGGTAACAATACAGTGCTGCTGTTTGCGTGACTTGGTACTGACAAAAGATTCTTTCCGACCTTGGGAGGTATAATCAAACTGCTGAAATCAAATTATATGTAATTAAATGCGACATCATGTAAACACAAATAACACAGCGAAGATAAGCAAAGCCTCTTTTTTAAAAAGCAGATACTAAAACGCCAAAGAGAGTTTTCAAAAGATGGAAAGATTGGGAAGTAAAAGTACAAAACATGGAAGAATGAACACAAAAATAGTCAAAATATTTTTTTAAAGTTACTTTTAAAAAGTTAGTTTCTTTATTTAAAGCTGTTAAATCTTTGATAATTTTGTAAAAGAAAAAAAAAACTTTTACAAAAATACGGAAAAAAATGACGTTCTGGCGCCAGGAAGGGGCGGAGTTTAATGACCAGGCCGGCGGTCTCTCCACAATGGACGTTGATCAGCACGTAGGAGCCACGGAATCGAGACAAAGGTAGGCTTGCCTCTTTTTAATCTCTAATCGAAGACTAGTCTGACGTTTGACGAAGCAAATCTAAAACTACATAACCAGTCTGTGGAATGTCGGTCATCACCGCGCCTTACAAACATCCTGTTTCGTTTGTTTTTCCAGCTTTACGAAAGTTAGCTTTGGGTGTAAACTGCAAGCTAGCGGCAGTACGGATCATTTACCACAATGGTTAGTGGCTGTTAACACATGAGCGTATCAAACAGTGCAGCAAACATTTACCACACAGCGCAATTTTTGCAGAGTGGACACTAATTCTGTGCTCCTCGACGGTAAACAGGACTTAAGTGACAAGAACTCGTGACCGCGTGTGCAGATTTGCACGCAGTTCTCATTTTTTCATTTCCTAAATCAGCTTCTAAAGCTGATCTCAGTGGAGTCATACTGAGTTAAACCGCAAACAGAAAAGCACGCTTTACACTGAATTAGCGCCGGGTAGACAGAACATGGGAGAATGAACACAAAAATAGTCAAAATATTTTTTTTAAAGTTACTTTAAAAAAGTGAGTTTCTTTATTTAAAGCTGTTAAATCTTTGATAATTTTGTAAAAGAAAAAAAAAACTTTTACAAAAATACGGAAAAAAATGACGTTCTGGCGCCAGGAAGGGGCGGAGTTTAATGACCAGGCCGGCGGTCTCTCCACAATGGACGTTGATTAGCACGTAGGAGCCACGGAATCGAGACAAAGGTAGGCTTGCCTCTTTTTAATCTCTAATCGAAGACTAGTCTGACGTTTGACGAAGCGAATCTAAAACTACATAACCAGTCTGTGGAATGTCGGTCATCACCGCGCCTTACAAACATCCTGTTTCGTTTGTTTTTCCAGCTTTACGAAAGTTAGCTTTGGGTGTAAACTGCAAGCTAGCGGAAGTACGGATCATTTACCACAATGGTTAGTGGCTGTTAACACAAGCGTATCAAACAGTGCAGCAAACATTTACCACACAGAGCAATTTTTGCAGAGTGGACACTAATTCTGTGCTCCTCGACGGTAAACAGGACTTAAGTGACAAGAACTCGTGACCGCGTGTGCAGATTTGCACGCAGTTCTCATTTTTTCATTTCCTAAATCAGCTTCTAAAGCTGATCTCAGTGGAGTCATACTGAGTTAAACCGCAAACAGAAAAGCACGCTTTAGACTGAATTAGCGCTGGGTAGACTTTTTAAAAATTAACTCACACACTAAATTATTTATATTTTAATCCAAAAAAAGACACCCCTTCAGACACAAAAGTACAAGCAGCTTTTCTGGTGCCTAATCTCCCTCTCCCAGAACACATCCAACCACTTTCTGTTTCAAGGACAGGGATCATTGTGTAGACATGCCAAAACCTGTTTTACGTCTCTACAGCCTTTGTGCCTCCTGCCTTTTGAAACAACTGAACCTTAACCTAAATGGATATGCTCTTCCTCACATGTTTAACTAACTCCTCTGCAGTCACGAATCAAATGACCCTTTATTATGCTGCTGGTACTTCCCCACAGGGTTGTTTTGTATGCCGGTAACATGGGGACTTTCCAGTCTGTACTGCACTTCCTGGCTGCAACCACCAAGTGCTTTGAGTGCAACACTGTAATATATCTCAGTTGCAGAGTGAGCGGGAGCTTTGCGAGAAAGGAAAGTTAGGGCTGGAATCTAAAGAATGAGATGATATACTCTGTGTGAGCATTGCGCAAAGATTGCGATGTAGTGACAGCACTAGTTTCGGAGAGATCAAGTTCACACTATAAACAGAAGGGCGGAACAGAAAGCAGAAGCAGCCAACACCCCTACAATGACACATAGAAGCCAAACTTATGCCTCACCTCATACTCTTTTATGGAGCCTGTCCAGCTGCAGCCTTGGTTTAGACATCTGGCAGGCAGGCTGGCTATCTCTCTACCTGCTGCATTGTCTGGGAATGCCTGGTGGGTGACAAAACACAGACTTTCGTTGACTCCCTGACTTATAATAGCTTCTAGCAGACATACCAAGTCTCACTGTCTGAACAGAGGGGATCTCCCACAACAGTTTAGTCACAGTCCTTCCTCTAAGACTGAGTGGGAGTTAGGATACTGTTTGGATTACAAGGATATGTCTCACAATAATACCCTGTTATCTGAATACTTCTTAACTTACCTCATTGCTGTTAAGAATGGACATCGGCTCCTCATATATTTCCTCTTGGCGGCAGGCATCGCATGGTTTGGGCCCACAACTGACAAACAAAACAGGTTTGTGATTTTAGTTAGAAAAAAAAGAAAATGAGGAGGAAACAGCAGCTGGCTCACACAAACAAAAGGAAGCTTTAGTGCCAAACAAATGCTGCAATTCATGAGAAAAACAGACTGAAATCAAGTCGATCAGAACAGCGATTTCATATGTGGTATGATGAACGGAGGAAAGCAGTTACATGAAAAAACATTTATCATGAACTTGTATTTAACCGTTCCACTTCACAGTTTTAGCTTCATATATTTTAAATATATTTGTTTGTTTATTAGCTGATATGCAAGGGATGGTAACAGATAAAGAGTCCATTATTAGAAATGTATTAACCACGATGAGGCCAGCATGTCCATGAAGTGTCCGAACTTTATTAAGAGACAACTCAAAGAGTTCCCTACGTCTTGGAAAAAAACTAGGCTATTATTGTTTTCACACGCTCTACATCGGAAAGATAATATTCGTGGCTCTGTTTCCCTGTGAATGTGATTAACTCTTGTAGAAATCCCCTCCATCTCCTGAGAATTTGCTGGCATGGACATATGGGTCATCATTTCCGTGAATAGAGAATCAACTCAGCTGTCAGCCAGGAAGCTAGCGCCATACTTCCAACATTTAGCTTGAATGACTTTGTCTTAACATTAAATACGTGCTATTTGACCAAGTACCTACGATAAAGACTGGCTAGCTAATCAGTAATACCAAGTAAAGTGTGCATGTATACTTAATGAATCGGTACGTTTACTTGTCAAGCTGCAGTTAAAGTTTGATTTGGTGACTTAACTGGACAAAAACAGGGCAAAATTTAAATCATTGACAGAAGCCTGTGCACCTCCACTACAGCAGGTGGCGACATGTCTACTTTTCAGCTTGTTACTGTCGGGTCATCTACTGGTTGACTCATGGTGCATTTGAGTTACCCCGGAAGTCAGATGTCGGAGCTGAAATTGACTTCACACCCGAGTTACCAGTGTTTCTGTTACCAAGTCGGAAAAAAGCAAAATCGGAGGTGGAAACAAGATGGCTACACCTACGAAAGTTCTTTTACAAGGCAAGGACAAGGCCAGTGCTAAAATAACTCTCGTAGATGTAGCCATCTTGTTTCCGCCTCCAATTTTGCTTTTTTCCGACTTGGTAACCAAAATGTGGTAACTTGGGTGTGACGTCATTTTTAGCTCCAACATCTGACTTCCGAGGTAACTCAAATGCAGAATTATTCTGTATCAAAACAGTTGGCAAAAGACATTAGCAAGAGGCTAACGAGATACACGTCAACTGATGAAAACACCTCAACTTTTACAGCTGTGTTTTTCACAGTTTCAGTTTTTTTGTGTGTTTAATGTTCCTCCTTCGTTTGTCGAGCTTTTGTTTATCCATTGGCTTCTGACATCTGTGTTACTGGGGCCCCCTTGTGGTATTCAGAGGTACTGCAGGATTATACTCAGTGTTGTCAACAAAAAAAAAATGGTCGCTCTCTTCACTTTGTAGTTTCTCTTCATTAAAAAGCGTCGTAAGAGTCTGCATATATTTCAAATAGTTTTTTTTACATGATAAAGCTGCTCGTATCTCTCACAAGTAGCATAAACTGTAAATGAAGGCTGTCACTGTGTTACAAGTTTCAGTTAAACACCAGCGTACTGTGTGAATCGATGAAAAAACAGTGAGTCAGCAAACAGGTCAAGGAAAAAGAGAATGACGGACACCTTTGAATGAGTCAGCACAGTCAGATCCTTGTGATCAAGAGTGTAATCATGTGAGGATGAGTTTGCAAAAAGTATTTACTCTTCTAGCATTCCCAAAGGCAAGCAGGGACAAGAGCATAATGAACTGAAGCATTTCTGGCATGAGGGTATGCATGTAGGCTTTCTAAGTGGTCCGAGGACCTTCAGTGTACCTGGTGAGCTGCTTGAAGCAGTGTACACAGAAGCGGTGGCCGCACTGAGCCTGGACAGGCTTCCTCAGGACCTGGAGACACTGCTGACATTTGTATTTATTCTCCATGGGCACTGACAGCACACTGAGGGGAATCCCTGGTAAAGAGTTGGAACAATCCAACGAGATTCGATCCATTCTTCTCCATCAATCTGCTGCTAAATCCTGTGAATGAGTAACACACAAAACAGCTGTTAGCAGCCAAAACAGGCTTTTACTAGCAAAGACAGCACTTGTGAAGGAAAAACAGAAAGCACTTCAGTCAGGATGTCAGCAGTTATACCTGATGGAGGTGTCAGCACATGGAAACTTAAAAGCTGTGCTAAAAAAAAATGCCATGAAGGCAGTTTCCAAGCCCACATGTGGCTGAATGTGAGACGTAAACACAGGACTTGTTCATCACAGTGAAACTTGGTGTGCTTGGACCAAAATGTGTTCTGTAGCTACAGCCTGATGCGTGTATGATGAGTCACATGGGAATGATGTGGGCTAATGCAAATACCACACACACTTGGATGCATTTTAACAATATGGAAAGTCATAGACGCCACAACAAAGCCTAAAACACGCCGTCAAAACTCCTAGCTTCCCAGAAATCGTGCTTGTTTAAGATGATCATTTTTGGAGGTGTTCAAATTCTCAAAAACTGGTTTTCCGCATCTATGGTTAAGAGATACAGATCATGCATAACAGGAAACTGCTGACAGCTTCACCTGATAAGCTGCACTGACATGCAAACATGGAAGACAAATGGTAAAAATGTTAACACTGGCACACTTCGTTTACTGCAATTTAACACATGCTTTCTTTTTTCACACTATATGCCTTTTTAGTTTACTGAAACTTGTTTCTGTGTGTGTGTGTGTGTGTGTGTGTGTGTGTGTGTGTGTGTGTGTGTGTGGGGGGTAAAATTAACCCTCAAAATATTATGATTCAGTGGATGAAATGACAAGACAAACTTGTTTAACTCAAGGACACTATGGCACCCAGCTGAGAGTAAAAACTGTCCGAACATCTTCATCTCCATTCCAGTTGGAATTTTGAACATAGCTTTTGATTAAGATTTGCAAAGTGACGCTAAAAGTCTTGCCTATGGCTCCATCCAGTGGTTGTTATATGCAATGTCTGCAACGCATGAAATACCACACAATGCACCAGGGACCTACCAGGTGGGGTGTACCAAATATTTGCAACACTATCTTTGACTTTTTATGCATCTGTGTTTTGCAAGAGGAACATTTTGGTGTGAAACGATGAAAGGGCACTTTGTTTACAAAGTAAACATGTCAGTTTCTACTGACAGGCTGTTGTAGTTACAGAGGGGGGAAAAACATTGCTACCCTGTCCTCTGGGACTACAACATGACTGAAGGTTTTACAGCAGTGCAAAGGTTTACTCAGATACCTTCTGCATAGTAGATAAAAAAAATCAGTTTGGAAAAGTTGAATGAGGGAGAAACGGCAGGGCTTTCCCACAAGCTGTAAATCAATCATTAACGACATAATTAGGCCAATGCTGGTTCAAATCCAACGACAAGTCAGCTCTGCTCATTTTACCTTGAGGGAGTACCAAGGCTATGCTTAAAATTCACTACTTAACACCTTAAAACTAAAAGAAAATGTTTTAGAAATGTCTGATTTTTGAATACACAACTCATAGGAGGAGGTTATATGATTTATAATCCAAAAAAATCCATTACAAACAGAGTGGGGTGTTGTATTCCCACAAACCAGCAGATGTCATCCTATCTTGACTTTTCCTCCAACAAATTAACAGCAATCATTACAGCTTTGCGTGTCATTACATGACCTGATCTTTCAGTTCAGCTATATAGGCAGACAGAAGATGGTATGTAGTTTGTCTAGTTGAATTATATACACAATGGTTAAACAACTTTGCTCTATTTTGACTCCACCTAGTAACGGCTGAGTCAAAGTTATAAACAAATATATAATCAACTGGGTGTGAATCAAAAGTCCCTCTAGCTCCTGATAATCTGTTTACCACTGTTTTTCGAACCCTCATGGTTTGTTTGGTTGAATAACACACTTGTAACGTAGCACAAATCCTCCTCCAGGCTAATTTTGTTTAAAAAAAAAAAAAAAAAAAACAAGTGGCGCCCCCTGTGGCCAAAACCATGTTTCTTATCTCTTCACTGATTTGTTCCGTGTAAAAACCAAGCAGTTACTATGGTACAACTTGGTCTTGCAGATGCACAAATCTGCATGCATTTAAGCAAAAATTTAAGCCAAAATAGTAAGAATTATCACAAGTTGTGCAATAATTTGTCTCTCTTTTTCATGCCTGTGTGTGCACCTTTTCTGTGTGTACAGTACTGTTGTAAATTTACTTTGTCTATTACATCCTTGTCTGTTAGCTGTGCATATTTGACTTTGTTTCATAATCAGCTGATAAAGTCATCATGGAATTTTTTTTTTCTTTTAAACCAATAGCACATAAAGTTACGCTTTAAGACAGTGGGTTATACACGGCTGTCAGAGACAAACTTAAAAACTTTTCCCCTAATTTGAGTTTCAGTACAGAAAGTAGAAGCATGTGCCTACCTCTAACTTCAGTACATTTCCTTACAAAATGAGCTAAATAAAAATCTCATGATACTTGAAAAGCCACTTAGTGAACATATGACTAGCATTACATTGGCAGCTTTTGGACACAATACTAATCATTCTTGCTATAGACAATATATTTCTTCGTCATACTGTCAGGTACCTCAACTTGTACATTTTTTCATTCAACTCAAGTTACATTAAAAAATAGATCAGTGAGTAAAGTGAACTAAACCCCAACCAGAAGGGTTTTTTTTTTTTAAACCACCAACTCGCTCACAATTTCTATCACAGTCATTCACCCATTCATACCACATTCACACACTGATGGAAACTGCTCATCATTTTCAACTAATCCTGTTCACACACCGCCGGAGGCTTTTCAGGGTATCAGTATCTTGCTCAAGGACACTCTGGCGTGTGGACAGCAGGATCCGACATTGAACCAACAACCTTCCATCTGAGAAACGTCCAACTCTACTACTGAGCCACAGCTGTTAAATATAATATCCAGAATCTCTTAACTTTCACTGACATATCTTATAATTTTAGCCAATGTATATATTCTTAATACATACATTTTGTCATATTTCATAAAGTCCATCTTATTCAAATAAAATTATTTTTTTTCCCTATCTTAAGTTTTCAGTCTTGTTCAGTCTTGGGTCAATGAATCAGCAGTCCTTGATTTCACACACTGAATTATCTAGAATCATGACTAACAATTAATCATAACTAGTTGACTTGTCCCACACTGAGTTTCATCATCTTTACTTCAAAAAGATTTTGGTTCAACAGTTCATAGCAAGAAAGTTTACCGCCTCTTTTCTTGGAAAAAACCCAAAGCTGCTTATCAATGTCATAACTGCTTCCACCCTGTTCAATTCTGAGAAACTCTATCTGACACATCACCAGACTGGAAGGCCATGGGTGACTAGTGTTTTATCTCTGTTGAAACATGCACCAGTATTAGTAGTTTCACAATGGTTGCAGAGGTAAGTTTTGTACAAACACAGTAAACAAGACCTTTAAACAGCTTAAGCAAGTCCACTAAGCCTTACAGGGAACAATGAGCCAAGTACAACCAAGGTACCAGGCTGATGTTTTGTTAGTATCCATAGAAACCTGGGCAAAGTTGTAATCAAAAATTCAGTAAACAATCATTAAACTAGTTGATCCCAAGCAGATCATTCACCACAATCCACTGGTAAAAAAAAACATTGCTAAAACAGAGATGAATCTACGGACAATTTGGACTGAGCAGGTAAAAAAAAAAGGATGGAAGTAACATGAAATAATCCACCTAGAAACTAAGAACATAAATAATCCACAAGACTCATTTCTATCTAAGAAAAAATGTTGAACTGTAACTTTAAGCCATCTGTACAGTGATATTCAAGCCTGTTTGTGGAAGAAAACAACACCAAAACACTGCTGCATTTTTCGTCAAAACAACCCATGAACAAACTATCCTTTCACCCTCCAAAGTGAGTAAAACTCTAACAAAGATCAGCTCCTTCCTGACAGCTGTTTGCTCTAAAAAGCAGTCTGCTATCTGAAGTCATAAACACTGCCTCTCCTCTTCCTGCATGCTCGCCATTTTCTTGCTCAGTAGCAGTTTCTTTTAAAACAGCCCGTTTCTAGACTCCGAACTCCTGTCACACACTGCGCCTGAACCAAACTTCAATCTTGACTCACCAGACTTCCAAAAGTTCGCGTTCACCTTATATGAGACAACACCCAATCCCTAGTATTCATACTACACGATCACGTGGCACGAGGGGGGGAACGGTTACTGCGACTATAAAGCGCAGTGCATGTAGCGTCGGCTCATAATATCTTGTGCGTATTTGCTTACATGTACTACTACTATCCTACTGCTGTCAAACTTAGTACTTTTATTTTTAAGAAACTAACACGAACAAAAGACTTTACCAGGGATGTTCTACCGTCTGCTTTTCCCGTTGGAAAACTTTGGGAAGATGGACAGGTGTTTCGGTGTAAATAGTGACCCCAATAAATGAAGACTTACGGTTAAATGCGTCGAATCTGCTTTTGAAACACGGGCAAAGTCCTCCCAAAGGCACCCTTGTTTAGTTTTCACTTACCATAATGTGAAAGTACACCTTTACTGGAAAACCAACGGTTTAACTGTCTGAAAGTTGCCCGTTAAAGGGGTCACCCCGAAACACTACGTAAAAGGCAATGTTTGACTAATCTGTTACTACGAACATGAGTGCTCATTACAAAGGTAGTAAGGAGGGGGAAAAACGTCACCTAACCGACCTTGCTGTCCTGAAAGTGTAACGAAGAAAAACGACTTGTAGTTTGTCCGAAATCGCTCGGAAGGGCAACTCAACCTTTAGCTGTGTTTACTATTTCGGTGGTAAAGGCGCTTATTTTTTATATAAGGCAGTCCGGAGTTCTTATCTGCGGTATCTTCGGCTCTGACCATAAAAATATTCGACCCGCCCTCATACCAGGGCTGTCCCGGAGTTGAAAACCCAGCGAACCACACGCATGCGCAGTACTATCCGCAAAGTCACAACAATGTGGCTAACTGTGGGCAAACCTCTCCAAAGGTTGAACCAGCGGTACGGTTTGACCTGCACAGGTACGAAACGCAAAATTTGTAAGGCGTAGGACTAAATTTAAAGAAGCGTAAAGCTAGAATTGTTTTTAAGATGTGGGTCGATGTGGTTTAGCTGGTTTAAAGCTGGAATTTATGGATGTTAAAACCAATATAGCAGCATGTGATGCCAGCCAACATAGCTGTCCTAAGTAGCTAAATTAAGAAAATACAAGGAATTACGTTGTTGAAAATGGGTTTGATTTGTTTTTCCAACTCTTTTGTTCTGGAGGAAAGCTACGTTTCGTTTTTGTCCAAATAATTGTGTAAATTGAATGGAGAAATGGTGCTGCCTTACGAATCAAAACGCATGAACTAAACTAATATGAATTAAAAGGCACCATTTTTTGCAAGGACAAATGCATGTACCTACTATATCAATGTAAATAAAGCTACGTATTAAGATCAACACACTTACTGCACTCCACTTTGTCTCAGCAGTGTGTGTCCGCCAGTTGCACAGCAGTGCCACGCAGTTCACAGACAGCAGCTATGATGGTCTGTATCCTGGACACATCCACACCACCCCGGTCCAGAAAGCCCTTCTCGCTGTGGGGTCGGGGGTGGCTGCTCTCCAAAACCCTTACAGACATGGTGAGGCTCACACACATCAGCAAAGGGCTCAGGTTACAGCCTCTTCTATTGTTTGGGTCACTCTTTGTGTCTTGTTGAATTTTCCCTGTCTCCTTTTTCTCCTTGTGAAAGATGTTTTTCCGCGTCAAAACTTACAAACACTCACAAACACATGGCCGATCCACTGGCCCACAATACCTTTATTTCAGCCAAACAAAGAAAAATACACAAAATGACACTCTAATGAGGCTTAGAGATGTTGTAAAAACAAATATAGAGACATCTCCCTTGACAAGCGTGCATGAGAAATCCCCTGATGTTCCAAACTTTGGAAATTTCCTCAAAATGGGGAGCGGGTTTTGCTTAGTGGTTAAATCATGCAGCCCATATCCAGAGGCTTTCGTCCTCTGATCAGGCAACCCAGATGGATGCCAACTTGCTGTCCTTTTGTAGCATGTGATTCTTCGTACACTCTTCTCATTTTTCCTCTCCATCTACCTCTATAAAGGTATAAAAGCCCTTAAAATAAGTTGTGCTTGGTGTTGAAGACAATCCTTCTTTTAGTGGGGTAGAACATAAAGAACACAAACTCTAAATCTCTAATTCAATAAGTAATGCTTAAAGTAAGAGCAGCTCTCATGTGAACTTCAGTTTCTTCAAATAAAAACAGACAAAACCTTATCATTGTGTTCACTTCTTCTAAAACTTCTGTCTTATTAGCTGCTCTAGAAACTAAGAATCTCTAATAACAACAAAATGCCAACTTTCTGTCCTTTGTAGCATGTCATTCCTTATTTCTCTCTTCTCATTCCTCCTCTCCATCTATCTCTATAAAGGCGTAAAAGCCTCCAAACATTTTTAAAAATTCCTTAAAATAAGTTGTGCTTGGTGATAAAGACAATCCTTCTTTCAGTGGTGTAGAACATCAAAAAACACAAACTCTAAATCTCTAATTCAATAAGTAATGCTTAAAGTAAGAGCAGCTCTCATGTGAACTTCAGTTTCTTCAAATAAAAAGAGACAAAACCTTATCATTGTGTTCACTTCTTCTAAAACTTCTGACTCATTATCTGCTTTAGAAACTAAGAATCTCTAAAAACAACAAATTGTGATTGAGTTACACCTGTGAAGAAAAGATTTGGGTCATATTTGACCTCCAGGGTCTAGAATGAGCCTTGAAGGTCAACAGAGTGTTTCTCCATCTTTCATCGAGATGGAGTGGAACTGACTGTGGGAACTAAATGTGTTCCTAAAGTTCCAAGCTGTGCTATTAAAGCATTTGAAGAAACCAGATTTCCTCCACAGAGTTTAAGTTTTCAATTGACGCTTTGCAAGATTACAAAGGAATTGAGACTGAAATGATGCAGGGACATACTGTATGTCACGTTATTTATCAGTCTGCTTGCCTTACAAGAAATATGTCTGGTGAAGCCTGAGTCACAAAAAGAGATACTAACATTGATTCTTGAGATTCTTGTGATCAGTGTCCCTCTGACTGTTCGTGTCATGAGAACTTGACTGACTTTCATTATGCTTTACATTGTCACCGGTACCGAGTTTCTCTTCCACATACTTGTTCGTGTGCCTGTTGTCTCTAGAGACTGTTTTGACTGTAAAAAGTTTCATCGAAAAAGAGATCACGCACACCTGTCATTTGTCGTTTATTTTAAGAGCTGCAGGTGATTTTACAGAGCTTCACATTACCCTCAGTCTGTGGAATAATTTCATTTTGAAAAGTGCTCAATACTTACGCTAACACAATTGGAATCTAGATATATCTATCTGTCCTTTCAGTTCAGTATTTAAACTCCACTCTACTTTCTGTTAAAATATATAACTCTAGAGCTTAATTGAGAAAACCTCGATGGCATCATCAGGTTTGACATTTTCAGACCTTTTCCCTGAAAACCTCCCCCACTCAGCAGCTGTTTCACAGGTTGACTCAGGTCTGAAGGTGAGATTAATCGAACTGATCTTTAAATGTAAAGTTGGTGGAATGTCCCTTTTAAAATCAAGAATTAACCATTTTTTTAGCAGCTTCTCAACCTCTGTGAAGACAAACTTAAAAATGAATGTTGATTTGTGTATTCAGTATCATCTAATTTAATAAAACTCTGCACAGACATGGTTGCAGTACTCGGGGAAACAACCGGACACTTCGCGTTGATAAATCTCAGAGACAGGATGAGGAATGATCCTGAAGGATATGCTATCCTAACGTGAGATTTGACCCAGCTGTTATGTAACTTAATGATTCAGAAGCTTTTGAATTGTGCTTGTTTAGTGTTGAAGAAACTGGATTTTGTCTTACTCGATACTGCAGAGAAAGACCGAGAATCAGGCTGTCTACACTGGATCTGAACAACATGGCCACCTTACCTGACGGTTCTTTCGGGAGAGAATACCTCCGTTTTCTGGAGGATAACGTGAGTCTCTGCTGATGGATTTAATGTTTGTTTTGTGTTTCTTAGCATTGATGTCACCTAGAAAACCATAAATAGCTGTTGGAATTCCCTCTTCTAAGTTTCTTTCGCTTTCTCCCATGTACCTACCTTCTCTATCTGACAGCATGTGACCCCTGACTCCAGGGCTGATGTGAAGTTTGTGGACAATGAAGAGCTGGCGTATGTCATGCAGAGATACAGAGAGGTCCATGATTTACTGCACACGTTACTGGGCATGCCCACCAACATGCTGGGTGAGTCAGGCTGCATCAATTCTCAGCATGCTTCCCAGATAAGATAAAGTATAAGTCCAGAATGACTCTGGCCTTTTCTATCTTATCAGAGGGGTATTCCAGTTTCATCAAAACTAACCTCTGTGAACTGATTTCATATCTGCTTTTTTGGTTCCACAAACTGAATTCACTTTTGATTGGCAGAAACTAAAGTGAACATGTTGATTTCCTCATGTTTATGTCATTATTTCCTCTTTTTTTCACACGGATCAGAGTTATAAGTCTGATCACCGACTCTCATGTCTAGATTTTTGATTGTGTCTATCAGTTTACTCAAATTACAGAAGGAACAAAAATGTCTGGGTATCAGTGTCTTCAAACTTAGCAGCAGGCTGGCGGGTTTTCTTTCAACAAACCCTTGTTTTCCTTGTTTTTCCGACCCAACCTGTTCAGCCCCAAAGAGCTTTAATACACACAGTTTCATTTCATCAGTCAGAGTGATTTCTGGAAAACATTCATGTTTAAAAATCTGAATGTTTGGTCTTTTGTAGTCATCAAAATTTGATTAGATTAGTCACCAAAGACAGATTAATGTCATGATCATTGTGTTGATCACTCCCCCTCTTGAGAAGACAGTTTTTGAAACACTGGGGTTTGAATAAACCACTGAACTTCACTTTCTTTTACTTTAGAAGGTCACTGAGTTCCCATCCATTGTTTGCTGCTTTGAACACAGAAGGCTACACAGTTACAATATTTTTAACACTGTGATTGGTCGCTTAAGTGGGTATTATTTCAGTAGAGCTGTCCTACACAAATATAGCATGCAGTAAAAGCAGCTGTACAATATGAGGTTTGTGATCATAACACACTGAAATATTGTCGCTGGTGTTGCTGTTTAAGTTTAAGATCTCTCAAAGTGTTTCAGAGTAAACTTAACGAAACCACAATCTGCAAAAATAAACTCCTAAAAATGTACATGAATAAACCCCCCAATAGATACAAAAATGCATTTTACAACATGTACAAAAATAAACCTCTCAAAAAGTAAAAAAAAAAAGTCAGTCTTATTCAAAAGATATATATCTGTAAATGTACAAAAATAGCATCTTTAAATGTATAGAAATGCTCTTCCTGCAGGCGTAGAGAAACTCTCTTTTTAAAATGTACAGAAAATCACTTCTTAACATGTTTAAAAGTAAAATTAAGTTTGAACCAAAGGAGGTTTTGACTTCAAGTCCTCAGAATCGGTTATTCTGATTTGAATAAAGCATCAACATCTAAAGGTCTACATGTCCTTTTTTATTTCTTCATTTTAGAGCAAGATAAATGTAAAAATATTCAATGCTGTTTTTAGTATGATTCCAGTCAGCCTGTCTCTTCATTCATTAATAAATTTCATGGGCCCTATTTATTTAGTGTTGCTATGGTGGTTAAATGTGCCAGAGCCTCACTAGTGATCGTTTCTCCATCCTTTAGATTTATGAGGAGTTTGAAAACTCAGACACTTTCATCACAGACCTCAGGACGTGGTTCAGTCTGTTGAACCTTTTCTCTTCGTCAGGCCTAAGAGCTTCATTACATAAGATGACTTCCATGATCTGTTTTTCAGTCGTCTCTACATGTTTCATTTTTTTTTAACTGTGTTGTTCTAAATTTTGGGATTGTATCTTACATTTTTGCTGATGAGGCATATTTGGTTGACTGTACAACCCACCAGTCTTGAGAACAAGCTGAATATTGGTGGTAAAACGAGGAAAAATAGTGCTTTGCTTCGGGGTTTTATTGGAGAAGTTGATTTGGACATCTTGACATCTGGTTTCCTCTTCTCTTTTCTCATCCAATCCAACCCTTTTGTCTTTCTCTTCCTGTCTACTTTCCTTCTTGCTGTTTTCAGGTGAAGTGGCAGTGAAGTGGTTCGAAGCCGCTCAAACTGGACTCCCAATGTGCACTCTTGGAGCCGTGTTGGGACCACTTCGGCTCAATGCAAGGTGAAATATCAAAGTGTAATACAGCAGAGTACGGGACTCATAGGATAATCATGGGGGTTTTGCCGCTGTAGAAATGAAATCAATCAATTGAGTGTTATCCCAAGATGCTTAAGAGGTAAGCTGGTCTAGACCATGCTCCGTTATAAGATTGAGTCCCATCTTTAAGATCAGACCCACTCCCATCTTATCTTCAACCTCATGAGTTGAAACACTTCACAGCATTTATCAAGTTACAGTGGAGAGGAAAAACTTCCTTTAACAGGTAGAAACCTCAAGCAGAACCAGACTCATGTTCGACAGTCATCTGCTGCCACTGCATTCAGTTTAGAGAGGGGATGGAGTGAGATGCAGAAAGAGAGAGAGATGGACAGAGATGGAAAAGTTTTGAGCTTACTCTCAAAGGTAGATAAGGTGTTGAAATGTTTGACAGTTTATTGGTTATTGCAGGAGTTGACGGTTATTTTTTATGAAATGATAGATGACTCATCTGTGTCTACTCGTTAACCCCTCCTTGGTTTGTCTTCTCACACACATGGGTTCCCACTTTCATTCTTCTCACATTCTTGCTTTCAACCAATCTTGGAAACAGTTCAATTGTTTAACTGTCACGGCGGTTACAAAACTCCACAGCATCCTCTCCTGTAAATCATTAATCGTTCCTCTTGTAACGTCACAGAACTTCCCTGTAATTTTTGAGGAATTGGACTGCAGCACAATTTCCTTTACCAGAATTGTAATTATCTCATCATTGATCAAATTCCCTGTGTGTTTCTTCCTTGTTTGGTTTTTCCTTTCAGACGGTTACAGTCTCTCTTTACTTCCCTGGGTCCATGGGCTCTAAAAAACGGCCAGCAGTCCCGCTGCGTCCTCAGCATCTTCTACGAGAGACGGTGGGAGCAGAGTGTGGAGGACCTGCGACAGGAGCTCAACATAGAGCCGCCTCCTGTTACACTCAGTGCTACGAAAAAAGGGAGCACCTGAGAAAGACAATCACTGCACTGAAAGACTGTGTTTAACGGAACAAAGGAAACACTCAATCACCTGTGTATTTGTGAAACTTGTGAAAACAGGGAAGTTTTCAACTTGACAAATCTTGGTTTGTCCCTGTTTTAAATGTTTCTATTTGAGTCACCTTAGTATAGTAGAAAAAAAAAAGTTTCAGACGGAGATAAATTCTCTGACACTCTTTAAAAGCAGGTCTACTTAAACAGTCACACAACTTTGTTTTTAATTATGTGAGAAAAAAGCAGGATTTTGTGTCAAAGATAAATTACAAAGTAAATTATAGATATATTGTTCTATGTTGTTTAGATTTGTTATATGACTTGACCATGTGTGAAGTATTTACATATACATCTATGAAAAGTTATTTACAGTATTCTTATGAAATACTCAGGTAAATTAGAGCTACAATATCCTGTGCACCTGTAGCTGTACAAATATGCGTGGGAGAGAAGCAGATGTCGGCTCTAAAAAAAGACATCTAAATAAATGCACGCCTCTCTTTACGGTAACAACGAAGTGAACAAGAAGTGTGTACTCTGCTTGACAGATGAGCATTCCTGGCAATGAAGGTGACAAAAAAATATTTTTCTAATTTAAATTGGGTTTTTTGGTTGATGATTAATTGCTGATATATTTTAAAATTTGTGTGTAGTCCATTTCACAGCCAAGAAAACTTTTTCTGTACTTTTGCATTGCATTATTGGACTGTATAAGCTTAAAATGTGACTGTACGAAGACGTGTTACATCATGTTATAAAAGTTCAAATGTAAACATTTTTTGTAGAGAGATGATTCATCGGTGTGTCAAAACTTACATTTGGTTCACTGCGGTTTTTCACTGTTGAATACTCAGACCACAAGTATCTTGATTAAATAAGAACACTTGAAACACATCAAGATTAAACTTCTTCAGACATGACTCTGCTGAGTCATTTCTTGGAGAGTAGTCGTATCTTTGTCAAAAAATTCATACACAGATGAACTGATATGACTATAAACTTTTGCTTTGCATAACTGCAGTAATGCAAAGTCCGACAAATACAGTTGCAGGAGTGCAACTGTCCTCTTTTTACATGCTGAGTCAGAGGAGCACGATGATCCAGGTCACCGTATACTTCCTCTGACCCTGTTTCTCTTAGTCTGTGTTCCCTTTGATGAATGTCACTGCAGTCTCTCTGTCTTTGTGCACTATGTTTTTATTTTTATTTTTAATTTGTTTATTTTTTTAATTATTTAAAGAACCTGTAGCTGGCCAAGATCCCCGACTAGTATTTTCACTTTTTCCCCATGGGTTCGTCCCATAACCCATGAGCTGTGGCTTTGCATCCCCCAGTGCGTACGTCTGTCACACTTGAATCATTGCCCCGTGCCAAAGGTGTGTGGGAATAAGAAGGAACCAGGAAACATGTTTAGGAGACTTGCGTACTTTCCCTAACATGAAGCGTAGCATGTGTAAAACACAGAGTATGTCTGTTTGTGTTGACAGCATTAGCTCATCACCGCCTGATCAGCTGTTTACAGCTGTGTGGATTCACTCCAATAGGATGTTACACTGGAACAGTTTTCTGTCCCTGTATCCTGTTTCACAAACATCTGTTGTGTCTCGTCTGTCTGTGATGTGTAGATGCAGAAGGAGGCTTTGTGACACTGGCATGCTTGTATGATAGGAATTTATTACAAAGACAACACCAGTATCAGAACAGCACCGAGGATGCTGGGAGAGGACTGCCAATGATATCCATGTCTCCCAAACCTGAGTTTATGCTCCTGTTATATAGGGTTTGAGTTTAAGGTCCTCCTACATCACATCTTTATCTCTAAGTTATCTTTCTTTACCATCTGATTTACACCTAGCTTTGAAGTGTGACCTGCACGACCCCCAACAGATAGATTGTCTGGGCCAGGTACCATAAAAGAAACACAATACACAAATTTCACACTCCGGTTGTCTCAGGCTATCCCTGAGAAATACCCCAAGGCTGTGCATGTTGGTACTGTACTCCGTACACCACACACCTGTAGGAGAAGAAAAATCTGCACTGTTTAGTTTATGTTTATCTTACACTTTTGTGGTGTCTCTGGAACAAATAAGGTTTAAAGTTTCAGGGGAAATAGAAATCCTGCAACACTTGTCTGATATCCAACTTTATTGGTATAACAAGCAAGTGTTTCTGACAAACTCCCACTTCCTCAGACTCCAGCTTTTGTAATGAAATTTCACAATGGAAATAGTCAAACAGATAATTAAAAAAAGAACTGTACTACAAAAAATATTGAACAATTTTTTAAAAAAAATTTTTTTGACTGGCTTAATTTTGTTAGAGGTTCAGAAAAGAAATCAGGTACAAAACTTTAAGGTAAATCTGCGTTTCACTCGTTTGTGTTAAAGTTGTGCTTAACGTTTTATTAAAAGACTACGTCAGTTTTCATTTCAGCACAGCACATACTGTTTAGGCACCCCGCAGAGTGAGTTTTAAGGCTGCTCTCCTCTACCTTGTGAAACCTGGATGTTGGGAAGTATCCACGCTCATCATCCTCGGCTCTCTATTTCTCTCCTCTGGGCAGAATTGAGAGCTTTAGTGGGAGATCCACCTCATATCATCAGGACTACATGACTCATAATTAGGGAGGTTTCTTATGAAAACTTACCTTGACTGTACTGCCCTCTAGTGGTAAAGTCGAGTGGATCACTGCTCCACTGCTTCATACAGGAAAGAGGGAGAGGGAGCTGTTTCAGAGGGACGAATCAGACAGTTCTCAGGACAACTGAACTTCAGTGAGATTTTTTAAAACTTTTCTGTGTGTAAAGGAGAAACTCTTGACTTTTTGGTGTTTGACAAAATATTATAGAAGGACTTTGACTTCCTCTTGACTTCCATGCAAAACTATCTCCTGGTATTCCCAACTTGGGGGGACAGAGCCTTCTCCGCTGCTTCCCCCACCCTCTGGAATTCACTCCCCAAACCCGTTCAGGACTGTACAGACCCCCATACTTTTAAATCACTCCTTAAAACACACCTTTTTTAATTGGCTTTTAACCTGTGAACTGTTCTTTAATTGTCTTCTCATATTGTGTCTTTTTTAACCTTTTACATTATTGGTTTTATTTCTCAAAATTTTCTGTATTTTAAATTGTGTTTTTTATTTTACTTTCTTCTTTTTCTTTGTAAGGCGTCTTTGAGCACCTGTAAAAGCGCATTATAAATAAAACATATCATTATTATTATTGTTATTATTTCTGGAGGGCAGTCTTTGTCACACATTTTTGACTTTCCTGGCTGAACTGGGGTAATCCTGTTTATCAAAAGTCAAACACAGATAAAATTGATCGAAAATAAAATTATTTCAAAACAAACCTTTAAAAAAGAAAAAAATGTCAGTCAGAAATACTATTCCAGCTCTACTGTATAATCAAATCCACAGATTAGACATCTACATCATTCAAACTCTAATACAACGATCAACAGCTACTTAAAATGGCTAAAGAATAAATAAAAGTCCTCAGTGACTTAAAACTCCTTGCTCTTTCTCACCCATATTTTTCCCCCCTCTCTGTCGTCTGCTGTCTGAGCTGATGCAAAAAGAAACAGGAACTAAACTTAATCCATGATTGCACAAATTGGGGATCTTTATAAAAGCAGTACATTGTAGAAAAGTTGTTTTTCTTTTGTGAACTTCACATGTTCAAGGCCTTTCAGTTTTTTGTGTGTGCGCTCTGTCAGTGCAGTATGGTGATACTGCGGTCAGTCACAGCAAACGCCGGCAGCAGCGGGCCGTTAAAGGGATGTGTGATAGTGTACAGAACAGCAAAGGAGTCCGGCTCGTAAAACAACAAAGTCTGACTCGGCCAGTCCAGCAGCAGACCGATCCTCTCAGGTCTCTTCACCACCTGCAGAGGCACCTTTTTCCCTGCGTGGCAGAAGGAGTAGTCCCCGTCGTAGCGGGACAGCACCCACGATTTGTCGTTGTGACCAAGCCGCGCCTCATTCCCAGAGCCTTTGCGCTCTAGAGACTTGTAGCAGACCCCCACCTTAAAAGCACCGCTCTGGCCGACGTCCACCACCCAGCTGTGGGTGCCAGAAGACATGGACAGTGAGCCCAGCGCGTTGGGCCAGCAGTCAAAGCGTGCGGGGTCGTAAGGCGGAGACAGGCGAGACTTTTTATGGAGGAAGGTTAAAGTGCAGAAATCTTCAGACAGGGAGAGGAGTGGACTCACAGTGCGCTCGTCAAACTTCAAATAAGGTGATCCATAAGCTGTAGGGGGATAGAAATATAACTGAATATTACAGGATAAACATCACTATCTACTGCAGCTTAGAGTCATTGTTGATTACAACCTAAATCTGGAGAAGCTTGACAGTTCAGTTGTTCAAGCTTGTTTTTATCAGCTCAGAAGAAAATCCAAAATAAGTTATTTGCTTCCCAGAAACACCTTGAAACAGTCAAACATGTATTTATCTCCTCCCATCTGGACTACTGTAAGTCCCGGTCTTTCACAGCAGAGCCCAAATAGACCAGGATGCATCAGCTAAACTCGTCACCAAATCAAATCATATCAATATGTTTGATTTCCTAAAAATGAATCATTATGAATCTCAGTCTTTTACATAAATGTCAAACAAACTCCCAACAGGAGCTTTAAGTAAGAGTCTACTGATGGAAATATTGCTTTAAAGGTCATGTGAGGAACTTTTTGTTGACTTTGGTGCCCCCCTGTGGACAGAATGATACTGCTGATCGTCTCCAAGTTTTGCCCTCATCAGGAATTTTCACAGTGGAAAAGAAAATATGTGTTTTTTTGGGACCTTGCTAAAAATCAGCGTCCCTGTACTTTCCCTCTTGCAGTGCCAAAACTGTAAATCTTTTTTTCTGACAGTCTTGTTTGCTTTTGGAGGTCATAAATAAGCATCATGGTTGGTTTTAGTCTGTTTGATAACTGGTTAAAAATTTCTCATGATAGCTAGTCCAACAATCCTACTGATCACCATAATTTTGTGGTGGAAAGGGGGTAGCACAATCTTCACATTTCATAATATTCGAGAATGTCCTTTGAACTGTAGTGGTAGGGATGACAATTAGAGTTCTTGCAAGTGACTCAGCTCAGTAAAAGTCACCTATTGATATTAAAAATTAACAAAGTGAACTTCCTTTCCTCATGAAGTCCAACTTAGGACTGAATTGGCTTTACACTGAAATAAGCTGAACTCACCGTTTGGCCCAAGCAGTACTGCAGAGGCCCACAGCCCTCTGAGGAACTTGCTGTCACTGCAGGCCGGGTTCAGGTTAAGCTGGTCTGTGTCGCAGGGCTCTCCAACCCCCTCCGCCTCCTCCACCCTGACACACACACACAAACACACACACAGAGCAGAAAGAGGAGACATGTTATCTCTCTTCGATTTCCTGAAACAAAAGAGCATATTTAAAAGCATGTCATGTGATGAGGATTACCTTTCAGCTATTTCTTGGACACTAGTCTGAAAGACAAGACAGGAAGTTAGTGGTTTTGCATTTTAGTAATTTACAACCATTATCAGGATGCCACACATGCACAAGTTCCTCTATTCTTCTCCCTTCTGGTAAAATATTTCCTCATCTCTCACCACCAGTTGTGCGTCAGGAGCGTGCGTCAGCGTGTGCACGAGGCCAGAGCGTGTTTGTGACAGACTGGACAGAGCCTGGCTCCAGTGAGCTCTCTGTGTGAGGAGACACTGCTCCACGCGCTCCTCCTCTCTCTGCACCTCCTCCAAAAGGCGCTGCTCCTCCTCTTCCAGCGCTTCACGTGCCGCGCTGACCTGTGCCAGGACCTGCTCCCTCGCCCTGCTTGCCGCTGCCTGCACACAGACACAGGTGTTATGAAGAAAACTGGGTAAATTAGAGGTACAGGAGGAGAAATTACAAAGTCAAAAAGTCTTACTCGAAGGCTGCACCAGTTTGTCAACTATAAAAGATTTTCCCCTGCAGATTTTAAAGTGGATGATAATCAGTTCATGCTTGTAGGGGAACTGCACAACTTGATGTAAGAACTAAACTGGCTTATACATCAATAAATATAAATCTCTGGATAAGCAGAAAACTTTTCCACTTTTCTAATTTCACTTTGTTTACATTAAACTACTTCTAAACATATTTTTAAAAGAATTTTCTCAATGTAACTCAATGTAGGCAGATAGCACCGTTATCTTATAAATGAAAACACATTTTTTCCATCCTCAGTGGCAGTATTTCAAATCTAAAACAGTCGCTGTTATGATGTAAACAATTATGCACTTAAATATTGCTCCTCTCAGTTATCTAAGTCAAGTGCTGAAATCCAGGGCATGACCGCATAGATTTGTCTTTTTCATCAACTCATGAAAAGTCTATAAAAAACATGTTTATTGTTAAAGATAACCATTTGTATTAGATTTTAATGTGCATGAAAAAATGGATTTTTTTTTTTTCTGTGTGAATAATTTTTTGTTTATTAATTGCAAAAGAAAAAAACAACAATGCGGTATTGATAATATGTATCAGCCACTGGTCAATCTGCTCTGTCATCATCAGTATCTGCCTCAGCTGCTAAAAAACTGATATCTGTCGACACCGACTACTGAGAGAACTAAAAGGAAAGATGATTTCATCAGGAGCTGAAAGAGAGAAGAAAGAAACCCGAACAATACTCCACTCACATTTTTCTTTAGCTTCAACATTTGTAAAGAAAACACTGGCTGTAAAAAAAGTTCACTCTAACAACCTTAAAAACTGATTAAATATCGATGTGCATTCAAAACTGGAATCTGTTGTTTTGAGCTGATATCTGGATGTTTAACTTTATGTAAAGGCATTCCAGATCTTTTACTAGTTTTTTATGTTTTTTGTTTTGAAAAATGATCAGAATTGGCTAAACCACTTTCATATAATTTGCATTATATCAGCATGTCACTTAAAAAGCCAATATCACTGCTGTCTTTTCTATGTGAAATGCATTTTTTCCATCACCAATGACAGCATATTAAACCTGGATATGACTGGATTTTTTATTTCAGCCCAAATAAATAACTTGTACTTTTTTCTTAATCAATAACTTCAGCTAGCTGAACAAAAGTCCCAAAGTGTGCAAATACTTTACTGATATGAAAACCTAACATCACTTCACTACTAATTTACAGCAACTCAAAAGAATCTGTTGGCAAACCATCACTCAGTCTCAGCCTCTAAAACAAAGCCTGTTAGAATTTCTGCCTGCTGGTGTTTCAATTTCCGATCTCTAATAAACACAATTTACATAAGAAAAGATCATTTTAGTTTCTTGGTGGTATTTGGTTGAAAATCTACAAAAATCCGAACAACAACAAATATTTTCTTGACAAAGAGACAGTAAATCCCTGGTAAGATACATTTTTTACAAGTAATTGAAATTACTGGCTTTAGTAGATTTCGGGTCAATCTAAAACATTTTAGATTTTATCCTGTAAATTCACCATCAGGAACTGCGTGGGTCACACTATCCCTCTGTTGTAATTTTTCAGCTAATTAACTGCTTAAGGATTTACAGCTGGTGCTCGTTAGATCACGGAGAGCTTTGGCAGACAGAAATAGATAAAAGATATTAGACTTTAGATGCGGTAACAGTATATTTGTTTTTCCTGCTTTGTTGTTTGTTTGAGGTTTAATCTACTTGGTGCAACAAAGAAAACCCTACATTACTGCATCTCGGGTTTATAAATACTTTGGTGCACCAAGAAACAGCCTTTGTTCCTTTGCTCGTTGGTGATAGATGGACAGAACAGTTACTACAGCCAAAGATAAAGCTTTATATCGAAGCATTTGTTTTAGTCTGAAGTAAAACATGAAATATCTTGTAGCAATGTGAGATTAAAATCATGATTAAGTGTTTTTCGTTTACAGTTTCCCTGAATGAGGGACAGAGGGGAAGAAGAAAGAAAAGAAGAGGTTAGCCCAAAACAGAACCACTCAGTAAGGTTATTCATTAACGTAAATCATTTACTGGTTACAAATATTTAGATTTGAACTTTTGAAATAAGTAACTGTGCAAGTCTTTTGTCAAACCTTAGTGCAAAAGTAACTAGTGTAAAAATAAAGCATCCACAAAACCTGAAAACCCCAACACCTGTGCAAAGACCATGCAGATTTTAGTTTTCAACACCTCGATTGATACAAGCAAGATAATTTCAAAACTCTGCACTTGTGAAACAGTGTTAGCTCTACAAAGCTGTTAAAGCGTGCAGTGTGTGCGATCATTAGTGTGTGGTTGTGTGGGTGGGGATCACCGGCTTTACTCACCTGAAGCTTTTGTTCTTTGGTTGCCAGCGTCTGGTTGATAAACTTCTCGATCCTCAGAGCCTGCAGCTGTATTTTCTCACACACATCCACGAGCTGGTTCTGATGAACAAACACACACACAAACAGACACACACACAAACTGTGGTTTTTAAATAAGATCATCACAACGCCTGAACATCATTAGCTAGAGACTCAACAAGAAATTCCTGTCTTTTCAAATACCACACGGAGGAATCAGGGAGGAATAAGACATGCGAACTGTGGCACACCCATGACAGAAAAAACACAGTACACATATTACATACAGTGACAAGTACACTGTATAACAGCATGATTGTGTACTTAAAAGTGCTCTGGTGTCAAAGGGGCACTTTGTATTGGCTAATTCTTCAGTCTAAATATCAGAATCAATATAAGGAATATTTCTTGGATTTGTTTGAATAAAAATATCAGCAGTGCTTATGTGTAGTGTCAGTGATATCAAGTACACAAACACAAATGGACAGATGAAGTGTTGTGCTGACCAAACTGGACGAAGAATCAAAAGAATGTAAAATATGGAGTCGTCTTTCACCTGTACTCTAACCTGAGTGCTGAGGTCTACCTGTGCACACCTGAGATGTGGTACCCAGCCACTGTCTTTGGAAACAGGTCAGTTACACTCTATTTAGAGGAGGATACAGTAGATACACTTTTTTTGCATTATCGTCCATTGTGTTATACTCTTAGATGTTAAAGGATTGTTCAGTTAGGTTTTCTATGTCTAAGAAGGATTCAGCTCTTGTTCATGCACTATGGGTTAAATGGCCTCCAACACCACAGCAAGAGGTTTAATGTGTAACTCAAACGTTATTGGCAAGCTTATGCACAACATGACAATATCATGTTAAAATTTGCCACCGGAAAATCTGCTCTATCATCATCAGTATCTGCATCAGCTGCAAAAAAAACTGATATCTGTCGACCCCGACTACTGAGGAGGAGCATCAGGAGAATTGTAAAGAAAACACTGGCTGTAAAAAAAGTTCACTCTAACAACCTTAAAAACTGATTAAATATCAATGTGCATTCAAAACTGGAATCTGTTGTTTTGAGCTGATATCTGGATTTTTAACTTCATGTAAAGGCATGCCAGATCTATTTCTAGTTTTTTGTTTTGAAAGTCATCAGAATTGGCTAATCGATTAACCATGCCACTTTTATATAATCAACATTTTATCATTATGTCCCTTAAAAAGCCAATATCACTGCTGTCTTTAAATGAAAATGCATTTTCTCATATCAACTCTGAGAATTACTTTCTTTTTTATTTCAGGCCAAATAACCACCTTGTACTTTCGTCTGTATCAATAACTTGGTAATAACGAGGTGAACAAGTTCATAAAGTTTATGACAATATCATGTTAAAAATTTGGTTTGTCAGTGTTTGACGTGCTGTTTTTCTTATTATGGTGTTTTTGTCTGCTTCGTTTTCTTATGACTATACCTGGATTATGGGGGCCTACACCCTCTTCGTGTAGTCCCGTGACACGAAAACAAAACTAACTTCACACCTGAGAGTCCTAGTCCGATCAAGTTAAGAAACCTCTGTGTCAGTTTTACCCATAAAGGTATCTTAAAAACCCTTACTATACACGTTTTTTTAATTATACAAGGTAATACGATAAATTACTAAAACAAGGTAACAGCTGCTGTACCTGAACGCATCACACTCACCCTGACTGCTGTTACTCTGGTAACCAGAGGGGTCACCGTGTGTCCGTGGCAGGGGCCCACGACGGCGCAGTGGGAGCAGATCAGTTTCTGCTCGGTACCACAATACCAGTCCAATTCGGCGTCATGCTCCACACACAGCTCACCTTCACCGGAGAAGATCCCGGACTCGGTGTCGGTGGTGTTTGTGGTTGTGGTGGTATTCGCTCCCGGTGAGGTCGCTTCACCGCCGCCGTCGAAAGAGCTCTTGTCCCCCGCCTGCTTCTGCTCCTTCACCCCGTCGCTTAAAACAGAGAAAATTGGCTGTTCGAAATCCATATCGTCGATGTTTATGTCGTCAAAAGACTTCTTTAGGTCGTCGGGTGAGGTCGGGCATGTTAGCTCGCACGTTATGAGCTCAGACTCAGTCATGGTACAATAAGGTAACAGGTGCACCGGCAGAGCTGGAGTCGCACCTCCACGGCGCAGTAATACAGGTGTAACAGGTGAGCGGAACACGGAAGTAACACGGACATCAGAGGTCAGAGCTGACAGAGAGAGAGCAGGAGAGAGAGAGAGAAAAGTTTCTGCTCTGCTGGTTTTCACATGTCAGAATGAACAACATGTTAAATTTTATGTTGTGATACTACTCTGACACAAACAGGTGCATTCTTGGTACTTGAACCCTAGAACACTGTGAGATTGTGAGAAGTTTGTTATCATAAACCAGCAGAGATCTGGTTTTAAAGTTTTAATGTATAGGTGACATAAGAAGTTTTGTCTGATGTGACTAGCATAATATAAATCAAATGTCAAAATTTCATTTAAAAAAGCATTTTAAAAAAGCCACAAATATACATAAATATGTATATTTGTTCTAAATTGACTGTAAATCACAAGAAAATCACCCTTTTTTCAATCATTTGCTGAATCATTTGAGTAAATCAAAGCTAATAGTTTGAGAAAAGAGAGTGGTCTACATTTTATATTTTATTTTTAACTGTGCAATATCCAAAGGGAGGGAAAAGTGCCATGAGGGGACCTTTTCCACCCATTCCTGGGGCAGGCGAGTCTTCCCTGGTGAAGACTCAGGGTTCTTGGCACAATAACAGCTGCAGGAGAGAGAACCAAAATATGGCATATTTTGAGTGAGTAAAAATGACCAGCTGACGGCCAGACTAAAAGGTAGGTCTTTAGTTTACTTTTAAAACTATGAACATTAGGTGTTGCTCTCAGGTCTGCAGGTAGGCTGTTCCACAGATGGGGACCATAATGTTGGAACGATGATTCACCATATGTTTTTGTTTTTACTTTGGGAACAATTAAAAGACCACCACCTGAAGACCTGAGGGCTCTACCAGGCTCATACAGTAAAAGCAAATCAGACAAATAAGACAGACCAAGACCATTAAGAGCTTTAGAAAACTAATAAAAGAACCTTAAAATCTACTCTAAAATTCCTTTTAAAATGAATTCCCTTGAAAATCACTACTTTGTGATAGTTATTCATAACCACTGCGCTAAATAAAGATAGCATGCAAATTCCAGGACCATTCTTACTTACCTTATTCTCTATATGCAGCTATCAAATCCACCCAAACCTACTTTACCCTCTATCACTATTGCCGGGTGAAAATCACCTGAACACGTGCCTGTAGGAAAAAGCGGGTTTTGAATCAGGGATGTCAAAGGCAATGCTAAAGCTATTCAGGGACCCATGATACTCACACAAACACAACATAATGAAAGTCATATTTAGTCGAGTAAAAATCACTCGGCGATAGTGTTCAAGGGTTAAATAGGGTTTAATTATGGTGTCACAGTCCAAAAGTCCAAAATGTCATTTTGCATATAACTTAATATCTTTTATATCACTTTCTTTAATTATTGTCTCACTATCGATTATGATCATTTTGGCCCATCCAGACTTCTACAGTAGCCTTATAACCTTGCGTGGAGCTACAGAAAGAGGACCAAAGCAGGCCTCTAGTCTAAGTAATCAGAGAACCTTCACAAAATATTTCACTATAAAAATATAGACCACTCTCTATTTTCAAACTATTAGCCTCAATTTACCTCAATGACTCTGCAAATGATTGAAAAAAGCTGATTTTCATGTGATTTACAGTCAATTTAGAACAAATATACAAACTTATATGACCAAATTTGAACTAAGTTACCATTTTTCAATGAAATTTTGTCATTTGATTTCAATGATGCTAATCATATCAGACAAAACTCCTCATGTCACTAAAACAATAAAACTTTAAAACCAGATCTCTGCTGATTTATTATAACTCACTTCTCACAAATCAGCAAAGAAGCTGTTTTACTTTATAAATGAACCAATACACTGGTATTAACTGATGTACAATGGTTGCCTATGTTCATCAGATACTGTTGAGGGAGAACTGCATGAGTGTTATTCAGTTTTTCCAGGGTGGATATGTGTATTTCATCATGTCAGAGGGGTAGCCACACCTGTTTTGTAATATTTAACAACGCCCACTGTCTGGAAAAAAAATCTGTTGATTAAAGAGAAGATAAACTTCATAAAATTAACAGTGCATTACAAAAAAATCCAATAAATCCTTTTATAAGTGAAGCAATCATTTAACATTACTGAATTCCCCTGAGTTAGGACCAATATAAAGAGAATGATAGAGGAGGAAAACAATGTTAGACCCTTTTTCAATTATTCTGTTGCAGACCCAAAATCTGCCTTCATATTTAACCGACTTCTTCTATTGTTCTCTGAACAAAAAAATGGTACAAAACAATGAAAAATAAAGCAACAAAGGGTCCGTATCCTTACAAGCTGAAAAGCTGCAGGACACTTTGAGGGGAACAGATCATATCTCAGGAAATTCTAACCAGCTCCCTCTCCTCTCAGCTCCATGTGAGTAACTGTAAAGGAGTGATTGACAAAGGAGAGTTACGCCTCCTGGCTAACACAAGGTGGGTTTCCAATTATTTGGCTTTGAAGAGATAGCAGCAAAGGCACAGGGCTGCTATTGTTTCAGACTGCAGAGAGTGTTAAGTGATGGGCCAAGCTTGGAATGAACCACTGTTACTTTAAAGATTGTTGTGGAAGACAGAGTGGGATACATAAAAAGTAAATTGAACAAGAAAGCTGCAAAGACGTGATAGAGGCCAAGACATTTGTTGTTCACAATGCACAAAGGAAAAAAAAGATTTGAAAACTCGCATCTAACAGGAAAGGGAAGAAAAAATAGGACACTGAAGGTTTTTACCTGGCAGCAGCAACACATCAGTATTTACTTCTATTTTTTAGTCTTTTTGAGTTCTCCAAAAATCTCCTCGCTTTATTATTGTTTCAAGTTTTTATCATTTCTGTAATATGAGTCTTGTTCTCTAGAGGGCGCTCACTGTCTTCACAAACCAAACCTGAAACTATGAACAGATGTGCTGGAATGAAGACAAACTGGAGATGTATGCTTGTGAACACTTTGTAGCACATCATCTGGCAGTTCCATGTGAAATCCACATTATTTACATCAATGAATTAAAGAGTTACCTTTGAAATGAATGATCCTGTTGAATCCCATCTGCATGTTATGTCCCAGAGAAGTCCACTTTCATGTACCCCTGTTATTAGAGGTTCAAAGTGTCATAATGTGTTAGGATTAAGGTTAGCTAATTTCCCCTAACTACTTTTAGGCATGTTTTGGCTCCTTAAAAAAACAATTAATTTGGTGGAAAGAATGAACATCAAGTCTTGATGTTGCTCATTGTCCAAAAAAATAATGTTGCCCCAAAAACAAGTTTGAACCTTGACTAAGGTCAGTTTATGTTGTTGGCCTATATATTCAGGTAATGACCTTGCCCAAACACTAGGTAATTACCCTGCCCCAAAGTCAGGTTATGACATTACCTCTATGTGAGGTCATGGTTCAGCCCAACTTCAGCTAATGGTGTTGCTAGATAATTAGTAATGTTAGATAATGACAATACTGTTCCTCTAAAGTCAGTCTTTAACAAATTTGCCACCATCAGGTGATGTCGTTGCCCCAATTAAAGGGTATGAGATTGCCCCAGTTCTAGTTAATGGCTCTGCCTAAAGTCGGGTTACAGTGTTTCCTATGACTTAACCCCAATTTCAGCAAATGACATGGTTCCTGCATCAGTTTATGATGCTCTCACATGTGCTGTTTTGTTACTTTAGCTTATGACATTCCTATGTGAAGTTGTAATGTTGTCCCAAAGTCAGATAATGATGTTTCCATGAAGTCCAGTGAAGAACAACTTTCATGGCTGATATTGATTTCCTTGTGATAGCTGAGACTCAAGCAGAGGTCCAACTGTGCAAAAGCTTAAAGGGATATTCCGGCGTAAAATCAATTTAGGGTCAAACACACCGTAACACCAAGTTAGTGTCTCTGTCTGATTGCACTTCCATGAAGAAATTATCAAAAAAATCAGGCAAACTTAAAAAGATGTTGTACTAGCCCAAAGATGTTGGCTAGTACTATGGCTGGGACCCTATATGTACTGTTGATTAAGTTAGGTGCTGTTCTTCAGCATTATTTGTGGCTATAGAGTAGCTTTTTGGTTGAGGTTTGTTTAAGGCTCCTCAGACCGCTGTGTATTGCTATTGTGCGGTCGTTACTAAAGTTGGTATAACTAGAGACTAGAGTCGGCAACACTCATCTCTCGTGGGGGTGTCTAACTCGGTGTTACGGTGTGTATGACCCTAAATCAATTTTACACCGGAATATTCCTTTAAGGAGCTTCTTTAATGAAAATTTCCAAATTGACTCTAAAATTCCCAGTTTATCATAAAAGTCTTTGAACTCCTCAAAACTTAACATGAGATCCAAGTAACCTTTGTTTTAATTTAAGTGTTGAAGTATTTGAATCATTAAGTTGGTCAAGAAGTTTTTTTTTTTTTTTAAGCTAAAAAAATACATTTATGAATGAAAATTTTGAATAAAGAATATTTTATTAACAGCGAATTACACTTTATGTTATCTTTAATATACACCCAGCTATCAAACATTTCGCGCGAAAACGACTGGAAGTGGTCACGAGAGTGCGATGACGTTATAACTGAAAAAGGCGGACTCGGAAAACACTCGTTCTGATTGGACAGCGTGACGGAACGGCGAACGTTAAAGACCACAGCGTCACATTTGATTGGACGTTGTGATTAGTGACTTGTCCCTGCCCATCCCGCCCCCAACAGCTCGGTCGGTTTTCCTGCGCCAGCAGCCGTGTGTCACCGAGGCTGGGCTGCTGCCGGAGAGACCCGGAGCCGGGGCAAACCTCGATCAGTTGACCCAAACTGGCATCGCAACGGGGCTAAGAGGCTGCCCCTGCGACCGTTAAAACTGAATACTGTTCAGGTTGGATCGTGCGCCTCTGTCTGTCATCACTGCCCGTCCTCCTGATGTCGGATTTCAAGCTCGGGATCGTTCGGCTCGGCCGTGTGGCCGGGAAGGTGAGCTGGATCCCAGGGCTGCCATGTGCGGCCGGGGAAGGGCCTGTGGGGACCGAAAAAAACGTTAAAAAACGATGTTTAATGATGATGGGTCGATGCTGGACAGCTCAGGGAAGGCTTTGAAATCGTTTTTGGTGTTCGAGTCGTTCAGCCTCGTAGATTTAAACTGCATTTGAACGGATTAGAGAAGCCGGCCGTGTCGAGCAGTATCGGTTTTCCGCTCCTCTCACTCTCGCTATGAAGCTAAAGCTAACTAGCATGTAGCGGGTTAGGTTAGCTCTGGACTCACAACGGACGGTGTAATACTGCTAAAAATATAAACAGGGATGTCCCAAATCGTCAACAGTGTCTGCCTGTGTCCAGATAAAAGGGTGGTTTGTTTTCTCGTCGACAGCTGGTGTAATGACTGTCTGTGGTCCGGCTCGCATTGCCACGCTAGCTGTGTTATTTGGATTATTCTGCTAATGAGGAGGAAGCCATCGCCACGCTCCATCTACTCGTTTCTTTTGTGTAACGTGACAAAGCACCGACAGCACAGCCCACCACCCAACAGCTGGAACCGAAAAGTCGTGTTTTTGGCGTTAGTCGCTGTCGTTTATCCACACACAGATGTGCCGTTAAATTACAGCTGAGTGTTGGTCGTGAAATGGCTCCTCACGCGACACTCACACTCGGGATAGACGCTGCAGTCCGGTGTGAACGAGTCTGTGACGAATCAGCTGCACACCTGCTGAGTGACAGCAACTCAACTGTCAAACATCTGATGTCCACAATCTCAGCAGGCCTGTGTAGGTCTATACAACAACACGGGAGACCAGACAACGTGTCACATTGCCTGTTTAGACCTTTTGGTATGTGGGGAAACTCGTGCCACGCTCAGCATAGCGTGGGGCTACCATGTCAGTATCTTGTCACGTGCAAACGAAAGTACCATTTACCAACAGACAGTTTTTACACAAATGTAGGCCTGTTTATATATTAATTTCACAACGACCAGCCTCATGCATTATGCACACATGTGTACTGTGATGGTATCTAACAGAAAAGCTTTTCTGAAGATCTACTTGGTCAGACAGGTGATATAATGTTCTTTAAATTAAATACCAGAGTTGTAGTGGGTGTATAGGAGTGCATTATAGGTGTTCCTAATTAGGGCCCAACTGATATGGATTTTTTTGGGGCAGATGCCGATACCGGTTATTAGGGGGGAAAAAATCTGGTTGCCGATTAACATTTTTTTATGAAGTTATAAAAATATATATACTGTATATAGCTACAGTAGAAAGTACACTTTAGATATACTGTAGCGTTTTCAACTACCTCCAACACCGACGATCAGTGCTGCCTCGGTAAGAGAAGTAGCTCGATCACGTCATGTGTTCTGTTGTTTATTCTACCGTTACTGGCAAGGCTAATAGCAGGTGGCTAACTCTAACTTTAGCTTGCATATTACATGGTGATTCACCATTAACTCGGCGTGACCAAGACCAGCACAGTGGGAAACATCGTGAAGTGGATTGAACGGAAACTTGTTGACTTATTGTGTATTTCACAAGCTTGTTTATTTACCGTTGAGGCGGACCACTCTGCTCCGTGCGTCCCTCAGCTGCCTGCTTCAGATCCGTCACTCTGCTGTGCTGTGAGGTAGTTAGTGGATGAAGATTGTCATGAGGTCGCTGCGCCATCTACAGGATAAGTTGGGGAACCTTTCAAATGGCGGAACATTTTCAAAGTGAATCCGAATCTTATTCTCTGCATTTTATTTTTGAGAATATCAGCGAAAATTGGCAAGTGTTGGCCGATTTACCGATTAGTCTCAAATGGGCTAAAATTGGCCGATTTAATCGGCTCACCAACAAATCAGTCGGGCCCTATTCCTAATATTTTGGTCCCCTTCAAGTTGTCCAATTGGACAACAAAGGCCTCCAAATACAACATGCTCAACTATGTCTCCAATAGTATATATAAAGGCTAGAGATCATCTGTTTGATCATGTTGATGATACTGAAAATTGTTGTATTGTTTAATGTTTGTGTGGATTTATTGTAGTGGTCAACCAGTTACAGTTTTTCAACAGCTAATGTCTGTATCTTCAGTCGATAGCAAATACATATAAAGCCGATATCACATTGTTTTTTCAAATTTTATTTTCTGGGGTGCAAAATGCAACATTTTAACAAACAAACGGATCAGAAACCAAGTTGCTGAATATAGGTGAAAATTATATTTGATTATACACAAAATATTTTGCAAAGGAAAACAGTGCCACAGAGGAATGTTGGGATGCCTGTCAGCCATCTGAAAAAAATGAAAAACAAAATGAAAATCCCTGGTTAATGCTGCAACCAAAGTTTCAAACAATCACGTATAAATCCAGTATTTCATGGACATTTAAGTGTAATACTCATACTTTCAATGAATTAGAAAACATGGTGATATCGGCCTTAAGAGGGCAGATATGATGGCGGTTACCATTAATTGGCCGATCGATTAATCAGTCTGTCTCTGTAGTTATATCGCTGGTCAGTATATAGGTTTGTGATGTTTAAATGCCTGTTGTTGCAAACATGTAGGACGGAGTCCTCTTTAAGAGTTTGACCCCCAACTGCTCATCATCTGGGATCGCTGTGGTCTCTGTAATGCTGTCTTTGTTAAATTAGGCTGCAAGAAAGAGCAGCTGTTAAAACACAGAAATCAGAGTAGTTTTAATCGCCACTTAAATTTGCAAAGGAATATGTGAAGGAAGAAATTAAGTAGGAAGCAGAAAAATGCTGTATTCTTACTCCCATAATGCTCAAGTGAAATTAAAAAAAATGTATTAAACAGGAGTCTGTTGTGGCAAACTAGTTTAATTGCAAACAAAAATGTAATTCTTACTTTTTAGGTAAGAGGATGTTATGAGATTAGCACACTTTCAGCTCGGTAAATTCAAATCTCTGTAAACTTCAAATTGTCTTATAAATCTTGTGGTTGATCATTTTGTGGTTGTTTGGGTCTGTAGGTCTTTTTCCCTTTCGTGTTTATGCTTCAATCTTCCAAAGAAATGCATCTTGTCAAAGAAAAATATGTAAAATGACAGCTGCTCCTGTAAGAGATGTTCTTGTTGTTGTTTTAGTCAAAGAGTTTAGTTGTAAATAATTTTTCCTCGTCCTCTTGTTTCAGACAAAATACACATTGATCGATGAGCAGGACATACCACTGGTGGAGAACTATGCGTTTGAGGTAAATAAAAGGGTTGTGAATGATCAAATGACACGATTTTGCAAAAAAAGTAGAGTTAGTGATTAACAGACATTTTTTTATCAATTTCCAGGCGCGCATGGAGGTAGATGCAGACGGAAATGGAGCAAAGATATTTGCCTATGCTTTTGACATCGGCAAAGGCCGCTGGGCAGGAAGGCCTTTACACGAGCTCCTCTGGTAAGTACCTCGTTTATTAACTCAGCTGTGAGCGTGGGCGCCTTCTGAATTGGGGATGAAAATCAAGTTTTGAGTTTCGCAAGCTGCATCATTTAAATCAGATCACTGGTGAGCAATGATGTGTCGATTGTCTTGGTTTTGAATCAAACAAATATCTAATGGTAAAAAGATGAGCCCCGGTGGTTAGTTCCTAGAGGTCCAAAGTTTTGTTTCCCTTTACCAAAACCATTAAACCATTAGTTACATTAAAATTTAGGTGTTTTATTTGATTCAGAACTGAGCTTTGAGCCTCACAGAAGAGATCTCACCAAGAATGCATTTGATCATTTAAAAAACATCGCCCAAGTGCGACCGTTTCTCTGTCAAGCCAATGCAGAGACATTAATTCATGCTTTTATCACTTGTAGAATAGATTCCTGTAATGTCCTCCTTATGGTCTCCCTAAAAAGAAGATTTCACACTAGCAATTAGGACTCACATTATATGATCGTGATCGATGATCGTGAAAATTTCAATTTGATCATGGTGATCAGCTGAGAGCATATTTACTCGATCAAACATGGAGGAAATGTGCGTCACAACAGCCAATCAGAGTCGAGCTTTTCCTGCTCACTTCTGCAAGTTGCCGGAGAAGTAAACAGGAGAAGTAAACAGAATGACCAAACGTGGAGCTGAGGGCAGCAAGAAAGTTGTCAGCCGTGACTTTGAGTCATCCTCTGAAGGTGTTATTGTTGAGAAGTTATTCAATGTCGGTAGTGTGGCGGTGGTTCGGGTATCCCCAAAGTGACGTCGAGTAATTAAGCCGATGAGCAAGGTATGTCAGCGATCGGTGCCCTCAAAAAACGGCAACACAGTAGATCTGTTTAATCATTTGAAGAAGTACCTCCCCAATGATCATGTGGAAAGCATGAAAATGCTAGCGGAGTCTGCACAGCTTGTCCCTGCTGACGGCACGGGTAGCATTAGCAGTTTATCCACAACTAGCAGTGCAGCCACCAGACCAGAGCAGCGATTAATTGTATCATTTACGTTTACATCATCTAACGTTTACATTTTAAGGACTCTTCATTATCTCTGAAGGGGCGATTTGTTTATTTTGGGTCTTGCATACCTCAGGACTGTAAACTAGTTCACTGTATTATTTAGTATTTATCTACATTTGTTGTATTGTTGAGTTAAAATGTTTTTTTATATTTTTCTAAGTGTACATTATTCAGTTTGCTTTGTTATTTACTTAGTATGTCAATAAAATGTTAAAATAATCTCTAGTTTCTTTAGTTTTTAGTACAGATGCTTTAAAACTGGCAGTTTTTAAAAAAAAAGTGATAATAAATGAGATGAGATGATATGACAAAACATATCGTGATCTTTTTTTTTTTGCCAAATCGCGCATGCCTACTTGCAATTACTCCAAAACTCAGCTGCACGGATGTTAACAAGGACCAGAAAGAGAGATCACATTACCCCGATTTTTAAGGTCTCTGCATTGGCTACCCGTCTCTTTTAGAACAGATTTTAAGGTTGCTTTACTGGTTTTTAAAGCTCTTAAAGGCTTTGGCCCATGGTTGTGTGTGAAGAGTGCTCTAAAAATAAAGACTGATTGATTGATTATGATGTGTTTCTGGTCAGGTCAGTATAATTACTAACAGTCAAAGTTGGATCAAGTGTAATCATCTTTACTATTCTGAGTTATTCGGTATGTTTTGTTGAAGGGGTTCCCGTCAGGTCACTTGTATTTGTTTGGACAGATTTGTTTCCATTCTCTGCAGGAACAGCAAAAGCAATACAAGTTCTGTTGAAAACATATTGCCGTCTCATCTTTCGGCTCAAAGAGAGAAAAGACTGAATGGCAAAATCAATAAATACTTGGATCATCCTTGAGGCTCATTAAGGACGACAGTATTGATTAAAATTAACTCTCTCCATCCCCTGTGATCACATCAGACTTAACCGTTACTAATGAGATGTATCCTGTTTCAGTTATCTGATCAAAAACGGTTTCAGTGCAAGATTAACGCTATAGAGAGCACTATGTTGTTTTCAGTATTAAAACCTATTTTATTTATTATTACTATTATTATGGGCTTATCGCAGATATTTTACCATAAATATTTTTTTTTTTCAGTGTTTAAAGATGAGAACTGTTTTCATGAACGGTAGTCTGGGTGATCTAGGAACAACATAGTAAATGCCAGTGGAGCTCCAGTGTTTACATTATGTGCAGCACTGTCTGCATCACAATTGGCAGAGCGTCACGGCTGAAAACACAGCCTTATGCACTAGAAATGGGCGACTATATTTATGTGGATGCTCGATTTTCCTGCAGTCATATCTGAATTCTTTTTTAACCTCTTGAAGTAAATCCCCTAGACTTTCTCTCCACTGTTTGTACCATATCAGTCTTAAGCAAGTTAAGCAGGTCTTCAAATGCACCACTTTTGTAAACTTCTATGTCTTTAAGATCTTTATTCCTTACAGCAGGCTGATGCACGCTACTTAAAAGTGTAATAGATTGTCTGTACATGTAGATAAGAGTCTCACCAGTTTGCTTTTGACTGAAGAAGCTTGGTTCTGGCGGTTGTTTTATAGCATTAGTAAAAGAAAGGTGTCTTTTTCCAAATACTTTTTTAAAGCTTTATGTAAAGATTTAAGTATTTATTCTCTTCATCAGTGCCAGTGTTTTGAAAAAAGCGATCATCCTGCTGGTTCACTCAAACTTCGACTCCTGTGAATGAAGCTCATTGAAATGAGTTGTCATTACTTTGTACTTTCTCACTGACTCACAATCTGGATACATGTCTCGTCTCAGGGAGAAGCACAGAGGAGGCATCGCCCCCAGTTTTCAAGTCATCCACATCAACTCTGTGACCGTGGATAACCGGCTAGACAACCTGCGACTGGTGCCTGTGGGCTGGAGCCCCAAACCAGAGGAGATCTCCAGCAAGCAGAGGTGGGACTACTTGTGCATACTGTAATTTGACATATCAACTATTGAATCAGTTATCTGTGAGCTTTTCCCTTCTTACACCAGTCTTCAGAATTCCTCATCGATCAGATCCAACATCAGATTCGTAACTAGCTTCTCCTTTTCTCTGAGAGTAATCAGATTTTAGTGGGGCAGTACTCTTGACTATTAAACTAAAAGAGTTGGTCTTGCTGTTACACCTGTGGCATGTGCCTAATATATATCTGTGCTCTTCCTCATTCAGAGAACAGTCTCTGTACTGGCTGGCCATCCAGCAGGTACCTGCAGACCCTGTGGAGGAGCAGTATCTGGAGCTGAGCCGCACACGCTACTACAATGCTAACGGGGAGCTGGTGGAGGAAGAAGAGTGCTCCTGCACTTACTACGAGTGTCATTATCCTCCGTGTTCACTCATCGAGAGGAGGGTACGAGCTCGAATTAATGTCAAGTTGGATTGTAATTGATCAAATATGTCAATAAATCATGTCCAGGCATTTGACTTCCAAACAAAGCATCACATTACCTACAGAAGTGATTAACAAGAGCTTATTGTGAACTTCTTATTTTATCCTCTTGCAGCTCCGGGAGTTCAACATCTGCGGCCGCTGCCAGGTGGCACGCTACTGCGGCTCCCAGTGCCAGCAGAGGGACTGGCCCGCCCACAAGAAGCAGTGTCGCGAGCGCAAACGGGTGCTGGCTCTAGAGTCGGAGCCCGAACGATGATCGGCCATCATCCTCGCCCGGGAGGGAGGGAGAGAACAGAGGGGGAGCAGGGTTAGACTCGCGGGAGGGGAGCGGGGATGAAGTGCATATTTGGGGAAATGCTGACAAGAGACTAACGACAGAGAACAATGTTGATTGCTTGATGGATTCTGGCGGTAAATAGACGGAGGATTAGGAATCAAAAAGACATCTGCCACTCTCCAGAACTGGTATTTCTCCATAGCTTGCTTTTCATGTGGATGACGGAAAGTTCTGTTTGTTTATCTTTATTTTTCTCGAGGAGGGAGACCCTCGAGCTCTACTTGCTGCTATGGTTTTTGTATGTGAGGAGGTGAGAAAAAGTTGTCTTGTTGATGAACTGGACAAGCTTCTTTGGACCACAACAGACAGTCGTCGTCATCCACTTTTCGTTCCTCCACCCGGCCGCTGGGTGTGGTGATGGCTGTGCAAAAGGGGGGAGGAGGGAGACCCCAGGGGCTGCAGTACCCGTCGTTCAGCTGGTACAATGGGACATGGACCTTTTCACTGTATCGCTCCCTTTCTGACCTCTCTGCTGCACACGGCTGCTGTCTTCATCGTCATCGACACCTTAGCCGCCTCCCTGTCTGTTTGTACGTCTGTCTGTCAGTCTGTCTGTCTTACCCCCACTAACCCAGCCCCCCCACACCGCCAACAACCACAACACACATCTGAGTTCACTGATCGGATCACACTACCAGTATTGCGTGTGGGAGTGTGCATGTGTGTATGCTTGTGTTTGTATGTATGTGTATGTGTTGCCAACATGTACTGAAGGACATTGACACGGTCAACATGGGTCTTGGTCAGGGTTATTGTACGTCTTTTCTTAAAGGGGCCATATTTCACCTTTTTAAAGTTCATATTTAATCAGAAATCGGTTGGTTAAGATACTTTCATTGTCCTATATTAAAGTAGCGGCCAAGTAAAGGCTTATTTCCTTTTCTAGGAGTCTTGTTGACACGTTCACAGCTATCTTAGTTTTATTTTAGCTCTAAATTTGATCAGACTTTCATTGTTTAAGACTTGGTACAATTCAGAATAACTGGATGACTGACATTCAAAGTTTCCAAACTCCTCCAGTTATAGTTTAAAATCTGTTCCTGGTACTAAAACAGGCCAATTTCTTTTCACCGTTTTCCACAGGAACAAAGCTTGTAATGCTGATCTACATGACTCTTATAGTATTTATCACAGTCTGCAGTTTGGCACTCCTGTATCAGCTGGTTTCCATCCCTCCAGTCAGTCTATGGTTTTGCTGTATTTTGTAACAGACACCTGTCTTTTTCATCTGTATTTGCATCTTTAAGGGTTGTGTGTGTTAGGGTGGGTTGTGCTCAGTTTTCTGTGTGAGACTTTTTATTTTATTTTTTTTTGAAGAAAATCTAACAATGGAGCTATATTTATTGAAAATGTTTGATTGTGAAACCTGTTTTTTTTTTCTTTTTTTGTCCTGGTGATATTTGAAGGCAAGCATTATAAAAGAGGACAATGTGGGACCTTTGTATGTCACATCTACCAGGGCAGGGTAGCGGTGGAGTGATTACTTCCACCCATATTGTTCGATCGCCCCTTTTTTCCTTTTCAGTCTCGATCCTGAATGCATGTGTGAGTTCTCCTCGGTGGTGCCCTTCCAGATTTTTCCATGAAATCACTGCACACCATCTTTGTCACTTAAAAAGAAAAATCTTCCATGTGAGAGACTTTTGGGAGTGTAAAACTTGAATTCCCCTCCTTTACACACTTTATTTTTAATAACCTGGAGTGGTTTAACAAACGGAACCATTTCCCGAGAAAAAGAAATTTCCTTTGTCTTTCTCCTAAATCGCCTGCCTTCCTTATGTTACCTGCAGCGCACACCTGCTTAGCGTGTCCTCTCGTGTCTTAGGTGAGGAGTCCAGACACTAAGAAAGCATGTGATCCACAGACGTACATGCGACTCGTTGATTGTTCATTTTGTATGTGTGTGCGCGTGTGTGTGTGAACAGGTTTTCAACACTGCACTAAAAATTTGGCTCCCCATGTCAGCGTATTTGTCATAGATGGGTCGAAGGGAGGGGGGGGGGTGTGATTTGCAAATTTGGAGTGTACAGAAATGTCTGAAATCTTTTTGTTTTGTAAGAATATAAACATTAATCACAATAGAAATAAAGAGCTACAATATGTGAATGGAGGAACAGTTGGGGATAACTGACAGTTGCTTTTCCAATGTTAAATGATAATAAATAAAATGAACCTCATTTGTCGGAGTGACTGTGATACTTGTTTCTAATATACGAATTTTATGGAGGAGGAGTGACTGAAATACAGAGCCAATTTTGATTTGGGTGAAGAATTTTAGCTCAGCACAGTGTTGTAATTTAAGTATTAAATGCTTTTTTAAACTGTTATTACAATTGTGTTAAAATTGAAAATATTGTGTATAATTTACACTCCTATTTGAACTAGTCTTGTGTCACCTTTTCCTTCTCTTCTGTCCTGTGTAACCGGTAACAGATGTACAGCTGCTCTGCTGTGGTTGTGTGGTAACTTGAGCCTCTCTGTGCCGATACTTTTATTTCCACAGAAGTATCTGGTTTTTCTCCATCTGTTTCTTTTCCATCTTCTCCCTGCTCATCCCCTCTTCTAAGTAAGACCCTGAGGCCACCATGGTGTCAGGGGTCAACCCAGAGGTTACATGTCAGAGGTCAGCAAGCTGCACCGTTGAGGAAAGTAGAAGTGCTTTTCAACCAAAAGTACCCTGAACTTTTAGTTAGTGGGACTTTAATTGCAGTGAATGTGATGGCTCCACATTCATTCTTTAATTAGGTAGTGTGTAGTCTTGCTTCACAAGATATCTACAGGGGTTGGACAATGAAACAAACGCCTGGTTTTAGACCACAATAACTCATTTGTATGGTGTAGGGCCTCCTTTTGCGGCCAATACAGCATCAATTCGCCTTGGGAATGACAAGTCCTGCACAGTGGCCAGAGGGATTTTGAGCCATTCTTGCAGAACAGTGGCCAGATCACTACGTGATGTTGGTGGAGGAAAACGTTTCCTCCAGTGTTTGAACCATTGGGTGCACATGGTCCTCCAGAATGGTTCGGTAGTCCTTGGCAGTGACGCGCCCATCTAGCCCAAGTATTGGGCTTAGGGAATGCCATGATATTGCAGCCCAAACCATCTCTGATCCACCCCCATGCTTCACTCTGGGCATGCAACAGTCTGGGTGGTACGCTTCTTTGGGGCTTCTCCACACCGTAACTCTCCTGGATGTGGGAAAGACAGTAAAGGTGGACTCATCAGAGAACAATACATGTTTCACATTGTCCACATCCCAAGATTTTCACTGCTGGCACCATTGAAACTGACATTTGGCATTGGCAAGAGTGGCCAAAAGTTTGGCTATAACAGCCCGGCCGTGTATATTGACCCTGTGGAGCTCCCAACAGACAGTTTTGGTGGAAACAGGAGAGTTGAGTTGCACATTTAATTCTGCACTGAGTTGGGCAGCTGTGGTTTTATGTTTTTTGAATACAATCTGGGTTCGCACCCGAACATCCTTTTTCAGACAGCTTCCTCTTGCGTTCACTTTTACTCCTGTTGGATGTGGTTCGTCCTTCTTGGTGGTATGCTGACATTACTCTGGATACCGTGGCTTTTGATACATCACAAAGACTTGCTGTCTTGGTCACAGATGCGCCAGCAAGATGTGCCCAAACAATTTGTCCTCTTTTGAACTCTGATATGTCACCCATAATATTGTGTGTATTGCAATATTTTGAGCAAAACTGCTATTACTCTCCTAATTGAACCTTCACACTCTGCTCTTACTGGTGCAATGTGCTATCAATAAAGATTGGCCACCAGGCTGGTCAAATTTAGCCATGAAACCTCCAACACTAAATTGGCGGGTGTTTCAGTTTCATTGTCCAACCCCTGTAGTTCAGACTAATTTTCTGTAAGTTAAGGAAGTAATAAAAACAGGAACGACAAAGAAAACAAATTTTCACTAATGCTAGTAATTATCCCGCTTTTCTACAACATTTATTTTTTCTTGTTTTGCTTATTCAAATGTGTATTTCGTGGGTAGCTACGTTTTTATTCTCTGACTTATACCTGTGTTTATTATGCTTTATTTTTATTATGCTATCATTTTTGTTGATATTTTCTGTTTTTAAAATATCATACAGATTGTTTTTATATATACTTTCATTGCAGTGGATGTGATGTCTCAACATTCATTCTTTAATTAGTAGTCTTGCTTCACAAAATATCTTGTTCAGCCTTAAATTATGTGTATGTCAAGGAAGTAAGAGAAACAGGAACGACAAAAGAAAACAAATTTCACTTATGTTGGTAATAATTCCACTTTTCTACATTTATTTTTTCTTGTTTCACTGATTCAAATGTGTATTTTGTCAGTAGCTACATCTTTATTTTCTAACTTATACATGTGTTTATTTGCTTCATTTTTATTAAGCTATCATTTTGGTTGATATTTTCTGTTTTTATTGTATACATATTGTTTTTATATATACTTGCATTGCAGTGAATGAGATGGCTAAATGTTCATTCTTTAATTAGATAACGTGTAGTCTTACCTCACAAAATATCTAGTTCAGTTGTAAATTGTGTTTAAGTAAAGTAAGAAAAACAGGAAAGACAAAAGAAAACAAACTTCACTAATGTTGGTAATAATCCCACTTTTCTACATTTATTTTTTCTTGTTTCACTAATTCAAATGTGTATTTTGTCGGTAGCTGCCTTTTATTTTCTAACTTATGAATGTGTGTTTATAATGATTTATTTTCTGTATGCTATCATTTTTGTTTATATTTTCTGTTTTCATATTATACACCATTCCTTTCCATTTTTTCACGGGTGAGAAGCTGCAGTACCACCCCTCACCATCGCGTGTCGCTAGTGTTTTATACAAACAGTGATTTCTCTGTGTCGTAGCACGGAAGTTTGATAATCAGCTGTTATGTACACATTCAAAGCATGTTAGTTTAAATGTAACCCCAGCTCCCTATTAGGTAAACAGAAATGGTGAATCTCGGTCTGACCAAAGTGGACGATGCAATAGCAGCGAAACACCCGGTGAGTGTTTTTTGTTTTCACCTTTTTTCCCTTCTTTTCTCCGCAGTGTTGATCTCTGGAGGACACCGAGTCCGTCAAACAGGAGAGAAGATGCTGCATGTATTAGGAACCTGTGCAGTTTATTATCAGATTATTTCTAACAATTTTAAAGGAGCAGCACTGTGCTGATTGTTCTTATATTATTTTCTTTCGTATTTAGGGTTTAGAAAGTTATGCAGCCTGTCAGTCTCACGCCTTCATGAAGGGAACTGGGACTTTAGCATTCGGTAAGTGAAGCTTTTTTACCCTCCAGACAATTATGTTTACTATATTTTTGATTAATTAATACATTCTCAGTTAATAGACGTGAGATGTACTGTATCATGTTTCATACTCAAAAGAGTATTTCCAAATAATTATCTTAATAACTAAGTGAAGAAGTTTTGTGCTTTCAGTGTCAGTTGTCGATGGTTCCCAAAGTAGGGGGCAAGTCCCATTTGAAGGTCACATTACAGTGATGAGGAGGTCGCAAGGTGCTTTCCGAATACAGGTTCTTTCACACCGGGACTGTTTTTGTCGTGCAATTATTTCAGACATCAGTATTTTATTTAGAACCCGGATCCTGTCAATACAAGTGTTCACATCAGCAACGTTTTCCCGTCCTGCGATATTGAGGCATTTATTTTTTCGGATCACGGTCGATTTTTCTAAAGTTTCGCATACTGTGTGTCCACTTCTGACCAATCAGATTGCGTGTTGTTATTGTGATTTCTTATTTACAGGTATATCCAACATGGACGACCGGCTGATTGTTTACGTGTCAGAGAACAGAGTGTTTTTTGATAAAAGACACAAACATTACAAAGATAACGACGTAAAGGATAGTTTGCTAAACGTCTTTGTTTTAACTTTCATCTGTGCTAAGTAACTTTAGCTCGTAAGCTAACCTGTTCAGATACAACATACCATATGTATTTTCACTGTCAACTCAATCGTGTTGCTGTCACAGCACCATTAGGTCTCGGTTGTTACCTTATGTTTCTGGATTATAGTTTAATGTGCTTATCTGGTACTGGCCGCGACTCAGTACATGCTATCATGACAGACAGTCATCTCAACACTAGTGTCTAATCAGAACTGAAAAACAGTCAGTCTGCTGTTGTGTCAGTTTTCTCGCTTCCACCCGGACGCGTCTTTTTTACCCCTCAGAAAGTCACAAAATCGCATCAGGCTTGATGTGTTTAGTCAGGCGCATCAAAAATCGCCTCTGAATATTTCGTTATTTAGCGTTGTATATTTGCATCGGTCCCGGTGTGTAAGGACCTTAATACTTAAAAGAAAAAAAAATGTTTAAAACTGCATATTATTATTCCATTATTCCAAAAGTGTTTTGTTTTACTTTTCTTTGTTGCCACATGACCACACAAGCTGAGAAGTTTGGAAACTCCAGAAAAACCCAAAGACCATTTAAACTGCACACATGATATTATTTTGTATGCCAGTGGGGGGTGCTATATCCTCTTTTCTGAGGGTTTACTTTTTCATACTGAATATAACAAAATGAGCTGATGAGTAGTGTTTTGTGATATGCATAGGTTTTGACGGGGACGCTGACTTTGCTTTTGTTTGTTTGTTCCCTTTTATGTGATTGTAATATTGTCTGTAACATTATAGGAAAATAAGCTGAAGTGGACAGACCATCTTATATAATTGTTTATTTCTGTTTTGAGTGAGGGGCATGTAAAATAAGCTTTGCCTTCTACCTGCTCCTTTCCAGTCATGTGCTGTGCTACATTTGTTAAATGCCTTTTGTAGATAGATAGATAGATGGATAGATAGATAGATAGATAGATAGATAGATAGATAGATAGATAGATAGATAGATAGATAGATAGATAGATAGATAGATAGATACTTTATCAATCCTAGAGAGAAATTCAAATTCAAATTGTATTTATGGGAATACCTAAAATGGCCATGAGCAGGACAAATAAAAAACGAAAACAAATAATTACATAGAGCACACTGAACCTCTTAACAGGAAAACTAAAGTTTCGTTATCATCAAGTCTTTAAAAGAAAACAGAGAGTCAAAAATCAAATCCTTGAAAAAATAAGAGCTTTGGTTTTGCATTATTGTGCTATTATTTTATTATCATTATTAATATTGTCTTTTATTTTTACTATCCTGTTTTCTGCTTTCAACCCCCCTTTTAATTGCATTTTATTTTTTCTTAACTATTTAATGTTTTTATTTTGGTCCTCATGGTCTCATTTTATGTTGCATGGTTCTTGTCTTATCTGGGTACCTTATGACAAATGAAAATGGCCTTCAATTCCGTTTTACCTGTGCTTTTATTTTAATTTGTCTTTTTCTTTGTGGTTTATGACTATATGTCAAAGCACTTTGTAAACTTCTGTTTTTAAAAGTGCTTTAAAAATAAAGTTATTATATATTTGAAACCTGCCACTTTTGTTCTTGGACATCTTATGCATTATTGTTCTAAATAGCACACTGACTCCTTACAACAACAACCAATCGAGTCTGAAATTTTAAAACTTTCTTTTTCACCTCCCCTTGTTAAACTGTGGCATCAAACAGGCGCTCATGATGCTTTATTTCCCTCTCAGATGCCAATCAATTGATAAAAAAAGCTGTAGATTCAGTAGAACAGAAGTAAATATACCGTCAGTGGATCATGAGTGAGCCACTAATTGTCTGAATGTTAATCATGACTACAGATGTACATATGCACATGTCTTGTGCTTCTCTTACAGGTACTGCTGCTTTATTTGCCATCCAGAAAGCTCTTCAGAGGAAGCTCCCGTATCCTCTGCAGTGGAATGTTCTCATTTCAGTAGGTGAGAAACTAAACATGGAGTATAAGTGTGCATGTGCCTTCAAGAATTATAGTATTAGACCAGGGGCTACTCTTACTTTCACACCTTATCTATCTCTTTTTCCTCTTTCTCAGTGGTGTCTTCAGTAGGAAGTTACGCAGTGACTCGGTGGGAATCACAGAAATGTTCAGACCTTTGGTTACTGCTGGAGACGGGAAAAGTCCCAGACAGATCGCCACCTCAAGGTGAGCTGGAGACAGGTATCTTACTTTGACTTGAGGCAGCTTAGGTTTCACTTTTACTACAAACACAACACAAAGTGTTAACCAAAGGCACAAATAAACTGTAATGATGCATAAAAATGTAAAACAATGATTTAAAAATTCAAAATCACATGAATGAAAATGTGAAATATAAGTTCAATAAGACTAAACAAACTCTAAAGATAAACCAAGAATAAGACTTTAGTCATTAAAATTTTTATTCAAAGTAAAAGTGGAGCTACAAAGAAAGGACTTAAAGGGATATTCCAGCGTAAAATTAATTCAGGGTCAAACACATCTTTTTAGCTTTACCTAATTTCTTTAGCAAAAAGACTAAACACAACTCACCTACTCTCTTCCAGCAGCCGTTTGTTTGTAGCGAGACCTCGGGCCAGTCCATTAGGGACTACAGCGGGGTGATGCAGCTCAAGGAAGAACATTTTTGATCATTTCTTCATGGAAATGCAATCAGACCGAGACGCTGAGGTAGAAGAACTACTGCATCTGCAGTGCAAAATGACTAATATGGTGATTATTACTTCAAGGAAATGATAATTAATTAACATTCTGTTGTAATTAATTTTACGCTGGAATATCCCTTTAAGTTTCCTTTTCAAAATGAAGAGAGACTTTGACATCTTTAATTTCAGGGGCAATGACTTCTTTTTTGTGCCACCTCTGTTCCTCAGTTATTTTAGTGTATCATCTTAAAAAGAGTTGTTTGACTTGAACTCTGTATGTTTATCCACATCTTTGTTTGTCTTGCAGCGCCTGAACCAGAGAAACCTAAAGGATCTGGAAAGACAAAATATGGGGATGTGATGGAATAACATATAGTTTTTAAAGACTTGTGCATCCACTGTACGAACAAACCCATCCTTTCTGTATAAGTACTATGGTGGAGTGGAATAGTGCCCATGGGATTGAACTCTGGGCAGGGTGTTTAGGGGAGCAATCATGAGTTTTTGCCATGTAACACACGTATGAAGTACATATTTGTCTTTTGTAAGGGGGGTGAGAACTGCTGAGCTTCTGAATTTCATAACAGCATTACTGTCTGGCTAAATATATGAGTTTCCTGAATCAGAGGTCAGGCATTAGTTTGGGTTTGTGAGAGGAATCAGATGTTAAGCTTGTGATCCCGTACTATAATGTGGATGAGTTCGACATGCAATCTAATCCTCACTGTAGTCTGTATACCAGCTAGTTCAATGATCAGCATGTGATCGTAATTTGCACATCAGTCATTTAAACAGGTATGTTTTAGATTAAAGTGATACATCCATTTGAAAAGATGCTTATTCTTAACTCTGGGTGGTGATGTGATTAATGAAAACAGCTGGTTTTGCTCTCTGCCATTGTGTATTTAGTCATCCACCCTCAGCTCAGTGCTGCTGCTGTAAACCTTTTGATCTCTTTGAATTCATATTAGTTGTAGTTGGACTGTAAAAGTTGGCATCAGTGCAAAATATAAAGAGGCTACCATGAGGTGCCACAGGATGAGAATAACGACAGAATAATAGCTGAGATAAAGAGGTGTTACAAATTCAGATATGGAGCGTAATTGTTTTAGATTATGGTGAATGACGGAATTGAGATAGGAAGACCATGAAAAATAAAAGTGACATGTTTTTTAATCATTTTAACATGAATAAAATATCTAAATTCATATATGTCTTCATCCTGATCATGGCCACCTTAATTTGTTTTGCATGGCAGCTGTAATTAAAATCCGACACAGTTTAACAGACATGATTCAGCTCCTGTTTCTATCCACTCAAAATGTTATTATGAAAAAAACGAGATGCCTAGGATGTAATGCCAACATGCAGTATGAAGTAGAAAACAGAAGACTGATACACCCTCTCATCACAGAAACACACGCCTACATGGTCATGTTCTCAGCAGCACGGAGAGGGAACATGAGGATAGTGGATCATGAATGTAAAGCAGCACCATGCCTAGAAAACACCCAGTTTAATATGAGAAATTTTGAGTTGTCTACAATGATGAGAAGTTAAATTACTCTATTATTAAATTTGAATTGAAAAGTCTAAAACATTTAAACCACAGTCCAAAGGCCTTCAAACAAAAGAGACTGGTTTCAGTTTGAGCTCAGCAGGTTAAGAGTTATACAACAAGATTCCCTGGACAGAAAGGCAGCACGTCCAATACATGATTTACCAATTAATCCCTGTTAGATGCTCCACATGTTATAGAACTATGTAAGTATGTTATCATTACTTGCTGATAAACTTGAATTAGCAAAAGAGGCTGTCAGCAAAAAGACTGGCTACTACAGAGTGAAATCAGTAAAGTTTATTACATATTTTTTTTTGTCCATAGAAGCTCAAAAGTTCAAACATTAAATTCCCTACAGCAGCTTTAAATTTGCCATGCACTGACTAGATACAGGAGACATGAAACATTGTAACAGAAAACTATTAGTGGATTAATGTGCTGAATTTTTCCACTTCATAAACCCCAAAATCCTTTCTAATCTCAATCCAGATCCTGCAGAGCTACACAGACAAGCTCTGCTGAAAGCTGATCTGAAGGCATGTTAAAGCTCCTGTAAGGAACTTTTGGTGTGTGACTATTTTAGCGCCCCCTATGGACAAAGCAGTCTGTGCTTCTTAAGTAGAGTCTTCTAACAAAAAAAATCTCACCCCCATTGACTTTTGGCATTTATTGATCATAAATTGATCATTGAACGTGAATATTCGGTTCAATAAATGTAAAAACAGGTCTGTTTCTCAAGCTACTTGGCTAACACCTACTCTCCTCACACCAGTTTCAGGGATTTTAAATAAGAATCATCAGTGTTCTTGCTGATGGTCTTGTTTGCTCTCATGTGTATCATAAGAAGGCGTCAATATGAATTTTAAGAAAAAAAGCTTTAAAACAAACACTTTTTCATCACATTGGGCTGTGATGACAGATATTATGAGCAACTCAATTTACATCCAGCTAGTTTAAACCAAACCTGTGTCTCTCTGTGTAACTGAACTAGTTTGTGTAATGTGGTGTAAGCGACACATTTTCAGCTCCATCGAGAGCAGCCCGGTGGAACAAAAGAGTCTTTTAGCCATGCTTTAACACCTCCACTGAATGATGCGGCCAAAGTCCGGGGATTTCATTCTTGGATAACAAGCTCAGGAGAGTCTTTAGGGGATTTAAAACTGAAGCTCACACTGATGTGCATTTTTACAGTGTTTTTAAGAGAAATGTCTATCCTCATAGGTATCCTCTTAGATTTTGCCTTTTTTGATTTTCCTTTCTCCACCTTTGTGCAATCTGTATCCACCCCCGCTCTTGTTTCGTGTTGCTCTCGTCCACCCACCGTAATTCAAATCTAATTTTACACCTCTAAGATTAACAGGTTTTGAATTCTCCCCCCAAAAAATACGCTTCATGAATTGAATAAGCTCTCAAAGCCTTTGTCACATGCACACTGATGCTGCAGAGGGAAAAGACGTGGAGGAACAGTGAGCAAACAGGAGATAATGAGGGAAGAGACTCTGTGTGCGTGCGTGTGAGGACTGTGAATCCCTACACGCACTAAAAGTGGTACGCACTGGCTTTTTGGCCCGGCTGGTAACCGCTGGCATGCTTTACTGAGTGTGTGTAGAGAGTGCGAGTACTAGTGTGTTTTTTTACAGCGGGTGCAGTGCATGTGCGTGACATGAGAAAGGAGGATGTGCAGAGCAGGACTGAGCGCTCATTTGTCTGACCCTGTGAGTCCAGTGAGTCGAGCTGCAACTTGACAGTGTGCACATCTTCTTCTCTTTCTTTCACTTAACATTTTACTTTTGCTTATATAACGACCAAGTCTGGATTTTAAGGACCCCCCAAAAACACATTTTACAGTGCTTATGCAAGTTCAGCAACAGAGAAAAGAGGCACAGGATGGTTTTCATTTGTATCATGAAACATTTTTGTGTGTACTTGAATAGCTGATCAAATCTAGCCTGGAGTCATGATCGATCCCTACAAACTATTGTGTTAAAGATAACAACTGGTGTGTGATTGACTGTCAGATCATGTGTTCGTTGTTTGTCGAAGGGGGGTTTATTGATTGTGTTTCCCAGCCTTCATTCACAACAGTAGAGTGTACAGTACAATTCATAAACACAATGAGGAAAATATGTGATTCAGGATCTGGTCTGACAGGGAAAACCACAGCGTGTCTTCGGTAATGTTTCATTTCCAGGCAGTGTGTTGTGACAGAGTGACGGTATCTTCAGCAGGCATCACTGCCTGAGCTTTGGCATGAGAGAGGAGTTCATGTCTGGGCAGGTCAGAGATAAACACGGGTCTGTCTGTCTGTGTAGGGGATGAGAGGCTCTCTGAGTGACTCATCCCTGATTTAAAAGGCAGACAGCAAAAAAATGTCCCTAAAGTGCCAGAAATGGTTGTGCAGAGATATACATCACATTCAAGCATCAAAGCTAATGCTTAATGAAAGAGTCTTTTGCAGAACCAGTTAACACTTAATTAAGACAGGATGATTACTTTCTGTTGTTATTGAATGCAGCCTGATTTGAGGAAATAGGATTACAGCCAAATCAATAGTCAGGAGATAAATTGTTCAAACTAAATAATAGTGATTGGTTCTTGATGTTATTTACTTGCAAAATACACAAGGTGAGCAAGGAAAAGGAGAAATACAGCACAAACCTACTGTATAATAATCAACAATACATCTTTAGTAGTCCTTGAAACTTGAAACTTACGGACTGCTGCAGGGTGACGCAGCTCAAGGAAGAACATTTATGATCATTTCTTCATGGAAATGCAATCAGACCAAGATGCTAAGGTAGAAGAACTACCGCGGCTACAGTGCAAAATGATTTATAGGGTGATCATTATTTCGGGGAAATGATAAAGAAATGATCATAAATGTTCATCCTTGAGCTGCGCCACCCCGCTGTCGTCCGTAATGGATTGGCCTGAGGTCTCGCTACAAACAAATGGCTGCTGGAAGAGAGTACGTGAGTTGTGTTTAGTCTCTTTGTTAAAGAAATTAGGCAAAGTTAAAAAGATGTTTGGTTGCTAGTACTGTAGCTAGGAGCTATATGTATTATTGATGAAGTTAGGTGCTGGTCTGAGCATTATTTGTGGCTATAGAGTGGTGTTTTAGTTGAGGTTTGCGTGTGGCTCCTCAGATCGCTGTGTGTTGCTATCATGCAATTGTTACTAATGTTGGTATAAGTAGAGAGGCAAGTGGGTGGGAACACTCATCTCTCAAGGGGGTGTCTAACTCGGTGTTACAGTGTGTTTGACCCTAAATTAATTTTACGGAATATCCCTTTAAGTAGTGTCTTGACAAAAAAATCTCATCCCGACCATCAAATGTTGAATATTTTGTGAATATTTAGTGTGAAAAATGTAAAAACCAGTCTACTTTAGAGCCTCCACTAACACCTACCCCCTCAAACCAGTAACATGCATTTAAATTACAGCATAAATAGCATCAGAATTGCGTGTCAAAAAAGCCTTATATAATATTGACTGTATACATTTTTTCAAGTTTTTCTTTCAGTATGCTATGGAACTGTATGGGTAAGATTTAGTTGTTCAATACAATTATGTATTTGCCTAAACATGTTAAGCACAATGACATTTTAGCCAACAGCAAGAAGTAATTTCCTTTAGTTAAAAAAAGAAAACATAAACTAGCAGGTTTGCTCATTTCTCTGGAGAGCTAAGGTTCAAAATAATTTAATTATCCTAAACAAAGGGACTGTGTTCCTCATGCTGACTGTAAACTGATAGTTTACCCAGCTCGTCCTCATTATATGTGAGAGGAGGAGGGTTGTATGAATAACGTCTCTGCATTAGTAATAACAAAAGCACAAATCAAACTTGAGCCCACCTCGAGCCTGCACCAATGAGCGCCGAGCTCGTGCGCACCGCGGCCAATGGCTGATCCCGGGGCGCTCGCGCACAGCCGTTTGAAGGGCGGTCCTGGGCAGAAAAAGGAAAGTATGGATCAGAGAGCGGCGGAGTTTCGATGGGAAGGTAGACGCTAAAATATATACGGTACATTTCTGCCACGGATGACTATATCACCGCTGAATACGTTTACAAACCAGCTATTCTTCTGTATGTTCCGCCTCGTGTTTACATTAAGTTAAACCATTTTGTTTTGGTGTGTTTTTGATTGATTAGTGAGTGGAAATTATCGGCACATTCATGGCTTTGATAGCGACTGATCAGGGCTGCAAACTGAACGGGACGTCGGCGATTTACGGCAGAGTCGGACCGAGAAGAGAAGTTTTACACGGTAAATCCGAAAGCTTTAGAAGTGTTAAAATGCAGCCGAAAGAGACGGACTATTCAACAGATGGTCTGCCCAAAGCTTTCCTGCACAGCCTGAGGACTCTCTTTGACATCTTGGATGACTCCGGACGAGGGTATGTCCACATCTCCGAGATAGAGAGCCGCTGGCAGGGCGCAGACACCCGGGACTTGCCCGGCGGGGTGCTGAACTGCCTCAGGAGGGTCACCCCACCACATGGCTGCCTCACCTTTGAGCGTTTCGTGGCGGGGCTGCGGTACTCCATGCTCAACCCGGAGAACAGCCAACACTTTAAGGCCCAGGCTGCTGTCCCCCCTCAGCAGACCTCCAAGCAGCAGAAACCCGCCCCGCTGTCCAAATGCAGTGTAGGAACCCGGGTGGAGAACAAGGTTCGCCCGCTGGGACCGAGCAATGTGACAAACACCCAGCAGCACCGGTCGTCCTCTCTGCAGAGCCGGGGCAGACCGGAGGAGGGGCCCGGGTACCCTGCATGTGGAGCAGGACAGTACAACGCGGGCTACGAGAAGTCCGGGCGGAGTTTGGAGCGGAATCCAGGAGCTCCAGGGGGCGGGTGTTACCGAGCCGACCCGGGCCATCCCAGCAAACCCACACAGCCCCAACAGAGCCGAGTCAGGTCCATTGAGTCGCTCGCTCTTGAGTCACCGCAGGTCCAAGGACCAAGTAAGTGGAGCTGTGAGTGTAAACAAGACCTGTGCGTGTGTGTGTGTGTGTGTGCATGGTCAGTAAAAAAAAGTAACACTACACAACCAGAACAGAACCAGAACTAAAAACACACAGGGGAGAGTGGGGTAAGATGAGCCATTTTCATGTTTTAGATCACTACATCAAGGCAATCATAGTTTTGTCTCCAGTGTATCTGCATGTATTTCAAGATGTTGTGCATCCCTGCAAACCAACAGACTGAGTGTATGGGGTAAGTTGACCATAGGATCAGGGTAAGTTGAGCCGCATCCCTACTATCCCCAACTCTCCACCCCAGCCCTCCTTCACCTTCTCTCTCCCTAAATAACAGTCACTTCTTAACATTCATGTGTATTTTTATCGATTATACACTTTCCAACTGGTACAATAATTCTTTTCATTATTATTGCATATAACTGCTAAAAAGCTGTTTGTAAATAGCGATTTTAACACGAGAATGTCTTTAAGTGATTCAGAACATTCACAGCTGTATTTTTGAAAAGAAAAAGTAAAACATTTCAACAATCTGAATTGAAACTCTGATCCTCTCATCAGACTTCTTTACTAATTATCTTTTTTTAGTCTGAACACAATTCTCATAAAACTTATGACAGACTAAATTCACTCTCAAGAGTGAAAAATGTTTTTTTGTAAATAAATGTCTAACCCCTTCACCCATGTGCTTCTAACCTTCACAGACTCCATGAATTGATGCCCACCTCCTTAATATTTTGTCACATGATCGATTTCTTTTACCATTTCCAAGCAACAGGGGGTGGCTCAACTTAGCCTTTGGCTCAACTTACCCCACTCTCCCTTAATAGTCATTAACTTAACAGTAACATCAACAACACTCCATGTATGATGCTGTTGCCTGAAAGTCTCACACCTCACAACACAATATTCACCAGCTTTCCAAGAATCAGTTGTTAAAAGTCCAGTTTTTCTTGGCTGGCAAGTTAGCGAAAAAAAATCTTTAATTTACAGAAAGCTAAAAAAGAAAATCTGCTCATCCCAACACCAAAGAAAAGCTTGATCAGCAATTGCTTTGGCCTTTCAAAGCCTCATGAAAAATAGTCAAATAATGTTTTCTTGACTGAATATTGATCTGAACGCAAAAAAAAAATGAGTAAATGAATAAGAAGTAGAGCTGTTGTTGTCCCTTTATAACACAACTCTTGAGACTGTAATCCCATGGGCAAGCCTTTGACTGCATGCATAGCTGAACTGATATGTTCACAGCAGTCTTGCCAGCTTCGATCTCGTATTCAAATAGAATTAAATGCAGTGATCCGTGTAGTAAACACAAATGCAGAGAGTGTGCAGAGTGCAGCATGTTTGGATTTGTCATCCAGAGGGAGGCTTACAAAGTAAAAGCGTGTAACTTCAGTGGAAATCTTTTCTGTCAACACTTATTGTTGGCTACACACGTCTCAGGTGTCAGCTTGATGTCTCTGGCTGTGTTTTAGGGTCTCTGCTGCAGCAAGGCAAGCCCAGTTGAATAATTGCCGTTGTTAACCCCAGGCCAGGTTAAAGGTTGTGTCAGAGACTCCTCCAGAAATGTATCTTTTTTTTGGATGGATGAAGCACCCTGACCTGGCCCCTCTGACAGAAGAGCGTGTACTGGTTAGTAGTATATGAAAGTCCCAGTTCGCCTGCCTCATTATCTTGATCATACATCCAAACTCTCGCTCTCCTACGAACTCATTCCTGTTCGGCTTTCTCTCGCAATCACACAAGAGCTCTGTCACACATCTCACACACGCACGCGATCAGAGTGTGTCCGAGCTCGCCTGGTCTCAGTGCAGTCAGGCCTGTCTGGAACTATAAGAGTGACAGTCTTGCACTTTCTCTGTTGGGCCCTTGGGGCTCTCTTACATCACTTGCACTAAACTAAACACAGTACAGTTTTTCTGTTCAGTTGGATTAAGAGTGGAAGGAGAGGTTTTGATCCACCTTTTCCCTCCGTTATAGTAATACCTAAACGAGAAAACTGTCAGATTTCTATTTAGTATGAAAAAAATAAACAATATTAGGGGAAAAGCTCTGTTGTGAACAAGTTTACTCTCTTCATGATGACCAAACGCTCTCTGCTGATCGTCATCAAACAGTCATTGTTTTAGACAAGTTATGGCCATTACTGACAATGGTACTGACGTACTGTTCCTCCTACCAGTGTCGACAAGTTTGACAAAAATGTTCCTTTAAAGATCAAACGATTAAAAATCGCTTGTCTTGTTTCGTCACATCAAGTGAGACAGTCAGTGTCTACACTCGAGATCAATCATTGTGTTGTTTTAACATTCATATGGGCTGATATTTGCCCTGTTGACTCATATTAGCAAATAAAGACCCATGCATCAATGTAAGTTGCTGAGGTTTACTGGTAGTTTTGCTTCAGTCTAAAGCTGGAAGCTGGTATACCCGACTGCTGATTCAGCTGCTGGACATGCTTTGATTTGTCTTCACAGTCAAACGAGAGAGAAAGCGTCAGTAGTGTGGGGGCTTTAGGGTGTCTCTGAGCAAGACCTGCGACATTCATTAGTAATAGGGTCCGACCGATTTATCGGCAAGCCGATTAAATCTGCCAATTTTAGCCTGTTTGACACAAATCGGTAATCAGCCAAAACTCAATGATTTTCGACGATATTTTCAGAAAAAAAAAATGCAGAGAATAAGATTAGGTTTCACTTCGAAAATGTACCGCCATTTGAAAAGATCCCCCGACTTATCCTGTAGATGGCAGCGACCTCGTGACAATCTTCATCCATTAGTTGAAAACTCTTTTCTGGTCCGAGTTTGATCAGTCGGTCTTCCTGGCGGCGTGAAGAGCAATAGCCTACAGTCTACAGCATACTTTATACTGTATATATTTTTTATAACTTAATAAAAAATGTTAAAAATTCAGGCGATTAATTAGTAATCAGACCCCCCTCCCAACAATCGGCATCGGCCCCAAAAAATATCTGTCAGGCCCTGATTAGAAAGACGTGTTTCAGTGACATTTTAAGATAATCGGCAAACTACAGGCAACAATTAGGGTTTATCAGATCTCAAAGCTGGCTTAAAAAACAGAAAGAGACTTCTTTCAGCTGAATTGTTGTTTTCAACAGCAGTATCTGTATCTGATTTTCAGATTTACTGAAAAGCTTGAATGATTTAAACGCTTAAATGTTAAATCTTACTAAATCTTGGATTTTAGGGGTTGTAAACCAGCAAAAATCTGGCTTTGTTGATGGCGTGAATAGTTTTTTACATGTTTACTTGATGATACATATGGTTAGAGGAAAGACGGGCTTGAAAATATTGTTATATTCACTCTACAACCACTGGGTCAATGACTGATCCAATGACAGCGCCCTTATGTTCTGTCTCTGTCAGTTTTCTAACCCCCTAAAACTCACCCCAGCATCAGGTACTCTTGTTGCTAAGTGAAAGCAAAGTCCTGCAGAGTGTTTTCATAATGTTGTGAGAAGCTTTACACAGAGGTGGACACATTACTTTTGGCCGCATAACGAGACCGTTCTGTAATCTCTCACATGCAGCCAAACCATGCTGGATAAGCCAGATTACAGCAGAGAGGCCAGGGCTCGCTAGAAAATGGTGAAATCCTACCCATCAGTGCAAAGTCCCGGCAGTGGTGTGCACTTTAGTCTAAAAATGTCATCAAAATAAATCCTTTAGTTTAGCACCAAAACTACCAGAAACACATCAGTAAACAAACATACTGATGAACTTTCTTTCACATCAGAACATCTGCTTTGTTAAAGTCGCTCTGCTTTTCATCAGGGTTGGAGTTGGACGTTCAAATGTCTGAAACACATAAAGAGCCAAAAAATATGAATAAATACTGGTTTTGAGTTGAAGTTAAATGTAATTTGAGATATTCTTGGTTATAAACATGCTCCTGTGTGCTACAGTATGTCCTTCTACTTTCTTCAGTGTAGAGGGTCTGCATTATGGTGTAAAGTACAGTTAATAAATGATCCGTTTCTATATGTTCATGTAGCTTCCTGCTACACTGATTTTAATGGTGTGATTGTTTTCAGTGTGCTCTGTGCTCTGTTGATAATAACACATGCTGAGCACAGCTCCCTCCTGTGGCGTACACCAACAGCCCGAGTGCTCTATCACAGTGGTTCTCAAGTCCAGTCCTGGAGGCCCACTGTCCTGCATGTTTTGGATGTTTCCTGCTCCAACACACCTGATTCAAATGATCAGCTCGTTAGTAAGCCATTACAGAGCTTGATAACGAGCTGATCATTTGAATCAGGTGTGTTGGAGCAGGGAAACATCCAAAACATGCAGGACAGGGGGCCTCGAGGACTGGACTTGAGAACCACTGCTCTATGAGGACTCAGCTCAGTCTTTTTTCACTCATGGATGTGAACAGTGTTTTGTCCATTTATACATGATTTCACACTGTTTCCATTAAGGCTTGATTTAAAACGTGTGACTGAAAAGGTTTAAAGAAAAGCGCTGCATAAATCTGCATAAATATTTGCCAAATGTGTCGAAGTGTTTAAAGAAAATGCGCTCGGACTGTTTGTGTTTGAATTTGAACAAACGCCAAAAAAAAATCTGCTGTAATTGCTGTTGGAAGATCTGTGTTGCCTGTCTTGTCTGCAAACTTGGCAGAAGTTCTCATTTTAGATGAATGCAGTTTGACAGTTTGGGTGTTTCCATCTGATGAAGGAGAAATAACACTTATACTAACATGTCAATGCATGCCCACTGTGGAAACCCATCTTTACCCTGTTCTTTTCTGCTACACCTCTGAAAAACATACAAATGGACATACGGTCAGACCTCTGCTCTAAATATGAGCACATTTTTAACAACATTGTGTTATGTCTATGTTTTTTTTTTCTATCTTAAGTTCCACAGTGTTTTTCTCTTCCTTTTACTGCAGCCAGTAAACTGCAGGAATAACAGAGAGCATACCAGACCCCAGTGTCGTGCTGAATTGGACTCAGTCTGCCTGTTTCACATTTGTTTAGGTGGTGTTGTGAAATCCGGTTTGCCAAGATCCCAGAGCGAATCTGCAACAGGATTTTCAGGCGGCTCCAGGCGACACGGGCGGAGTCGGGAAGAGCAGAGGCGGCATACCATATCCAACGGCGTGGATTATGGGATGGTTGGTACACATACACACACACACACACACACTCTCAAAGTGATCCTACAAAGGGTCCCAGAGGTCTTCCCAAAGATGTCATACATTCAGTGGCGGACACTTTATTTGTTCCTCAAGTGTACATACTGTATTTGATTATATGACTGCTTCAGCAGCAAAGCAGGTCAAAGGTTGATGATCTCACACACAAAGTCAGATCCACCTAGTTTCTGTGAAAGTGCGTGTCTGTCAGAGTCTTACTCACAACTTCAAAGTACCTAAAATATGAACTTATGCTCGTGCAGGTAAAAAAACAAACATCTTTAAAGTCAGTGCAAACTTTTTAAAGCGGTGTGTACCTTTAGATTAAACCAGTGAGGCTCATACTTCGACTATAAGAGAATAAACCCAGACCATGTGTGGCTGATTTAAAAATAAAAAAGACTTTCTACAGCTTGAAAATGTTTCAACAGAATATGTTTGCAGTTAGTTGGCTAGTCTGTGACTTTGTTTTTGGAGTCATTACTTCACTCCAGTCTGCTGGAATAAAACGTCTTTTCCATCAGATACATCAGCCTGTATTTATTTTATCTGATTTTTTCCATTCTGTTCCTTCTTTTTTTCTTTTAGTTTTTTTTTTTAGTTTTTTGGTCTTTGTTAGATTGGAAAGTTTAAGTAGGGAGAAAGCAAAGTGTTGGTGCTGGAATTGGAATCTGCGTTTGCTGCAATCAGGACTACAGCCTCTGTGTTGTGCAAGATCACACCAAAAATAAGCGATCTGGAAGTTCACTTCATATACTTCATATTCTACATTTTCAGTAGGGATGCACTGATCCGATATTTGGATTGGGTATCAGCTCTGATATTTACAAATTAACTGGATTGGATATCTAATGAATGATGCCGATCCAGTGTTCTGATCCAGTCTTTTTTATAATATTATTCATAAACAAATTTATTATTTGTTTATTAATAATATTCAGTAAATTTAAAAGTGTTCATTTGTTACTTTTTTTTTAACAAGGCTAATGTCAAGTCTGATGCCTTCACTTTACAGGGCAAGGTATACAGTATACAGGTATACAGGTATGTATTCATTCAACAGTAGTATTGGATCGGTATCGGATACACTCAGTCCAGATATCGGTATCGGATTGGATCGGTAAAAAATGGATCAGTGAATCTCTAATATTGTCAGAACTCTAATTTTGACATATCAGCTACAAATATCAGTTATCGGTCTCTTTGACTACTGAAAATCGTCTCTAAAAACCCATTATCATTCAGCTTCATAATCAGTTGGACTATTTTCAGGAGACAGTGTTAGAAAAAAGCCTGTTGTTGGTGTCTTGTGTTAAAGAAAACTGATGTTTTTGTTTGTTTTTGCTGCTGGCCTGTTTGTCGATATTTTCTCTGAGACTGAAAGATGAAAAATCATGAGTACAGTCTGTTTTTGTGTGATCAACACCTAACGGACTGCTGCTGTCACTAAGTAAGGAGATGTATTTATTTAGACTCTGGAGTTCTTGGAAGTAAACTTTGTCCTTTTAAAGTAACAGTGAGTAACTTACAGTCTTTGTTATGAAAGTTCGACTGTCCATGGAGGATATGAAGGAAATATTTTGTATTTGGTTGAAAGCTGAAATGGGATTTCTAGTACAGGCTCCTCTCTGTTTCACCTTCCATTGGCCCCCACATTCCCCTCCCACCCCTCAGCCTGCTGCCTCCCCTCACTCTGCCCCGTTCTCTCTGCCCCTCCCACCCTCCAGTAGGAGCTCATGCCTGCCTTCACTCTCCGTCTCTCACCCCTGCCTCACCATTTCTCACTTTCTCTTCAGCTCGCCTCCTCTTCCTCTTCCTTTCCCCGTTTGTCGCCGTCTCCGTCTCCTTACCCTCGTGTCTGGAGAGGTTGACTGACCGACTCCCCTCCTCCTCCTCCTCCTCTTCCCTCCCTCCCTATCCCCCCTCCTCCTCCTCCTCCTCCTCCTCCTCCTCCTCTTCCCCCCTTCCCCTGCCGCCCTCCCACCCAGGCCGACTTGGCCCACTGCTGCCCTGATGGTAGTGAGCCGGGTCGGGCCCAGGGGCCTGGTGGAAGTAGAGGACTCTCTCGGGCAGTCCGGCCCAGCCTGGACGGCTGTGTGGGCTGCTTACACCACCGTCTTCATCCCCCTCAGCAGCAGCCTGTACAGCACCAAGGCACTGCACTTTTTCCTCTGGGTGAGTAGGACAGTCCGAGAAGAGAGGAGAGGCTTGTTATTTCAGGATTTGAAGATGTGCATCCAGTCGTTTGAAGTAAGGATTTTGTTGCGCAGCTGGGATTGAAAGGTTTTTTGTTAAAGAGGAGACAGAATCAGTCAAGTTGTGAAAGTTTCAGATGTTAAAAATGAGTTTTTTTGCTCTAATTTGTTATTTTTTCAACTTGATGTAAGTGTGAGAACAATTTTTGAGGTATATTCAGCAAAAGTATCTTGTGCGATGTCTAGTGTCGCACTTATGTTGATTTAGGTTGAACATTTTTGAATAAAGGGTGGCTTTTTGTGCAAAACAAGTGAATCAAAGAACTTTTGGTGCACTTTTAAATGTATTTTTTTTCAGGATATACAAAATAGGATTAATTTGAGGACCTTTTTTAAAGCTCTTGCCTTTAGAGCTTTTAGTTTAGGTTTGTAGTGCAAGAATTTGATAAGTCATTTGACAGAGTTTTAGGAGCCAGATTAGATCAAGTTGATTTTTGGAAATGTGATATTAAACACAGACAGTCAGTATCTGAATAGTCAGGCAAAAGAGGAAATTTTAGGTTTAGATTAAACAAATTCTTGATATTTATTCACCTCAAGATAAACTGAAAATAAAGTTAGTTTGTAGTTAAAGCCTTGAGTTGTTCTTGTACGAGGGTCTGTTGAACCTCTTGGCTCCTGTTGAACCGCACAGCTCCCATCACCACTTTGTACATGCAGTTTAAAAGCCTGTTATGATGTTCTTTGTGTGTGCGACGGCTGCCATGTCATTGTATCTGCTGTGTGTATTCATGCGTGTTCGTTCCGCGCACACACACAAACACATACATGAACTTTTCCATTACCTCTCTCTCTCTCTCTCTCTCTCTCTCTCTGTGCTCCCTCCTCTCTGCTCTCCTTTTCTAAACACCGGGGTTTTCCTGCCTGTGGACCATCACACATTCATGCGGGCTGACACCAGGTCATGCTTTATTCTAAACACGGACCCTGCCCCTCCTCCTCCTCCTCCTCCTCTTCTCCCCTAAAAACCCCCTCTTCACCTCCTCTTCTTGTGTACACTTTCTTCAGAAGGAGCACGGAATATGTTAAACAGGGTGGGTTTTCTTGAACGCCCCCTTTGAGCGACACATGCTGCGCGAGCGAGTGTGTGTTTCAAACTTTGCTGATGAGCGATGATCAGAGGAATGCACTGAGCCACACGGGGGCCGCAGTGATGGAGCGATAGCTGGATAGAAAGATGACACACCAGGTGGCTGAATGCCAGCAGCGAGGCCTGTGACTCTGTGTGTGTGTGTGTGTGTGTGTGTGTGTGTGTGTGTGTGTGTGTGTCTGTGTGTTTGTGCTGCCTGGACAGCCTGGTCAGCACAACTCAATGCAGACACAAACACACACACTCTTTCCCTTTCAAACACACACACACACACAGGGTCTGCCATAGTTGAAGTGGGTCTGCTGTTTACCCCATTCTTAGGTTGCTGCGCGGTTGCCATGGCGCCGGACTGATTGCTCCTCTAAACATTGTTCAGGATGGGAGAGAGTCCTGCACAATTGGTGCGGCGCCATTGTCTCCGTCTGCACAAAAGAGTGTTCTGCAGATGCCCATGTGAAAAGATGGGAGTTCGTCGGCCCCGCAGGCTGAAATCAATCATTCGATTAAACCTTGGCAGCGATCAGGACGCTCATTCACTGAAGGGATGAGTAATAAACATAAGGAAATGGTCTTTTCCAGTCTGTGTGAGAGATCAAGGACTGACTTTTATTTTTCCACTCTTTCCTTTTCCTGTCTCCCCCCCTCCTTTTCATCCCCCAACACCCTCCCCTGCTCTCTGACTTTGAACCCACACAGTTGAAACAAATGAAAGAGCTGGAGCAGGAGAAGGACTCCCTGCTGGCGGGCCTGGAGGTGGTGGAGCGGGCCCGAGACTGGTACCAGGTCCAAATCCACAATGTCACAGAGAGACAGCGACAGGTCGGCCAGAGCTCACACTGCACGGTCAGTCCGAGGCTTTTGTCTCAGCTGTTCAGGAGCATGTATATTTGGATTTGTCTGACATTACAAGGTGAGAGGAGACTCCTACAGTTCCAGGACAGGGTCATACTAGGAAGTCAGCACTTGGTCAATAATACAAACACTAGATGAACCATGATTTGTTGACAGGCGTGTAAATTCTAATAGAAGTACTGGAACTCTGCAGCAGATTTCAGCGTCTGCTCTATAGACCTAGATTTACATCCTTTCTTAAAAACAGCCACTGATATTGACTGCTGTAAAACATATTGGATTCAGATTTTTTCCAGATTTTTTTTCATATATCTCTTAATTAACTTCTGCTCTATTCAAAATAAGTAAATGTTTCATCAAGAATCCAAATTTTAACCCTCTAAGGACCCATTTAAAACGTAAAGTCACTAATATTGGGGAAAAAATGGGAGGAAAATGACAGATTTTTATTAGATTCATTTTCTACCATATCAGTGACATTATGTTTTGAATGTTGAATGTTTTTAGATGAAACATTTACCAGTCTTGCTCAAAGCAAAAATTAATTAAGATATATATGAAAAAAAAATGGAAAAAAATATTAACCCAATGTGTTTTTACAGCAGTCAAAGTTAGTGGCTTTTTTTTAGCCACTGAGCGTTAACAACGAATGAAAATTTGTCCAGCGCGTATTTTTGACCTGGTGAAAGTTTTGAAGTCATATTCTCAAAGTGTCCATCAATATAAGCATCTGCACAAAAAATCATCCCATTTGCTGCAGTAAAAAAAAAGTTACGTGGAAATTAGTGGCTAAATTTCTTCCCGAGTGTCTGATTTTAGCCTCAGCGTTACACAAGGACAAGAGAGCGCTTTGTGTCCACCTCTAAAGTAAAATTTAAGTCAAACAGGGTTAAAGAGAAATCCTTGTGATTGTAGAAAAATGAAACAGATCAACAAGTCTGAAAAACACATACTCATTAATTTTAATATCTGCAGTGTCTCAGGTTAGCTCTGATCAGACAAACACACTATTGTGTTTTTGGCTGGAGAGAAATCCATGATGGTGGAGATTAGGGGTGGGAGAGAAAATCTATTCACATAAGTATCGCAATTTTTTGTTTTAACATTTTGTAAATCAATTTTTAAGTTCAGAAATCTATTTTTTTTTTTCCAAATTTAAGAATAAATGTTAAAAACTGAACTACATGTGATGTGTATTTTGGTGGAAAATATTGTTCCTGGAATAGTCAGTAGACAATCATGATTATTCAACTGTTTTACTGGTGTTAAAAATGTAGACTAAAAAATCGAGAAAACCAACAATATCGTAGAATCGCAATTTAAATCGAATGGGCATCCAAAAAATTGTAGACGAATCGAATCGGGAGAAAAGCATATCGTCCCGGCCCTAGAGGAGATTCAGTTGCACTCAAATCAACATGGGGCAGAGGCATTTTGTGTTACGATTTGTATCTGTTTAGCAATTTGTTGTGTTTTCTTATTTGTTGTGTTTACCACCTCAAGGCCACCGCAGGAAGCCTTTGGGATCTCCATAGAGGCTTCTTTTCTCTTCTTTGTCAAAGATGTTCATATAACCAAGAAGAAGCTTTATTTATTTTTAGTTTCCTGAGACACTTGTGCCTCAACTGTTTCATTTATGGTATCTTTATGTGATTTAAAGCTCCTCTAAGGAGTTTTGAGCTGGTTATAAAAAAGGCTGAAATAAAAACAGTGAGTCCTCCAAATGACCCACAAACTCACAAAAAGATAAAACAGTTTAATTCATGAAAATAAGATTTGTGATTCCAGATGTAACTCTTTCCAAATATTATCCCCACAAGTGCAGTTGTCTTATGATCGGGGCTGTTTTATACTCAGACTGACATGAAAGTGAACGAAATTTTTTTCTCCTCTAGTTTTTACATTTTTCTTTTCTTTCTCTCTGTCATTTAATATGTTCTTTGTTTTCTCTGCTCTCTCTCCTCTCAGGATTTCTTCACAGAAGCCAGTCAGAGCCGCATGAATGTTCTCATCCCCAAACTGCAAGAAGTCAACCGCTGCCTTAACGACCTTATTACCTGCACTGGGATGGTGAGTTTTGCCTGTTGATGCAGCTCTAGTGAGACCAGGAGATGGGGTGTAAAAGAAAGAGAAAAATCACGGGTACCAAAGCTCAAATTATTGTCAAGAAAAAACACATTCTGTACCCTAAACTGGGTGTTTGTGACGACCCTCCCTAACGTTGATGTTTAAAATTGTATCTGTGTCCGTCTTTGTTCCTCAGCAGTCGTTTCCTTCCAGCTCCGCTCCAGCAGCAGCACTCTCAGCTAACTCCCAGCTTCCAGGTCCGGCTCCTCCACAGGCCATCCAGAGACTGAAGGACCAGAACCGTCTTCTCACACAGGTTTGACCCAGTTTACCACACTTAAAGGTGACAGGGCTTTTTCAGCAGTTGCCCTTAGACTCTGGAACAGTTAACCAGGTCATATTAGAGCCTTGCAGACCCTAGGGACTTTTAAATTCATCCTTAAAGACCCACGTTTTCCCGCTTGCATTTCATAAATGAGCACACACTAATCATAGGCACGGTAGCTTTTATTCTTTTACTGTCTGCATTTTATTTAGGGCCCGACTGATATGGATTTTTTGGGGCCAATGCCGATTATTGGGGGGGGGGTCGGATTACCGATTAATGAGACGATTTTTTAAAATTTTATAAAAAGTTATAAAAAATACATATAAACTGTAGATTTCTACAGTATACTATATACTGTAGGCTACTGCTCTTCACGCCGACAGGAAGACCGACTGATCCAACTCGGACCAGAAAAGCGTTTTCAACTAACCGCCCACTCGCCGATCGGTGCCTCCGCGTCTTAACTCATGTTACACATTTCCGGTCTGGTCTCATCTGGAGACATGCAGCTGCCTCAGTAAGAGAAGTAGCTCGATCACGTAATGTGTACTCTTGTTTATTCTATCATTATTGGCACGGTTAACAGGGTAGCAAGGCTAATAGCAGATGGCTAACTCTAACTTTAGCTTGCATATTACATAGTGCTTCACCGTTAACTCGGCGTGACCGAGACCAGCACAGTGCTGAACATCCTGAAATGGGTTGAACTGAAACTTGTTGAATTATTGCGTTTTTCACAAACTGGTTTATTTACCGTTGAGGCGGACCACTCTCCTCCAGGATTGTCATGAGATCACTGCGCCATCTACAGGATAAGTCGGGGAACTTTTCAAATGGCGAAACATTTTCAAAGTGAAACCGAATATTATTCTCCGCATTTTATTTCAGAAAATATCGGCGAAAATCGATGATTTTTGGCCGATTAACGATAAGTCTCAAACGGGCTAAATTTGGCCAATTTAATCGGCTCACTGATAAATTGGTCGGGCCCTAATTTTATTCCACTATTTTAATTTTAATGTTTTATTGTTATCTATTTATTTACTTCTTTTATTTATCCCATGTACAGCCCTTTTTTTGACAGCTGTCTTTTAAAGGTGCTTTATAAATAAACTTGACTTGACTAGACTTGACTTATTGCTCTCATCAGGTTTTACTTCTGGCTTCACTTACTCACTTTGTTTCTCCTGTCTTACTCAGGAGGTGACGGAGAGGAGTGAGCGCATCGCCCAGCTGGAGCAAGAGAAGTCGGCCTTGATAAAACAGCTTTTCGAGGCTCGAGCTCGAAGCGCCCAAGACACCAGCACCATGGACTCCACCTTCATCTGAGCGCAGTTACACTCCACTGAAACACTTACAGTATGTTGTAGCGAGGGGATCACGTTGGAGGAAAACTTTTTTGTATGACTTGAGCTGACTGTTTACCCACTTTTAGCAGTGAAGCACCTTTAGCCTCGAGCAGCATGCGACCACTCCACTTTAAAAACCAGAGCACGCACTACCTAGATGTGAACACTCCGAGGAAAACCTGACCTGAGCCGCTTATTTCACTTCCTGCACTCCAGCTGGAAAAACCCACAGGGGGTCATGGGATCCTATCACTCTGTTCCTCATGTAATTTCAGCATCTCCTCCCTAACTCCTAAATGATTTTGCCACTCAACTGCACAGGCAGCAGTGGAAAAAAAAAAAAAACACAAACTTTTTGGTGTAAAAAGGTGTTGGAAATAGATTGGGATTGTTTCTGTTGGGATAAAATGCCATATTCTTGATATGAAATATGAAAAATATCACCAGCTGCTTGCTGTGACCTATCAAACACGTTTTTTCCTCCTCTTTTAAGCGCGATCCGAATGAAAATCAGAAACACTTTGACCATGTCTATCCCCTTCTTTTTAATATCAGTGTCTAATGATGTGCTCTCATGGCTGAGGCGTTCTGGGAAGAAGACAGAAAGTGCCGACAGAGCAGTTTTTTAATAACAGTAGCATGTTAAGTGTTACGATGATGATAGAGTTTCAGATGTTTTTTTGTTTTTAAGACTGAAAAAGAGACGGGAGGGCAGCTACAAGCCATCGATGTGCTGAGGCAGAGACGGACGAGAGAAGTTTGGAAGTTTGCACGTAGAAAAGAGACGAGGAGGATTTTTAAATGTGGTAGACGGTGAATGTGTTGGAGCTCCTGTGTCGGGAGATTCTTTCTGATTTCACATCAGAAACAAATAAAAAGAAAAACATCACTTTGGCTGTCTGGTCTGTTGAGGGGAATCTTTGCATGGATCAGTTTTTTTTATCTTCTGGAGAGATTTCTGTTTGGAAGCTGGATGTTAGCAGACGTTAAAAAAAAAAGACTTTTTGTCTTCTTTAAGTGTCCCTTTTTACCAGAGATGTTTGCTTTAGACTAAAACGGTAAAAAGATGCAGCCATCCACCAGTTTACAGACATATTTAGTTAGTGGGTGGTGGTAGGAAACAAAAGATGGTAGTTTTGTATTGGATCTGTATGGTACTGCTGGGATATCTGCACATAACATTTTGTAATCTGGTCCCATGGTATGTTTTTTTTTCTTTCTTTTTTCGCTGCTCAAACTTCATCATGTGTGAGTTTTCCTTTTGCTTTCTATCGACATTTCAGATGAAATGCAAAAAAAATAAATAACACCAAAAATTCTGACAATGCAGAGTGAGTTTTTTTTTTTTACCGTCTACTCGGTCATTTTACACCTGCGTGCGAGAATAAAATACTTATTCATCAAAAAGTAACATGACATGAGCTACTGCATCAATTTTTCATCTTTCCTCAGACTGCGTTCAGAATTATTATGCAAATGATATTTTTCTCTGATTTTCTAAATAGACAACGCAAATGACAGCGTAATTTTCAAGTCATTAACCGTTAGAGTATAATCTAAATGTTATTGTACAAACCTCCCAATGAAAACAGTTATTTATTAAACTATAAAAAATCTTAAAATGTACTGTTCCAAATTATTTTGCACAACAGAGTTTCAAAACATTTTATAGGTTGTAAAGAACTGAAAATGGTCATTTGTTGAATTTGTAGCATTAGGTCATATTCACTGAAATTAAAAGTTATAACAATCAAAAAAATATTAACAATCTTAAAGTAACATTTCAACATAGGACCCCTTTTTTGATAGCAGCTTCAAAATTCTTGCATCCATTGAACTTGTGAGTTTTTGGAGAGTTTCTGCTTGGATTTCTTTGCAGGATGTCCGAACAGCCTCCCAAAGCTGCTGTCTGGATGTGAACTGCCTCCCACCCTCATGGAGGTTTAGCTTGAGGATGCTCCAAAGATTCTCAATGGGGTTAAGGTCAGGGGACGATGGGGGCCACATCATGAGTTTCTCTCCTTTTATGCCCATAGTAGCCAATGATGCAGAGCTACTCCTTGCAGCATGACATGGTTTATTGTCATGCATGAAGATGATTTTATTACGAGAAGCACGGTTCTACTTTTTGTACCATGGAAGAAAGTGTTCAGTCAAAAACGCCACATAATTCCACACTCCCAAAAAAAAAAGGGAAGAAAAAAATAAAAATAATAATAATAAAAATAAATAAATAATTAAAAAGTATATTAAGTGAATAACAAAGACTAAATACATATATATAGACATAGGGCAAGGTGTTGTGCTGCATTCAGTCCGGGGCATGCAGGGGTTGGGGGGGTCTGGGGGCCTGGGGGGGATGCAGGCAGGTCTTGCGCGAGTGGGAAGGGACCCGAGGTGGTCCACAAATTTCAAGACCCCCCCACCACCCATATTATTATTATTGTTATTCACCGTCTTTATTAATATTGAATGTTGTTGTTGTTGTTGTTCTTGTTGTTGTTGTTCTTCTTCTTCTTCTTCTTCTTCTTCTTCTTCTTATTCTTATTATTATTATTATTATTATTATTATTATTATTATCATCATTATTATTATCATTATTATTATTATTGATATTATAATTTTCATTTGCTTGTCTGACAATTGTAATATATATATATTTTTTTTCATTATTATTCACATATATAATACACACCACACACACACACAAAACCACAAATGCTGTTGTTTGTTGTATGTCTTGCACTGTCACACTGCACAAATAAAAAAACAAATAAATAAATAAAAAGTATTACAACAGACAAATAAAAAAAAAAAAAGAAACTCCACATAATTTTCAGATGTCATTTTCACACCTACAGGGATCCTAAAGGAGCCGACCAGCTCTCTCCCCATGGCCCAAAACATAAGTCCACCACCTCCTTGCTGACGTCGCAGCCTTGTTGGGACATGATGGCCATCCACTTCTCCATCCATCTGGACCATCTAGGGTTGCACGGCACTCATCAGTGAACAAGACTGTTTGAAAATTAGTCTCCATGTATTTATCGGCCCACTACAACCGTTTCTGCTTGTGCTCATTGTTTAGGGGTGGACGAATGGAAGGTTTATGCACAACTGCAAGCCTCTGGAGGATCCTACAGCTTAAAGTTCATGGGACTCCTGAGGCATCAGCAGCTTCAGATATCTGTTTGCTGCTTTGTAATGGCATTTTAGCAGCTGTTCTCTTAATCTGATGTATTTGTCTGACAGAAACCTTCCTCATTGTGCCTTTATCTGCACAAACCCGTGTTTGCTCTGAATCAGCCACAAATCTCTTAACAGTACAATGATTACACTTAAGTTTTCATGAAATATCAAAGATTTTCATACCTCGTCCAAGGCATTCAACTATTTCACGCTTTTCAGCAGCAGAGATATCCTTTTTCTTTTCCATATTGCTTTAAAATGGTGGTCTGCTTAATAATTTGGAACCTCCTTCTTCAGTAGTTTTTCCCTTAATTGAGCTCACCTGGCAAACTAATTATCACAGGTGTCTGAGATTGATTTCAGTGATCCAAAGAGCCCTGAGACACAATACCATCCATGAGTTTAGTTTAAAAAAAAAAAATTAAAACTTTATGACACTTAAATACAATTTACATAATAATTTAGAACGCAGTATAGAAAGCCGGATCTGTTGGCAGACAATGCGCCAGTTCCACTCAAAAGATCTCTTATTTCTCCACATAAAAGATCCTCAGAACCTAAACTGAACCTCCTCGTCGCTCCGCGGTTAAACTAGTCACCGCTCTCGATGATGTTTGCAGATTCACACAGTATCTCTCTTACAGATCAGTTTCAAAGAAAAGTTCCACTCCACATAAATAATCTGTGAGTTTCCAGGACGCTCCATTCTACTTAGGTCTGTTTTGATATCTTGTCATAAATTAAGGATACGTCCCCTGATAGTGAGAGCGATCTGATGTAATTCATGCAGCACATTTGCACTTCAACCGAAGATGTAATTAGCTCTGCTTTCCTGCTAATGAACAGTCAGACTGGATACTTGTCCAGTGAATCACGAGTGAAAGTACAGGTGCATATCCGCAGAAATGATCAGGGGTGGCATGGGCCCCCCGCCCCCTTACCGGAGGTCCCGGCTGTGTTGCAACAGGCTGCAAGAATTTGTCTTTTCATCTAAATGCAGCACACGGTTTTATGTTGGTACCTTTGATTATAGATGAAGTAATCCACACATCTGCAGGTGCCAGTGTCAACTTTCTGGAAACATTTGTTCACTTATGCTCTCAGTCAGTACGTTTACATGACGCTCAAGAAATCAGAATTATTGCCTTACTCTGATTAAGACTGGACAACTGAAGTGCATGTAAACACTGTAGTCCGACTATAATCAGAGTTTGAGAACTCCGATTAAGACACCTAGATACTGCGATTGGAATTCAATTTTTTTCTACCATGTAACCTGCGTAGTCGGAGTATAATTGGACAACACATGTGCATGTGTGCTATGCACCCATAACCCCAGAACAAAAACACTAGAGAAGAGGAGTAGTGTGCATCTCATCTGCAGAAAACGTAGTGCGTACATCATGTACGACAAAAACAACGCTGTACGATGCTCCATCTTCTTGCTTGAAAATGCCCAGCAGCAGTTGTAGACACTTCTTAAATCTGGCACAGACCTGCTGTTGTTGTTGACGGTTGTATGGGGTCGGAAACAGCGCCCCTGAAAAGACACACATTGCCCCCTAGTTTTGGGGATGAGGATACGTTCACGAAATTACAAAACAAATCATGAGCTTAGTCTGATTAAGCTGTGCATGTAAACACACTGAGTGTTATAGAAGTCCAGGTTTCTTTGAAAGCTTCTTCAGCTCATATGTATCGTTGTTCTGGTGTCTCTCATCTTTCTCTTGATGCTACTCCAAAGCAAACTAGTTTCTGGTAGTTTTGGCGCTGTGAGCAGAAAGCTGTATCTGCAGATGGAAGCATGAAGAGCTCTAAAATCTCCTGGTTCGCTGCAGGCTGACTCTGAACTTGTGATTTTTACTTTTCGAACTAAACTCTCATGACATCGTCTCTAGTTCAGTAATATCTTGACAGCAGGAACATGATACCTGTAGTCCATTTTCTGTATATGTTTTTGAATAGTGGCCTTTGATGATCCGACTCTTGTTTGTTTGGCAATCCTCCGAAAGTTGCAGTCATCCCTGTTGTTTTTCATTAGTGCTGTTTTGCTTAACAAATGCAACTTATATATTCACTGTCCCGCTCAGAAAGTAGACCGCATGCAGAAACACACAAGCATTTGTTTATTATGACATGAGCAAAAATGAGATATGATTGTCTTTTCCTTGTACTTGGAATATGATATGTGCTGCCTTTCTTTAAATATCATCAAGACTTTAAACTTTTAAGTTTTCTGTGCAAAGGACAGACTTTTGTATTTGTGTTTTTTTTTGCTCTGAATGTTCATTTCACATATGTTACGTCTCTAGGATTTGAAAGTCCACATTCAGCTGGTTGTAGCAGAAAAATTCCAGCTATTGTAGCTGATCCACTGATCTCTGATGTGGGTCAGACTCAGCTGTGTGTTGCAGCCATGTGTGCTTCTACTCAGATGCAGAATTTGGCAAATCAGTGAGAATCTTCAACCTTAAAGGAGGAGGAGAGATTTCCTGTGAACATGACACCAACACAAACAAGGTCAGACACACACACACACACACACACACACACACACACACACACACACACACACACACACACACACACACACACACACACACACACACACACACACACACACAGACAGGTAAACAAACCTGGGTTGAGTTTCTGTGGAGTCAAGCTGTTCAAACACAAAGGAAACCACTCTTACAGACAGTAAAATCATCATAGTCTAAAGTAAACTTCCAGAGAAATCATGAATAGTGAGCTCATCTGTGTGAGTTTATTGTAAATTTTTACTTCATGTTGACGATGTGACCGATGGGAGGTGCAGGGTCTGATCTAAACAGGTGATCTGTGGTTTGGGTGAACCACAAACCAACCTGGTGGACCCAGACCTTGAAACAAGCCGCCCTCATGTAACATATTACACAATGTTACAGTGAATTGAATCAGAAGTGATTTTGAGGACTGTTGCATCAGTTGTTTACTGACGATTTTCCGTCAGGCAACATCAGTTTGTTGCATCAGAGCCAATCAGAGTGAATGGAAGACGTCTTTCTACAATAGGTCCTCCACACAGACCTTCCTTATTGTTAGTCACTTTTGATCATTTATCATTATTTTTTAGTTTTGAAAATTTAATCTATCAAATTATAAAGTGTGATAGATTATAACGGGCCAGATCAGACTTTGTGGCATCCAGAGGGAGACCCCACCCTTCCTCGCCTGTACGCTCTGATTGGATGATCAGACCTGAGCAGCATCCCTGCAGAGTTGGATCATCTCCGAAATACGTTTTCCATTTGTGCAATTCGAGGTCGGACTCACAAAGTACTTACGAGGTCCAGGTGGAGAGTGGGGACATCAGGAAGGTTCTGCAGGTCGCTTTTCACCAGGTGAGTCTCATCTACTGCGTGGGATTATTCAATTTCAACCTGACTTAAATTTCCTGTGTTTTTTATGAGTTTTCTGCACCTTAAACAGTATCTTTTACCGTCTGCCTCCTCAGATAACTTCCTCTGCTGCAGACAAGGCTCTCTTTACAGACAGGTTGCACATTTACATGTAACCCTTAGATACAGAGATAGTAATATGTGCCTCCTGTTGACTCTGCGGAACATGTGGGAACACCTGCAAACAAGTTTGCCCTTTCATTAAAGCCACATGCAACATGAAGTCATGGCGCTTTGAGGTCGAGAGTATGAAAAAGGAAATAGGTAAAAAAGTAGAGAGAGGGTGACAGAGAGGGCGATTGCTTCATTAGTGGTCTTGAAACTAACTGAAGGTAAGAGACTTCATGGGTGTCAGAGATGTTTTCTTTCTGCACAGCTATGTTTCCTCATTTATGGTATTTTTTTATAATGATAAACAATTTTTTCTTTAGCCTTTTACAATTCTGACTTATTTCTTAGTATCTTAATCTTCTTAATCTTAAAATGGTCTACCTTAGTGTGTTGGGCTCAGCATTTTGGCTGCTTTTTTTGTCAAAGACTAATTTACAGTAAGTCTACAGTAGTTTTATAAAGTTGGTGTGATGTGTAAGTGTGATGCCTGATAAGATAAACTTAGTGAGTCACAGTTCACTGACTTCCGCTGTATTTTCCCTTCAATGTAAAGACAATGAATCTTGTAAAAAGTTCAGAGCTCACATCTACAGATTGAAGTATAATGTTCAAAAACTGGAGCTTTTTTTCCACAGTAACAGGGATTTTAAGATGGACATCATAAGCGATCTGTGGTAAATATCCTATTATAGAAGCAGGCACATGCCACTCAGGTGGTATTTGTAAGCTGAAGCGCCAAGTAACAAGATTTGCCCCAACATTTGTCATTAAAGCTTTGACATTACGCTTCAATAGTTTGAGCAAAAGGTGCTTAAGTCAAATCTCTCAATGCTGATTTTGTTATTAGTTTACCAAAAGAGAGATAGAGATCAAATCTATGTTGTAAGAGAGCACGCAAAATGAGTTAGCACAATCATATCTGGTCAAAATGTCACTGATGATAAGTCAGACGACTAACTTCTCCAAACAAGCTTCACACTCTCCTCTCAGCTGATTCCAGAGCTTTATTCTGGTTGGTCTTCACCTTAAAGGCTCCAGAGGTCATCAGTGAGAAGACACCACCACTTAGCAACAGCAGTATCTATGGATACCTTAAAATCACAAACAAGAACTCTTCACATACCAAAACCCAATGCCAGGGTGACTTTTGCAGCACAGTTACACATCCATTGTCTCTAACTTGAGTTTTTTTGTTGTTCTTGCAGATCTTGTTCAGAAGTTAGCATCTTCTGAAGACTTTCCCCTAAGTCCCGTCATCATGGAGGTTTTCTACGTCAACTCTTCCCTGCTTTTCGTCTCTCACAGACCCCTCAACTACACCGGAAGTGAGAGGACGGTGTACGAACGCTGTAAAGATATGCCAGCTGTCATCATTTGGTACCTCGGTTTACAGTTCATCAACATGTTCTTGGGTATCCCAGCAAACCTCATGGTGCTCTGGCTCATCCATAAGAATAAAGGTGACTCCTCCACCTCAGACATCTTCATCCTCCACTTGGCGATCCTGGACGTCTTCTTCTGTCTCATCCCTCCACTTGAGCTGGCCAACATAGTCTTCCTCACCACCAGCAGCACCTGGTACGTCTTACGCTTCTTCTACGGCATTAAGGATTCCTCGCCGCTTTTCCTTTCATGCATCTGCCTGGATCGTTACATGGCCGTGGTTCACCCCATCACCTTCACCGAACTGAAAGACCGCCAGCACCGAGCAGTCCTGGCTCTGGTCGTCTGGTTAATCACTCTGGCCTACGCCGCGGCCAAATGTGTGGGCAACATCGTCAACTTTGAGAAGGTCTTCACAGGGATGATCCTCGCAGCCTTCGCCTTCATGGTCTTCTGCAACATCGCAATCCTTTGGGTGCTTCGTCAGTCCGGGCCCGGCAGAGACGAGATGCATCCAGTGAAGAAAAGGGCGTTCAAGATGGTCCTCATCATTCTCGCCATCATCGTATTCAACTACTTCCCGCCTGTGGCTCTGTTCCCCTTTCAGCACTACTTCTCTCCGGACGTGTTTCGCTGCTACATTCACTATGTGGCGTTTGGTTTGATGGACTTCAGCAGCAGCATCCAGCCAATGCTCTACCTCTCCAAGGAGAAGCTGCTGTGGAGCGTCAGCTGCTGTCAGAGCAACAACACCCCAATCCAGTAGAGAGACAAGGCTGGCAATGGTTTTGTCAAATGCATTGTTGTTGTAGACTAAAAAACTCTGTAATGTTGGGACTAGAAGACGTTTTGGGGTGGGGCATTAAATCGAACAATCAATGTTCTTAGCCATCCCAGTGCTAAGAGGAACACTCATCACTTGTTGTTTAGCTGTACGTAGATCTCAAAATTTAAACCTGAAAACTTTTTCTGAGGCATTTTCAAAAGTAGATTTACTCTTTTTCACCTTCAGGTTGTAGATAAGATGAGAAGTTAGCAAAAACTTAGCTTAGCTTAGATCACCCACTTCACAACACCTCGTCTGACCAAAGGGCTAATGGTGGCGGACGGCTCTTTGCTGCAGGACAGAAAGATTCAGAAGATCTTTTGTACCAACAGCCATCAGACTTTATAACTCTTGTGTAAATGGTAGATAACTTTTAGAGACATGTCAAGTGAGACAACAGACTGAATTTGCCTTTGGGGATTAAAAAAGTTCTTCATAGCACACAAAGGCTGTAAATGGGGAGCTTCTTCAGCTCTGTCAGAACAAAATCAATCTTACCTTCACCTTTCAAGCTCACTTGGATGAAAAACTTGAAACTGATTTCGTGAAAGCCCAGGATTCATTGGTTAACAATCTGCAAAATCAATGTCATCAAGTTTTGATATCCTGCTAACAATTACGTCCATTTCTCAGACATGAAATGAAAAAAAAAATCACAGTTTGTTCTGTACGATACTAACCCAGACAAGCTAACTTGCTAACATGATTCCAACAGTGGACTGTTTTGAACTGGAATTAAAAAACAAATGATCAGAACTTTAAGAAATCCTGCCTTGAAAATTCATCAGGAGCTTTTGTCACTTCGGAGTAATACGATATATTTTATAACTTTTTGAGCTCCTCTAGCTGCAATTGAATCAAGTTTAATATTGAATTAAAAGCAAAAAACACCAAATCGATGTTCATGAGATGGCAAATACCTTTAGAGGAATATTTCTTAATTCATCCATCTTTTTGTTGTTGTTTGTTTTTTAATGACATAATCCAACTGGGCGTCTGCAAGCAGAAAATTGAAACAAAGTCTTTTTGTCTTGGTGACAACAGCTGTTGAGTAGATTTATTTTACAATACTGAAGAGAAAACTTGCTCTAATATGTAAAACATTTGACTGGTGAAATTTTTAAAAAGCTGCGATTGAAGGTGGTAACAGTGCTTTAAATAATGTCTATAATACAGATATCAGCTATGAGGTGATCTTTGTTACAGAATCTGAATCCACATGTGCTCAATATTACAGTATATTACATCACATTATCTGCTAGATTACTGTATTTTCATTTAAGTTAACACATAAAACTTTTTTGCAGACGTAATAAAAGTGAAAATGAAACACACAAACTCTGATCGGGTTAATGTTTCTCTTTAATTTAGACACAATTCACACAAAAGTAAGTCACACTTAACTGATAGTAGCATTCAATCACAATGCTTTGCATGTGTAACAACCAGCTGCTGCAACTAAAAGCACCACTATCATTATAAACATGACAGTTTCCTCCTGCTTATGTCAACAGGGCTGACTTTGGGTAAAACTACTCTTCAAGGGACTGATTTAGCACGACTTCCTTTAGAACTGTTTATTTACTCTGAATACTGGTCAGCTGATTGGGAATATTATCAGTAAAATTATTCAGTCACATAATTACGCAAATACAGATGCTGCTCTTATAGTTCAAGCTATTTACAGCAGAATATTTATGATTTTCCTATGGAAAACACTGATTTCAGCACATATTTCTGACTCAAACCCAGACTGCTGCAGGGTGTATGAATGCAAGCAGACATGACTTCATCATAAACAATCATACTGTTATGTCTTACTGACTCCTGTGGGGGAATCATATTTGTTCCAGGTGATGATTTAAGGTCAGGACTTGGCCTTTCAGGGACTCTTTGTCTTGCTTTTGCTCTGCATTAACTTCACCCTTCAAAATGATGCAAGAAATTATATTTATTATCCTTTTAAGTGTACATCAAGAGTCTTATCTTTAGTCTATAACTCCTTACACTGCCCCGTCCAGAGACAATTACATGAGGAATAACAAAGTTAATCAAAATCAAATCATTACCTTACTGTATAGCTAATTATTTGGACCTACTTCGGACAGCAGTTAAATAACATCATCTTAATTAAAGGTCTATTTCGCTTCTTCTTCTAAAGCTTTAAATCACAGCACATAGATGATTTAAGACAGAAAAAACAGCTGCTTTTAAACAACACGGGGAAGGTGATGGAAAACATAAATACTGGAAGTCCAGTTTTGAAGAAGCATTTAAGGTGCTAAAACAACACGCAACAGTTCCTGTGCTCAACTAGCCACGGAGTTTAAGAGGTTTTTTTGTACTAGAAAAGCCGTTAATGCAGAAATCTTCTTGTTTCCTCTTTATCAAATGATAGCCAACACAGAAATAATACACAGCATATGATAGCGACACAGGCAACTACTGTTTCAGAACAGAGAGAATGATTGATTTCAAGTAATAAAAAAGAGGAAATAGTGATGTTAGTCGAAGCTAAACTCAAGGATTGAGTCCTTTTCCACCACAGGTATGAGTGCAGCTGTCAGTATTTTGGAAGTATTCTGTCTCAGTTTATACTCAAGTTTAGAGAAGGAATAGTACCAGAACATCCTATGAGGAGATGAGTCTGAAAGATCTGACAAAAGAGCCAATAAGCAAACTTCAATTGAATATAAGGTTACTTGGTTTCATTCAGCACTTATTCTATGTCTATCAATCTCAGAGAATTTGTGAGTAACTCTCTTGGTTAATAGGGGTTCATTCAGGCTTTACTGGTGCTTTCCCCATTTGGACTGGTCTGGCCATGGTGTCTCTTAATGTGTTTCCTCAGAGACGAGTGGTCGCTGTAGTTCTTCCCACACAGGTGACAGATAAAAAGCTTCTCTTTGGTGTGAACCCGCATGTGTCTCTTCAGGTGCCCTGACCTGCTGAAGCTTTTGCTGCAGTGCTGGCAGTTGTACCCCTTCTCTCCTGTGTGAGTTCTCTGGTGCAGTTTGAGGCTGCTGGCCACCGTGAATGTCTTGCCGCACTCGTCGCAGCTGTACGGCCTCTCTCCTGTGTGCATGCGCATGTGAATGGTGAGGTGTCCCGTCTGGCTGAAGGTCTTCTTGCACAGCTTGCAGCAATACGGCCGCTCTCCTGTGTGAATCCTGTAGTGCGTTTTGAGGTCGCCCAATCCGTTGAATCTTTTCCCGCACTGAGCACAGCAGTACGGCTTCTCGCCTGTGTGGATCCTCTCGTGTATTCGTAGGTTTCCCACGTTGCTGAAGGATTTCCCGCACTCCTGGCATTTGTACGGCTTCTCTCCGGTGTGAGTCCTTAGGTGGACTTTGAGCTGGTTGTGCTCGTTGAAACACCTTCCACAGTAGGAGCAGGAGTACGGCTTCTCTCCAGTGTGAGTGCGTTTATGTATCCTGAGTTGGCTGGGGTGGGCGTATGTTTTACTGCAAAGGTTGCAGCTATAAGGTCTCTCTCCTGTGTGCGTTCTCTTGTGAGATTTGAGGAGGTCAGCACGGCCAAAGCGCTTACCGCAGTAGCAGCAGTTGTGGGCCTTCTCGCCATGTTGAGTCTTAACGTGAATGTTCAGTGAGTTTGTTCGGCTGAAAGTTTTAGAACAAGTGGGGCAGCGCAAAAGGTTGTCACGAACCTCCACGGCTGCATCTGCAGGAACAGCGGGGGGATTATTCTCTTCGGGAGTCACTGCTTCAACCTGACTGCCTGTTCCTTCTGGATTTACCTCAGATTCTGGGTGAGATTCTGATGCATGATTTGACTCCTGATCAGACAAATCATCACTGTACTGCAACACCCCGTTCTGCTCTTCCTCCTCAGTCTTAATGGGCTGTTCAACCTGCACGAAGCTGCTGGAAGAAATCGTGGTTTTTACTTCATTCTTATTGTCGTCCTCTGACTCTTGTTGCAGGCCTGCAGATGGCAGCAGAGGCACATATGTTTCATCACCATCACAGTTCACCTCTGTGCTCTCATCTTTTATAGACTCTGCTGTCAGGTTGAGAAGAGATGGAGGCTGTGAGAGGTCGATAGCACCACTCTCCTCCAGGCCTGGCTCTGTTTTAAAAGACTGAACATCACGGGTTGAGACACTTAACTCAACTGTATTCGAACATGGTCTTTCTAGTGTATCATTAGTCTGTAGTGAAAGGGAAGGAGAGGAGATGCTTTCCCTCGCCTTATCCTTCTGCTTTCTCCTGCAGCTCTTCTTGTCACTGCTGCATATGGACACCTTAAAGCCCTGCGTGGGGTTGATGGGGAGATCCTCCCACTCTGATGTTGGAAAGTAGTCAGAGGTGTCTTGTTCTGGAGTATCTGAAAATCCAAATTCAACAACAACAACAGAAAAAGTTTAATTAAGTGTGGAGGAGGCTTCTACATTGCTGAAAGGAAGACAATAGCAAACATAAAGCATTTCAGGAAGGTTGAAATGAGGTTTGATGACCTCTCATTGACAATTTGCCCTTTGTGCTTCTAGTAGACTGTTGTAGGTGTTTGCTATGGTGGCCAAGAACCGCCACTGCTGCAAATAAAAAATATTTAAAAAAGGAAAAAAAAAGAAGTCACAACAAAAGTTAGCGATGCACAAAAAAAGCAATGGTGCAGATAAAAAAAAAAAGCCACAACAGAAGTTAACAACACAAAAAAAGTGGTGATCGAAAAAAAAACTACTTACAGTGAAAATACAAGGATGCAAACAAAAAAAAAAGCCACAATGGAAGTGAGCTGCCAGAGACCAATAGTGCTTTACGATCTAAGCACAAAAGACGATGTTGAGAAGACAAGCAAAGAAGTTAGTAGAAAGATTATTGTTTAATTTCGCTTCGTAAACTTTTCAATGTGTCATTTGTTTAGGCCATGTTGTGCCGCAGTCGATATGAAGTTGAACTGAAGCTAGCACTGCACCGGCATCCGCCAGATCAACTTCATATCGACTCAGGCGCTACATGGCCTAACCAAATGACACACTGAAAAGCACACAAAGCAAAATTAAACAATAACCTTTCCACTTACTTCTTTGCCTGTCTTCTCGCCGTCGTCTTCTGTACCTGGATCGCAAAACACTGGTGCATCATCATTATTGGTCCCCAGCCGCTCACATCCGTCATTGCATCCTTTTATTTTTGCAGTAACTTTTTTTTAATGGCATTGCCACACTTTTGTGCGTCATTAATTTTTTAAATCGGCACCACCTCTTTTTTTATTTGCAGTGGGCTTTAGTTTCTTTTCTTTTTTTTTCATCAGTAACTTTCATTGTGACTTCTTATATTTGCATTCTTTTTATTTTATTTTATTTGCAGCAGTGGTGGTTCTCGGCCACCGTAGTTTTCACCTTTAATCTGTGTAAAGGTAAACACAAATCTCACAACATGTCAACACAACTGCTGACAGAGCAGAAAAACCCAGAACAAAAGGTCGGCGGCTTCATGAACGTACAAACAAAAACAGATATACCTGTGGCAGCAGCCTCCGTACTCCTCTGCGCAAACAGCAGCTGCTTCAGGCCCTCGTTTTCGGACTCAAGCCTCCGTATTGTTCCCTGGTACTCAGTCAGGGTCCGGTCCACCGAATCAAGGATGTCACTGACTGTCGCCTTAAAGATCTCATTCAGGGAAGACTCCAGGAAGTATTTCAGGTCATTCGGCCTGGCCATGTTAGACCGAGCGGCCGCAGCTGTAGTAGACAACATGGATAGTTTCTATGCGAATTAAGTGTTGATAGGAGAGAGTGTGCGCCGCTCTGCTGCTGCCGTGTACGGAACAAACAAAGCAGAGACAGTCGCAAGACTGTGACGCAAGAGGAGAGGCTGAGCGGTCTGGAGCGCCCCCTAGCGGTTTGGAGGAGACCGGCGTTAAATCTAACCGTTAGGAGGACGTTAGCGCAAAAAAACTAAAAATGTTCAGAAAACAACAACACGACAGGAAAAACAATGTGAGCACTGCTTGTTTAAAACTACTGAAACTAAACTATAACACTACCAGAAAGTTCAACTTCTGAGTAATTACTATCAACGACTAACCGGAAATTACTCTCCAACGTAACTACGGTAACTCTAACTGCCAACTGTTTTATGGAGGCTAATATACTAACAGTATTGCTGACATTGTTTTCTACATAATTGGAAAGTTTATATGAACATTTAGTCAAGTAACTGTAAAAAAGTAACACTTTATGTTCTCTCACTGTCTTTGGCAGCTTTTTTAAAAATAATACACCTTCAACGTAATTACAGTAACTTTAAATGCCAACTGTTGCATAGAAGCTAATATGCTAATGGTACTAATGACATTGTTTTCTACATAATTGGAGAGTTTTTTGAACATTTAGTCGAGTAACTGTAAATAAGTAACATTTTTATGTACTTTTACTGTCTTTAGCAGTCATTTAAAACAAAACACATTTACTTAATGTTTTCCATTAACTGCCAAATACTGTCTAAACTGTAAGAAACTAAAGTCAAATTAAGTGAGTTTGTCTCATTTTTTAGGTAAAATATCTCATTACAAAATGTGGACTACAACAACCAGGTTTTAGCATTATGAAACCAACACGTGTTCTACCACTAATTCTTTTTTAAGGAAACCTAGTAATTTTGGTTGTTTTTTTTTTTTTGCAGGTAACTATTGTGCTTTAATTCCCTTTTGCAGATGTAATAAGTGGGTGGAGGTTTACTGGAGAGTGTTTTATTGAAACGTATCCCAGATATTTTGTCTTTTTCAAACACGAGGGGAGCAAAATATTAGGAACACCTCTCAATACAATGCATCCCAGTATGCTACTTATACTCACTACAACTTCATCAATTAATTTTTAAATGAATCACTTGTCTGATTATGTCAACAACAGCTGGAGATGTAGAAGCTTTATAGAAATAAAATCTATTGTAAAGCTCTTGCATGAGGTTGCATTAGATTGCTTAGAGGTTCATAATGTTATAGCTGATTGTTGTATCTTAACTAACAGAGTCAGCTAGTCTCAGTATCAACTCGAAAGTAAAGCTCAAAACCGTATGCTTGCATCATGCTGCAACAAAAAAATGTAATGATTATTTTGCATTTGATGCTAGTCTGCTAGAATTATCAGTAATGCATTGTCTGAAGGTGAAGTATGGGCGAATGGGTCACCCAAAATAGTCAGATAAAGTGATAGAAATAAAAAGTGATGGTGAAAGAATAATTCACCGAAGTATAGTCTTTGAAGTGCTTCCTTTACAGGAAAGCTTTGAAAATACATGTCTCTGCTGAACTGGATTTTCTGCTCCCAGCCAGACACCGGGCCAGCAGAGCAATGGGAAAAGGCACAGCTAATTCCAACGAAGCCAATGACACAATGAATCCTGATACCTTCTGGTTTTACCACATCATTCCTTGTGTCATATGCAGGAATGAAGCTGAGCCACTCCCCTTACCTGACCTGCATGTGATGTGTGTGCTTGCATGCCTCCAGGCTAGTGGGCGTGGACTGAGGCCTCTCAGGTGTCTCTGAGCTCTGGAGTCATCTGCCAATCACAATGTGCCTTCTCTTCCTCTCTTTAGCCACTTAGCAGGTTTCTCCTTCTGTCCGTCCTCTAAAATTTGTACCCTTTTTTTTAACAGCCGTATCTGCTTGGAGACAAACAAGAAGGCAGGAGACGGAAGTCTGGTCTTGATCTTTTCAAAATGGACAGGAAGTGCCAAGAAGAAGGCGGAGGACCCGGTCCAGACTTGGACTTGTGACTTGCATGCATCTTTATGCAACACCACAGACTAAAACCCCGCTTGGCTTCAGAGGAGCGGATGTGAGGCTTGTTTGTGTGCGTAGCAGGTTCAGACATAATCAACTGAGGGTTATTTGTATGCTTGTGTGTGCAAGTGTGTGTGTGTCTGTGAAGGCACAGCTCTTTGACAGGGGTTTAAACCCAGTATAACAGTGGTGTGTCTTTCCCTCCCGCAAGACTTGACTTAAAACCTCTCAAGCTGGCTGATCATATGATGCTGCTCTAAAGAGCCTGGAGGGGGTAAGTCATGCTTTTAGAGTTTCCTTCTAATGCTTTTTTTATCTCTGAGGTTTTTAAAATGTTCAAATGTATGCCTTTGCCACTCGCACAGGGGGTAATGAATGACATCCTAGGCAGTAATTATCATCACTAGAAAAACTATATAATTATACTCACTGTGTATATATTTGTAAGTCTTTATTCACTTGTCACAGCTTTCACTTTGTGCCAGTGTTCCTCTTCTCATTTTATCCTCCCTGTTACATTTTCTACTTGGTATTTTTGTACTTCTCCTTTAACATTGTGTGAAAAAGCCTGTGATGTCCTGTGTAAACATCCCATTTGCTTGCAGCAACTTCTGCCATAGTCTGTACAGACGGATAGTTCTCTGACTACTTCATGCATAGCTTTAAATATCTTGATACATTGTTTTCTCCCCTTCTATTAGGGTTGAAATTCATATTTGTCTCCAGATTTGCCACCTCTGCATCCAAGTTTTAAGAATCAACAACGCTCTCAGAGATAACACCACATAGAGGATTAACAGTGTTATCATTTGACACACTCATTTTGTAATCAAAAGCATGACACTGTAATCTGGATTTAACAATATGATAATGGCTCAAATTATTCAAACAAAGAGTTAATTAATCAGTCAGCCTCAGACAAACACGATAGCATCTCTTTATATTTGTCTCAGACTGATTAAGTTTCATTTACAGTTATCCCTCTTTGTTAATCTGAGTTAACTCTCATACATTCACTGTAGAGCTTCATGCACCCTCACAGGAACTGAGAAGTGAGCACCCACACAGGAAATGTTGGTCAGAGTCTGTCCCGGATGTTGGTTTGCAAGACGCGAGCAGAATATTGAAGAAATACAGAAGGGTAAAGCCAGTAAAAAGACAAAGAAAGTGAGAAATAAAGTCAAGGTTTCATTAGGTTAGGCAAAAGATAAAAAGACAATATTTATTATCTTCCTGCTGATGTTTGATTGCTGGCATAATGAGAGGTTCAGACAGAGAGATGGCCTTGGTTTGTGTTGACAACATGGAGCCAGAGCTTTACAGTTTTATCCTTCGACCAGAGTCAGGGTGCAGCGCGGTGATAAAATGATAATCGGACTGTTAAACCACTCAACAGAAACAGCCCCTCAACACCACCCTTCACTTGTCAAATCCACACAGCATTACATACTCTCTCTCCCTCCCTCTCTCTCGCCTTCTCTCGCTCGGTTTATTTTCTGTGCCTGTGGTCAGGAAGTACAAACTTGCTTTTGTTGCCTGTCACCAAAAGTCTGGTGCACTCACTGCAAATCTGTAGAGCCACACCAAGACGTTAAAAAATGAGAAGTACGTCCTGAATTAGAAACAAAACCCTTCCCTATTTGGATCAGTTCGGCATTCATGTGGTGAGTATTTGTATTTCGGTTTTATTCTCAGCCTGGGCGGTGTCGAGTTGGATTTCAAAATGCTGCCGTTTGTGTTTTCAAATTGATTCTCACAGATCGGCAGCAACAAAAAGAGGCCACTATTTCACGCCAAACATAATGGAGTTTTATGAATGGCTTTTTTGTCTGTGAGCTGATCAGATGTTCTTTTTGGAGGTTTCCCATTTTTGTGTTAGTGGTTATGAACCCTAACCGAATAACTTTGCATTATTCGTCTCTCAGTATTTGGCTACCAAAATAGTCTCTGGAGGAGTTTCTTGTGTTACTTCACAGTGTTACTCAGTGTTGTTCCTCTTTTACAGATGTGTGAATGGAGTTTGTGACCTGCTTTACGACCTCACACTTACAGGACCTTACAAAAATGATCATCCTTCATACGACAGAGGACGTTTCATAGCAAGACAACATTTGCAGCTTTGAAATCTTTCATCACAACAAAGGACCGTCACTAATGGAGGGGGAGGGAAACTCGGATGTTACAGAACCAGGCCTTCAACAGGACTCATGGACCTCTATAGACCACCAGTGTATCGATGGAAATCAGCAGGGACTTGTGTTGGAAGAGACTGTGGTTCTGACAAACCAGGAACTTAGCACGGATCAGATCTCTCCCTCTCTGAAGACTGATAGAGAGTCTCCCGAGGAGCCAGAGCCATGGGAGCAAATAATATGGCCAGTGCAACCCATGACCTGCACCAGTCCTCTGCTGTCCTTCGCCACAGTGCAGTGGGACATGCCCGACCCATCTGCTGGGGCGCCTTCGCCTGTGACTCATGGCAGCTTGGCCAATGAGCTGGACTCTGTCATCATGACGAGTGTAGGCACCACTTCCCCATCACCTTACCCATATGAAGACGTAAATGATGAGCTTTTCAGGGAGGAGGACAGAGAGACGGAAGAAGAGTTGAATTCTGAGCCTCTGAGTGGTAACGACTTGGAGGTATGTGTATAAAAGCTTCTTTGTATCTTTGTATGTGACCTCCTGTGTCCTTCACCCTTCCTCCACTTAATGTTTGCTTGACTTTGGCTTTCATCTATGTGTTTAAATATACTTCTTTTGTTGTAAGTCGTAATTCTTAGAAATTGTGGGGAGCGGAGTGGACATATGTTGGTCAGATGAGTCATGATGCCCACTGATGATCACAAGTTTTTCTCTCGTTACTCAAGTTCATGATCAATGGTCTGTGTTGCAATTTTCAGCCATGTGATGATGTCGATGTTCAAGAGCACGCTGCACAGGAAGAGGAAGATTCAGCCCAAGAACAGTTAGGCAGTAACAACGGTGGGTGTTGCTAAGACAAACAAATGAGTAATGGCACTAAATCTTGTCTTTTCTTACTTAGTTTAAGGATAAAAAAAATTAAACTTTCAAAAACAAACCAGGCTTATGAGAAATGAGTCAAGATTCAACTCATACATGTTTGCCTTCTTCTAGAAAATGTTCAAGAAATCTTCCTGAGGACAGACCTGAAAAAAGACGAAAAAGAAGAGGAGGAGGTCAAGTCAGCAAGCTCAGATCCAATCGAATCTTTAGTCATAATCGATAGTCTCCAAGAAATTGAGAGCTCAGGGGACGAGGTGGAAAGTTTTGTTGATTTAAAGCTAGAGGAGGAACGGGAGGAGTCTGTTGCTCTGCTATCAAGACAAGGGGACTCAGAGGAAGAGGAAACGTCATTGAACGGTATTGAGACTGAAAAAAAGGACCAGGAGGAGAGCAAGTTAGAAGAGGACGAGGAGCAAGGGGAGGTAGAAGAGGACAAGGAACGAGACGAGGCAGAAGAAGACGTGGTAAAAGAGGACAAGGAACAAGACCAGTTGGAAGAGGGCAAGCAACGAGAGGTAGAAGAGGAGAAGGAACGAGACAAGGTAGAAGAACATAAGGAAAGTGGTGAGGAAGACGAGGATGTGGAACGAGACGAGGTAGAAGAAGACGCAGAACAAGACGCGGCAAAAGAGGACAAGGAACAAGACGAGTTAGAAGAGGACAAGCAACGAGAGGTAGAAGAGGAGAAGGAACAAGACAAGGTAGAAGAGGACAAGGAAAGTGGTGAGGTAGAGGAGGACCTGGAACGAGAAGAAGACGTAGAACAAGACGAGTTAAAAGAGGACGAGCAACGAGACGAGGTAGAAGAAGGCGAGGAACAACACGAGGTAGAAGAGGACAAGGAACGACACAAGGTAGAGGAGGACGAGGAGGGTGAGAAATTGAACCGCTGTGCTGGAGAAAGTGAAGAGTTAGAAGCTGACGGCTCTCTGAATCACGTGTGAGTATCATGGTTTTTGAGAAGGGGAAGGGGAAGTGTGTTGACACTGAGTCATGTTGCAATTTGCGGCATTATGTAATAACTACACTGCATGTTTCATCCTTACTTCATAGGGAGGTTCCAGCAGAGCCACAACAAACTGATGAAGCTGGACTAACTATAATCCCAGATAAACTATTAGCTCTCCAGCCGTCTGAGTTTTCAGAGGAAAAGGGGCAATCAAAGGCTGAAAAGGACACTGAGCTACAAGAAGAAGGTCCCACAGGACAGACTGAAGAGTTAGAAATGTGCAGAGATGTAAATCAGGACTTGGAGCCTGAACAATCAGAGGCTGCAGACAACACTGGAGAACTGTCAACCCAGGCGGCAAATAACATCGAGAGAGTTGAAGACACTCAGGAGTTACTAGAGCTGACTGAAAGACTGCAAGAAACGAGTTGTCAAAAAACACCCTCACAGGACATAGAAGACTCACCGCAACTTAAACAAGCTGAGTCTGAGCAGCTTGAGATGACTGAAGAGACAGAGCAGGTCCAAAAAGAGAACTCAAACTCTGCAGACAAAGTAGAAGAGTCAGAGCATCTGGAGCAGGCACTGATGGAATTAGCAGACGAGTCAACCCAGACTGAAAAAGCAGAGGAGTCCACTCCATCAGAGCAGACACCTAGCGCTAAGGCCGAAGACCCTGTGGCGGCAGAGCAGCAGGAACAGACGGAGTCATCGGACCAGAATGAGCAGCGAGCGGCCGGCGAGCAGCTCACGCAGCCGGAGAAGACGGACGAGTCTGATATAATGGAGCAGCTGCCGCCTGAGACCGGGGTCACGCAGCAAACAGTGGAGGCAGAGCTCAGTCAGACGTCTCATCAGGCTGAAGAAGAAGAAGACGAAGGTGTGAAAGATAACGTACAAACAGTCGTCCCAAATGGAGTGCAACACAAGTGTCCTGACACAGCAGTGCCTCATATGAACGGAAGAGAGGTAGACCGGGAGTCAGCCCGCAGCCTGGCTGAACGGCTGTTTAAGTTGGATGGGATCCAGCGTGTCGAGGTGGTGAGGCACTTAGACAAAGAGTAAGCACTTCCTTTCTTCATTTTTACCTTACTTTTTTATAACCATACGGTGATGCTGTTTGAAGCTCTGCAGCTGAACTGTAAACAAGTCAGTGCAACATAATTTATAGACTTCTGACAATATTCTCATTGATTCACACAGTCCTGTTCTACTTCTGAGACGTGTCTTGCTCTTGCTCAGCACCTGGCAGTTTGGTTGCTTAGCTAGTGATGATGATGATAATGGCATTGATGAAGAAGATGATGATGGTATTCTGGTGCCATGTTGATTGTGTTATTTCTATTTGCTGCAGTGTTGATGATGATACAATAAAGCTAAAAAAAATGAACACTCTGAGCATTGCACTGCATGGTAGCACTACATATGAGTGACCTTAAAGCAGTTTCACATCCAAGAGAAAAATATTAACTCTTGACTGGCAGACCTAGAAGCTGTAGCTCTAAAATAAGCACGATGTTACAGGACTCCTCCTCCTCTTAAGCAATGTATCACGTCGATGGAAACTTGTCCAATTTGAATTTATTTACCCATCCTTCTTCTGTACTATGAAATAAGTATCCTAAATAGACCCATGGAGGGCAGCTCAGGCACTAAAACTAAGTGGTTAAATGACCTCTGTGGTTTTGATGGGACTTTTTGAGGAAGTCTCTGAAAATAACCCCGGTGATATCATTAGGGGCATTTCAGCCATTGATTACCAACACAAGTCTGTCTTTCAGACTGTAGGTGTAGAGTTTAAGCATTTACCAGAAAGAGATTATCTTACCAAACATGCTCGTTGCATTATTGGAAGTGTAGGAGACAGCATTTTTGAGAAGTAACTGTTAGGACACTTTGTTATTTTTTTCTTTCTAACCCTCTGTATGAAGTCTCAGGTGCTCCTCAAGTCCCCTGAGGTGGTCATTTTTCATCTTTGTGTGCTTGGTGATTATTTTGAGAACACATTTAATCATTTGTTCTCACAATGTTTATGTTTTCAAGTACTTTAAGTGGTTTTTTAAGTATTTTGTGGGGGTAAGTTACAAAATTGTTATCCTACACTGAGTTAAATTTGACTTTCTGTATTTGGACCTTTTTTTTTTTTTAGCTTATCACCTCTGCAAAGGTGTCTGGGAGACACCCTGTCGGCTCTGCTTTTATTGCAATCAGAAAATGAAGTGTTGAAGCCACAATAAATCACATGACTCTTACCTTCCTCTGTTGCCTCTAGTTTACATCAAATGCAACATCAAAGCTTTAATATCAATTCCTAATGTATGTCCCTATCACTCATATCAAAGAAGTGTTTTAGATATTGTGATCATTTTGTTTAAAGGGTTATTACGCTGACATAGATCTGTTTTTCCTCTGTTTAGTAATGACTTCAGTCGAGCTGTTGGGGAGGAGTACCTGAAATTCTTTGACTTCATCGGGCAAACTCTCGATCATGCCCTGAGGTGAGAATTATGGAGGTGGAGCTTTTATAGCATGTTCTGACTATGTGCTCATTAAATGTCATGTAATCATATTCCTAATCAGGTTTTTCGTTTTTTTTTGTCTCCCTCTTAGATCTTTCCTTAAAGTGGTGGTGCTCATAGGAGAGACTCAGGAGAGGGAGCGCGTGCTGCAGCAGTTCGCCTGCCGCTTCCATCAGTGCAACCCGGAATCCTTCTCCTCTGCAGGTGAGCCCCGATCAGAATTATCTGTTGTTGTTTTCTCAGAGATATACTGCCGCAGAGAATGATCACGTGTTCTGGATGTATGTTTTCTTCTTCCCTCAGGGTCTGTGTTGGCTCTTACATGTGCTTTGATGCTTCTCAACACCGACTTGCACGGACAGGTGGGATACCTCTATGACTGTGAAGGCTTTTTGCGTAGTAACTGGAAATTCTTTGCTGTTGTTTTTATATCTAATCATTCCCTTTGTGTGTTAACAGAATGTAGGAAAATCCATGTCCTCCTCTAAGTTTGTGTCCAACTTGGATGGGATGAATGAAGAAGCAAATTTCAGCAAGGATTTCTTGAAAGTAATGCAGCCACTGATATCCCTACAGAAAAACAAAGTAAATCTATATTTCAATGTCAGTGATTATTTTCCTCTCTGTCTACATTACAGAGTCTCTACAACTCCATCAAGAGTGAGCCGCTGGAATGGGCTGTGTAAGTGGACTGATAAAAAAAAAAAAAACACATGGTCAGCGATTTCTGTGAGATTATATAACTCTCTGTCTGTTTATGTTCAAGTGATGAGGAGGAGTTGAAGAGCTCTGTGTTGGCAGAGGAAGATGCAGGAGATGACACGCTGCTGCGTTCAAAAGCCAACCCTTTTCAGGATGTTCCTCACGACAAAACAGCGACGGTGATCAAACAGGGATTCCTGCAGAGAAAGCTCCATGCGGACATTGACGGCAAACGCAGTGAGTGGCGCAAACAGGGAGGATAAAATAATGAATAGGATGTCAAACAATCAAAGATGAAAAACGTAACACCACCAAGTTTTAAGAGATGTGACATGTTTTTTAATTTGTTTTTACTTCACTTCAGATCACATTACAAGTGTTTTCTCTCTCTGATTTAGCAGTGGTTTAAAAGTAAAAGATTAATTAGTGTTTTATTTTAAGAGGTATAATCCCTCTTGGATTTTTTATTGTTAGTGTTAATTGCAGTGCAGTTACAGTCTGAAAGAAACCATCATGCCTTTTTGTCCCTTTCCACACACCTTATTTAGGCTGCTGCAGTGTCTTCCAGCTTCCTGACGCCGCTGTGCTTTTGGACGGCAGATTTCCCAAAAAACTTTCAATTTAGCTAACAAGTCAAAAGAAATAAGGACTATGAGTCAAACAGAATTAGAATAGCACTACAGAACTTAGAAAAGTCAAGCTAAGCAAACAGGTGCGGCTGATCTGAAAATCACACATCAGAAAAGCCGGCTAAGGACTAATAAAGAGTTCATCACAGACCTGTGGAGGAAACGAAATCAAAGTTAAATTCTGTTCTTGCTAAATGGGTGGCAGCTAACTGCAGGTCCTTCGGCATTGTGGAAGACTAAAGTCAAAAGGACTTCCTCAATCCAGCACCATTATATCTCTGCCATAACTCTCTTTAAGAATATTTCACCTTATATTAATTAAAGCAAGTATTTGTCTGAAGTCTTTGGTGGAGAACAGGACACATCCTGCCGAGTGGTCCTGCCTTTGCCTATTGGCACAGAGTGCAGAGAAGGATAGCTGCAGCTGCTGCCATACAAACATATGTCATGTATTGTGCAGTTTACGGAGGTCTGTCTGATGCTGCTTCATGGGATGTAAAAACTGTTTTGAAATGCCAGATAATGGAATTGAAACAATAGTGGTAAACTATTTACATTCAGCAATTAAGACAGTTATGTTTAAAGAGCTCTGTGTCTAACTGAGATCTTTGATATGGCTACTGTTGAACTGTTGTAAAGTTACTGATGTTTCTGCAGTGCCCTGGGGGAAAAGAGGCTGGAAGACTTTCTATGCAGTGCTGAAAGGAATGGTGCTCTACTTACAGAAGGTCAGTCACCCTGTAATACTTTATATTCTTGTGCAAAAGATTTTGAACAATATTATTTAACAAAAAGAATTGTTGTGATTTCCTGTTTGTGTGTTTCAGGATGATTACAGAAGGGACCAGCTCACTAACGAGGAGGTGGTGAGCGTGCATCACTCTTTAGCCGAGGAGGCAGCTGACTACACCAAGAAGCCACATGTGCTGCGTCTGCAGACGGCCGACTGGAGAGTTTTCCTCTTTCAGGCCTCGTAAGTGACAGCTCAGCAGAAATGTTCGGGTGTGTGTGGATGTGTTTGTGTGTCTGTAAGTCTGCAATGTTCACTTTGCTTCACAGATCCAGAGCAGAGATGAATTCATGGATCAGCCGCATCAACCTGGTGTCGGCTCTTCACTCCTCACCTCCGTTTCCTGCTGCTGTTGGGTCTCAGAGGAGGTTCTGCAGGCCGATCCTCCCCTCATCCCAGTCTGCCCACACTCTGGTAAACTCCTATTCTGTTTTTCAACATTAATGTCACCGTCATAGTAGTACAATGTTTATTTTTATTTATGAATAGGTTCTCTCTTTGTTTTTCAACATGTTTTGGCCCTAAAACACACCAAAGAGTTTCCTGATATTATCACTTTAGGCCCTTTTGAATGATGTCAAATGTTAATTTGGATGTAACGTGAAATAAACCAGTCAGAGGGTGAACTCTCATCCCCTTTAAGAACCAAGTGTGCCCACAAGCAAGCATACTGTCATCTAAATCAATCAATCAATCAGTCTTTTTTTATACAGCACTTTTTATACATAACATGTAGCACAAAGTGCTTCATACAGAAAAAGGAATAAAACAAACTAAGAATACCCAAACTTAACCCCAACCCAAGATTAAAAGAATACCCAAATCTACTCCAGCCCAACCCCTCATTCCCACCCCACGATCTAAATGCAACAGAAACAATATTAAAATGCATAAACTTAAAAAGGGGTTGATTTGTGGAAACAGGAATGTGTGCACTGAGGAAACGTCATTTTAAAACTCAAGATAAGGAAACACTGGAGGTTTATGTTAAAATCTAAAAACAAAGAAACATAGAATAAAATTTAAGAAATAATAAATAAAATGAAATAAAAACAACAGTAAGAGATACTAAAATAGGAGCACCAAAATAGCTCAATAAAAGACGATCCTGTGATTAAAAGAGATAAATGCTAAAACACTTAAACAGAGTTAATGATATAAAATTTATTTAAAAGCAAGACTAAAAAGGTACGTTTTCAGTTTGCTTTTAAAATAAAAAATAGTACATTTCAGCCTTTCTACTGAAATACACCAGACTCAGTCAGCTTTTTTCTCTTCTCTCCTTCTACTGTGCCCCTAAAATGCAAAATAAAACACACACAAGTCACTGTTGCACGGTTCGATGTTGCACCCACTGAAACTACTCCTCTGCGATTAGAAACTTTCCAGCTCAAACAGACGTGTGTACATTTATGCATGAGGAACGGCAGGGAAACTTCATTAATCATTTAAAACCGAGACACGGTGACGGAATCAGACAGGATCTAATGATATCACTTTACATCAAAGAAAGGCGGCCTGATTGACTTCTTTTTGTTTTAGCAACTTTAGACTAAGGGGCCTTCAAGTGACTGATCATACCAGATCAAAAAGAGCAGCAAAATCCTCTGGGGAAATGCAGTTAGAACAGATAATAGCTACTAGAAGCACCAAGGATTGCTCATCATTAGCTTCTGCATATTACTTCAGATACTCAAGGCAAATATGTTAAAAGATTTGCAGTTTTGTTTCAGAGACTCTGCTGCCCGGAGCTGCTGCGTCATCCTGCACTGTTAAAAAACAACAACAATCTATTCACAAGAGTTTATTTTCTTAATTAGGTGAACATGAAAATTAAAATAGCTATTTTTTAACAAGAAAATACATGTCAGACCAACAATGTGCACCTCAATAGAGACCAAATATGTAATTCTAAATTAGCAGAATTTGCGATTTGTTGTTTGCACAACAAAGTAGGAAAAATTCCCATAATGCAGTTCTGACATTGACCCATAAGGTCTGCCGTAGAAGACCTACGAAGTTTACCATGTTCCGTCACAAGGGCAAGTTCTCCCTCATTGTGTGTCACGGCCAGCAGCGCAGAGGGAGAAAAGGACTTTTTTGAGTGGACCAGCTTCAGTCCAAGTTGTTTAAGTATTTTGTGTGAAAATAAACTTGTCTGAACTGTATATTAACTAATAGAGGATGTGGTGTTGTTCTGCTTTACCAAATTTACTTCAGTAAATTGGCTACTTTTTCAGTTTAGCTAACAATGCTTGTCTATCTACATTGCTTGTCTGCTGGAAAATTATCTTTCTGTTCCCTCACGACGTGTTTCTCAGCTGCGTGTCTAATCGTACATGTAACTGAGCAGGCAATTTATCTCTGGGGCGCATTTACGATGCACGCCGCCTCCATGCTCACTCGCTGCGGAGAAAGCCGTTAACTTTAGCCATTAGCAAGCAGCTGCTAGCCGACGGCTAGGGATGCTAAATGTTTATATTGGCAAAACGAAGAATAAATAGTCGTGACAAATAAAAAATAATTGCGCAAATAAAAGTGTTAATATTGGCAAAATGAAGAACAAATAGTCGTGACCATTCACCGAACAGCGTAAACGTAATTGATACAATGATGAAATGTCACTTATGGCAATGACCTAGCAAATCGTTGACACAATTAAAAGATCTTACTGCAAAAGTTTGCCTTAAAATTTTAAGTTTTCTAAATTATTCCTTTTTTACAGTGTGATGTGGCTCAAATCTGTCCATGACGACGTGCTGAAAAGAGTTAGTTACACTTAAACCAGTTTATCTTGAAGCTGATTCTTGACAGATGTGATCAAATGACGCTCATCCAGATAAAAACCTTACGCATCCTCTGCATAAGGTCTCCAGGCGGTCTCCACATGTGGAAGAATGTTCCTGCATGTGTCGAGGTTGTGCCTCTTACAGCCCTGTACTAATTTAAACCCTGCTTCGAGTAATTATAGTAATGACAAAGTAAATTTCACTTTTTCTGAGTCACTCAGGAGTGGAATTGTTACCACCAACTCTCAGCAGACCATGAAAATTTCACTCAAACTGTATTTGGCTGTTACTGTTATTTTCTAGTCATTTTAATTTTTTTGCAAAGGCATTCATTCACATGGACAGGGGCCTGTTTAGCCTTAAATTAATGTATAACAGTTCATCTAAATATGTGCAAACAGCACTGGCGTACACAGACACAATTTTTGAAGCAAAGTTTGGGCTGCATTTGACCTTCTGTGTGCTCTCTGTGAGTAAGACAGTATTTTTTGCCTGATTTGCACAGATTAGAGGGCACAAAAGCTACAATACTGCTGTCAACCTGGTCCGTGTACAGAACTAAATAATGGTGCATTTAATTAATCTGAACTGAAAAAGAAAGGATGCTTCAGTTCTTCTCTCAAAACACGTCTGGATGAATATCTACCACATAATCAAATCTCTGAAATATCTTTTCCTCTCATTCATCATGCAGGAAAGTCAGCTGCAGTCTCATGCAAAAATGCTGGAGTCATTCCAAGCAGACCTGTCCTATCAGCAGCAGAACCCCCCAGAGGGGAAGAAAGTCAAAGCCAAGGAGCTGGAGGAGCAGCGAGTCAGAGCAGAGTACCTGCAGCACGAGGTAATAGAAGTGCTGTGAGCTAAAGAGTGAGTATACTGGTGTGAGAAGGGCGCAGAAGTAACACCCTGTCTTTTTTTTTCCCAAAACAAACACAGATATGTCGCTATGAGATCTACATCCAGGTGTTGGAAGCCTGGAAGAAAGTGAAGACGACAGATGGCGGCATGTTGACCACAGCTGACCTGAACCTGTTCGATAGAGCTGTCTGTTCAGACTCTGTGGGAGAGGTAGAGGAGGAAGGCAGCCTGAAAAAGTCCTACTCCAGCCCGTCTCTGGAGCTGGAGATACCTGCCCCAACAGTAATCAAAGTAAGACGCAACATTTCAGAGAGACGGACTTATCGCAGGACCATCGTTCCTCGGTGGAACAAAGAAGCCTGAAAGCTTTCGAAGTAAGACGAACCATTAAAGACAGTTTTGAAAACCCAAGTTGAAACATTTCCTCTGTAAGCTGACAGGACTTGAGTTGAAGAACAATAATCTGTCTTAAATTTTCACTTTATTTCGTGTCTGCATTTTAACTTGTGCACTTTTATGAAGAAAAACCTCAGGGAATTCCCAACCCTCAGTCCCTCTCAGGATGGAGGAGGCTGATTCATCTCTTCCATGACTTCAAATATCTGGACTTAATTTATTTCGTTTTTATTCTGAACTTCCGTTTCCTTAAGGACTCAACAGGTACGAATTCAAATTTATTTCCTGTTTCTCTTGGTGCACAAATATGCCATTAAAAATGAAACCACTAGAGGGCGCCGTAACACAGCACATATCTGAGTGAACAGAGGGAGGAGGCTGTCATGTCAATTTAAAACTTGTTTTCAAAGAACCCAAATTGCACTTTTATTGTTTGGTACATGTAAATAATATAAAACATTGACTTGCTTTCTGTGAAATTTAAGGATGTTAGTGTTGCTGTTACAAATTTGTCTTAAACGGCAAGTTATTTTCCAAAATATGACTGTTTTTCTGTTCTCTGTTGGCAAAAATGTTGAAATTCCCATTAAAACTCTTAGTTTGAACGACTGTCGTTTTTAAGTTTTTTAAGTTTAGTCAAAACATTCAGGCCATGGTTACAAGTTTGATTATCTTCATGTCTAAAAAAGAATGTCTCTGTAAAAATATTAAACTCATATGTTAAAAAAAATAACAAATAATGAAGTTCAAAGTGTTCACTAACGAGGATTTCATCCAAATCACACCTCTTTACTTAAAGTGAAGTATGACTGTTTAAAGTTAATTTTTAATGACATTTGTTACTTAATATTTTGAAGTATTGAAGGTTTATTCTCTTATTCTTCACTAAAACAAATTTTTTTGACTATCTCTATATACATCTAAAGTTTATGTTTAAAAACTAAAATATGTTCTCAATCAATCAAACTGGAAATTGATCTCACTTCTAAATTGTTCATAAAAATCGATTATTTATTTTTTCAGTCACAAAAAATGCCCCTGATCAGACATGATCTACTGTGTGTGTGTGTGTGTGTGTGTGTGTGTGTGTGTGTTCACACGTCTGTGCTTGTGTGTGATTGACCTCAGTGGCATGGGCTCCATTTTGTTCTCTTTCAGCCTGACATGTTGAGCAGAGGTCGATTCAGGACGGTCAACAATAAGGGCAGGATGTCTGGGATCAGCCCCCCCAAAACCTTTGACACACACACGCAAACACACATACGCATGCGTGCATATGAACATACTCGCACAGGAATTTGATGTGACAAAAGGAGATGCAATGAAGAGCTCAGACAAAACAGACGGGGACACACTGTCCTGTCTGGGTGTCTGAAATGGATCACGGATCGTTCCATTCTCTTTGGGATTCCTCTCACCTGGATCAATATCAGGTGGAACTCTCCTGATAATGCTGGACTTGTCCTCTGAATGGAAGCAGTCTCCTTTCATTCGCAGGAAAAACAACAGCTCATTAAGATAAAGTCAGATTCTACAGATGAGGATGACTGATGGGCCGCATGAGTGACAGAAGCCTGAGGCCATCACGCCACCTTAAGAGGAGATGGAGGGCCTGCAGGCTGAAAGGCGACGCCGTCTCAGCTAACCTACATGCTCTCAGGCCTGTGACGAAATGTTACAGTTAGGAGCAGCCATTAGTGCCTCTTTGTTTTTCCTATCAGTTTGAAATGTTTAATCTGTGCTAAAGGTGCTTGTTTGGGCGCAGGCCTCGCAGCGCAGGAGCTCTCCACCAAAAGCTCTTCTCACATGGCCTGTGGACCATGACATCAGTGGCCGTGGTGGCCCTGTTTTGGAGTGCCATCCCTCTCAGCCTCTCCAATAACAATAATGACCGGCTGGAGCAGCAGGGGCTGTGTTAGCTGCTGGGTTCAGAGGGCACCCGTCCCAAGGAGTGGGCCTGTTTTTGTTCCATCTGTGCCACTCCATTCTGGAGCTTTGTGCGCCTCAGTCAGGCCTGGGTGGGTAATTAAAAAGGCAAGTGCTCAAGTCGGGATCATTAGGGGCTTGTCCGGCATGGGCTCCAAAAAAGACCCCGACACGTAAGGTCACCGCTGCCCAGTTTCCTTTTTCCCGCTCGTCTCCTCCCCCTCACGTACAGAGTTGCTTTGAGCATTGCTCAACATCCACAATGGCCCTGAAAAGCTCGGTAAATATGAGCCACAAACACCTGCTCCCACTGCCAGCGAACATAAACTGTACTGTAAACACTCACATTCATCCTGCTGCCCTCAATGCTCCTCCCGACGCACATTCTCCATCTGCTGCTGACGCCTCGCACGCTCTACTTGTTACTTTTTATCTCTTATCTGCACTAACACTTGATATCTCCCACTCTGACCATTAGAAAAACATTTTTTTTATTTCCCTCTCGATGTCCACCTCCTCCTCCTCCTCCTCCTCCTCCTTTTCCCTCTTGACTGCTGCTTGTGATATCTTTTCTTTCTTCGTCCAGGGCCCTTCAAGTCTCTCTGCGGCCCTCTTAGAGGTTTTGTTTTCCACTTAGACTCCATCTACTTCTTTTGCTGAGACTTCACCAATAACTCCTCTCAGCTTCTCTCTAGTGTCCACTTGTGTAGGACTTGCTCCCCTGTGAAGAGCCAAACTCAGAGTATACTCTCAGCCTCCATTTGACAGTAAACTTCAGAAGGAACTGATATCCTGCGTGTCCCTTAACTTGATTTGAAATTAATGGGCGACACTGACGTAAAACAACCTCCTTGTCCTTTTTCCCTCTAGACTGCACTCATTAGCGTTGCTTTTCTCCCGGCCAGACATCTTCATTTTATTTGCCAATCAGACCCAAACATGAATCACTCATAGTCCTTTCACAAATGCTGGCTTTTTGCAGCAAAGAGGCCTCTTATTGAGGGAGTTAAGGCAAGTGCCTTGCTTAAGGGCATTTCAACGCATGACCCCTTTTTGCCCTCTCCTTTTCCACACAGCTCCTGCCTCTGAAAACACTCCTCAGGCACAAACTCATGGGCTTTTAAGATGCAGGACAAACATACCAGACGGGATCTTAAAGTCAGCGCTCCATGGGTCAATGTAACGTAAAGAGCGGAGCAAGAATGTTTGTGAACTTATCTCCTCCATCTTATCCTGGTCAATCTCAGGACTCGTACAGAAATGAGCTTGAACTGAAAGTTAACTGGGATGGCGAAGAGCTCCACCTCTTCAATAGTCGAAAGTCTGTGATTCGTCAGATCTGCCGTTATTGCTTGATTGGCCGAAAGATCCACCAGGAGTGCCTGTTGAAAAGTTATGTTGGTTATTGGCCTTCGAGAAACAGATCTGCCAATCTTCTGATGCTTTTTCCAGAGACAGACCTTCTCCATTGAAAGACCTCTATCAGGGTTTGTTGGAGAGACTGAACCAAAATCATCTTCTTCCAGAGAGAATAAGAGACTAGTTTTTTTCTTGCTCTAGAGTCAATTCTGCAGACTCTGATTGTTGCATGGACTGACCCATGGTTGTAGCTTTCCCTGGAGACAGATTTGACCTTCCCACTGTTATCCCTGAAGTTCTGAATCATTTCCTGATCTGATCTGAAGTTTCATGGGTGTGTTTGAGACCAGTTTTTATTCCCTTTCCAACATGAAACCAAAAACATGAACTTTTTGTTGGAGGTATCTCAGTTGGTCCATATTTCAGAGTCGTCCAATTTGCGATCATCTTGAATCTATAATTCATTTGAAGGGTTAAACATCGTGATTCAGACGTGTATGTGATGTTGAATGAGCTCTACATCAGCCGTGTGTTTGACTTCCCTGGCCTCTCAGGTCAACCCTCTCCCTCGGGGCAGTACCTGATACCTGGCTGATTTTATCCTCCCGTGTGTGTGTGTGTGTGTGTGGTGTTGAATGTGTGTGTGCTTTGAAAGGTGCGTTTTTCTTGATGTCTTCCAGTCAATAGTAGCTTCCTGCCTTCAGGGCCTGTGTGTTGTTTAATAGGCTGGTCAGACACAGGGCACCTGTGTTTCCTTCCTCCGCCTGTCCGCACACAGAAACACCCTCTGTTTGACCACTTTGCTCCGTTTGACTGGCACATTTGTTCCAGGTGCATTATGGTTAAAGGTGGAGGAGATAAGATGGCTTCTTGAAATTTGAGGACGCTGTTGTCATTTGATGTCTGCTCAGGTGTTCTGGGGCTGAAATGACTCTTAAACCACCATGTGGATGGTAATGTTGGTTGGGTGGTCCAACGCTTTATTAGCAACTTTTGGACAAATTCATGGTTCCCTGACAACAAATCTCAAAACTTTTTTACATCTTTGAATGATAAAAAGCGCAACAAACAGATTGAATATTTTAACTACATTTAGATTCATTTCTATAATCACTAAATGGTCAAAATCTTATTGATGGTTTCCAGAAGATAAACCCTGGAAACTAGAAAGTCCTCAGCTGTAGTTTGAAACTTGTAGGATGAATAGGGACATTTTGGCCAATGTTGCACACAAATGCATTATATAGGGATAACTTTTGGCAAATTTAAGATGCATCTTCACACAAAAACCGAATCCATCAGACCATTAAAAATTACAATCTAGAAATTGCCAGTCTGGCCCAGGGTGGTTTTGTTTACTTTTGGACATCATAAAAAGGCTTCAGTTTGAATTTCAGTTACTTTTATTTACATAAAAAACTTTATACAGAAAATTGAAAAAACAATAATTTCAAAAAACTGTATTTAATTGATTTGAAATGATAATAGCTCTGTTTAAAATTGTCCACTACACGTAGTTGGTTCTGCTACCATAGCTAAATTTGTAGCCTGGCTAGGCCATCCAGTTGCGTGAATCACTTCCCGTTCCTTCCCGCAACAAGGAACGGGAAGGAACGGCAAGCAATTCACGCAACTGGATGGCCCAGCCAGGCTACTAAATTTGTACCTTACTTGAAATAAGCAAACTTAATCATGATAATACCAATTAGTTTATCTTGTTTTTACACTATAAAACACAGCATTTATTCCTTTCATTCCACTTGTTTTTGACTCGTCTTAGTTTCTCCACTGCAGATAGACTGGCTTCAGTTAAACCCTGCGTCTGTCAATGGACTGATATGATCACAGTTGGTCTATGATTAGATTGCACCCCTAGCAACAGCATGCTACTGGAAAATAACAGACTGTTGCTATGGAATATTAACCAATCAGATTTTTTAAAGTTTTTAATACATCTATGTAACCATGGGTTTTGATATACATACTGTATATATGTGTATATACTGTATATGTGTGAATATCAAATTGGATAATACAGATGTCAGGTTATCTGGGAACAACTCAGAGGAGGTCAAAGAAGGTTATGTTGACACAGGAAAATAAAAAAAAGGATAATGGGACAAAACAGCATAAAGGAGGGTTCAACTTATAGAGAGTACAAAAGGTTCAGAATAATTATGTGCGCCTCACCCAAGACCACTCATAAACAAGGTGATGGGTTCAATCACACAGTCTGGGTTCTCTAGAGGGCCACAAAAGGCCTGAACCATGGCGGGGCCCGCACAGCACTGCTGCCATTCACAGTTTAAGACAACAGCGTGTTCTGCAGCTCATTTGGCCGGACAAATTCTGTCAGCCTACATAATACTTATTTGCCGGTTTGAATTGGTTGGCCAGTGTCTCGGGCCCAGAGATAAGTGGAGAACTTTCCAGATGACTGGCACAGGACAACCCTGACCCGTCATCCCACTGATTGCCACACACTCCTCTGCTGCCTTTTTGGCAGCGATTTCTCTAGGGGGCCCCGTTCTGTCTTTGAGTTTGTCCCCATAATGGCAGTGGGACACATGCCTTCTCCTCCACACACGCAGGCTTAGAATATATCACGAAAACACACACGCGCAGATACACATTACTGCTGTCTGCTCCGCTCACACACACATGGACACAGTGTTCGTATGTCTCTGTGTTAAATGTAGTAAGTCCCAGTCTCCCTGTCCTGCCAGCTTTGTCTGCCCTCAGCTGTTCCGGCCCGGTGCCTGTATTGTGCTGCCGGGCTCATTACCAGACCAGAAGCACTGTGGCCCGAAACCTCCTCACTAATAGGCCCAGAGAGAGACACAGAGGAGTTATGTCTGCTGTGGCTTGTGTGTGTAGCAGTATAATGTTAACTTTTTTACTCATCTAGCAGCGGGACAGTTAATGTTTAACATTTGGGGCTGTTATTTCTCCACTCTGACATCAGCTGGCCTGAAGAAATTGAAGTTCAGTTCCTCGTCTCATTGAGGCACGCCAACTTAAAAAAGCCCCTCTGTATGTTTGAGTGTATACTGTATGTATGTGTGTGTTTCTGCATGCCTGAGCAGGGACCTGGAAAGAATGAGAGTCCAGCCAGTTGATGGGCTGTCTGGAGTGGTCCGGGACACTTGAAAAACAATGGGATGAAATGCAGCTATTGTTTAAAGTTTACAGTGTGGTCACAGGAGAGAGAGGGAAAGAGAGGGGTGTAAAGAGGTGAGTCAGAGAAATATAAGGAGAGAGAAGGCTCGGAGAGAGAAAAAGTGTGCATACTGTAAACAAAAAGACGTCAGGGTTGATCTTCATCAGCTCACAGATAGCACACCAGCTGAACTAATATTGAGGATTTTGAGTAATTGTCTCAGAAGTCAGACAAAAGCCTCTGCACTGCCCGACTCAGAAGTTATGTAATTAGGTTGGAGGTGTTCTTTTGGAGAGAATTAGGCCATGAACCATAGAAAAATTCTTGAAGTGAAAAATATTTCTGAGGTGCAGTGGTCTAATGAGACTAAACAGACAAAGAAGATCAAAGTGAGACTAAAAGTTGAAGTGCACATCTCTTTGTCCTGTTGGTAGAAATCAAACATAATTTAAACCTAATGCAGTAACAGCAGACGCCTGTCTTGCATGAATCTGGTTCTCCTCAGGGTTTCTGCCTGATAAAGTAAGTTTTTCCTCGCCACTGTAACCTGCTAAATGCTATAAAGAGTTAAACTCATGTGGATTAAGGTGGGATGGGAGTCAGACTTATCTTTATGTTTGGTCCTAAAGAGTGTGGTCTTTTGTTGAGCCTCTTGAGATATCAATTGTTATGAATTGGCGTGATATAGCTAAAGATGAACAGATTGTAAATTTATATGCTGAAAATTAAAAGTCTGTGTTAAATACACTCTAATGTTATAAGAGGATTAAGAGGACACCTAATGTGTAAATAAAGCTTTCATTAATTTGTAAATAAAACAAAATTTTGTGTAATTTACTGTAAATTATATTCAAACTTTTTTATTGTATATTTTACAGTTAAGGCCTATTTGTAACCACCTCATCTACAAATCTCCACAGCCTCTTGACAACTCAGAAACTCCATCTGCAGAAGAGGGCTGCCTGTTGTGATCTTAAGGTCATAATAAACTCTAAAATTGACTCTATTTTGAGGTCATCTCTCCATATTGAAAACACAAATATGAAACCACGTGGTAACTGATAGATAAAGTAGGCTAACAGTACATCTCAGGAATATGTGAGCAGAAATAACATCAGTTTTGAACGTGTCTTCTCGCCCTGCTCTTTAAATTTCCATATTATTTGTTAAACTGTAAAAATTAATCGAGGTTTCTGTCTGTCCTCGAGGCCTGTAGGACGAAGCCGCCATGTTTCACGAGCACAAAACAAGATTTGACTGTTTGAGCAGGAACCTTCACGTGCCGCTCATTCGGGCGCGCGCGTCCTCCCCTCTTTCTCTCTCACTCTCTCTCCCGCAATCATCGTCCTCGCGCCGTCCCACGCGGCGGCACCAGGTGGGCCGAGGCGCCGCCGAACCGTGGCGTCGTTAACGCGCCGCAATTATGAGGCCGCAAAGAGGGACGAAATAATTGCAAATAAAACTACATGAAGCAGAAAATAAAAAAAGAAATTAAACAGATGCGAGTGTTTTCAGGATCATTGATTTCGTCCTTTTAAAATGCTGAGAGATGCAAAAAATATGCAACATTTCGGGACCTACTGCTGAAATTAGCATAAAAGATTATTAATAATAATTTTAACAATAATAATACGACATATTTCTTGCATGAAAGTACTTAAGGCACCTTTACCTCTACGGTTTTTCTATATTTTTAAATTTTCACATTTCCACCTCTATCATGACTGTAAAATCTGTACCGAATAATTAAAAAACACAACAGCAAACCATAATAAATTTGTCATGCTTTAATTAAAATAATTCTTTAGAAATTCCTTATTTACATCTGCAATAATATTAATACCAGTATAAGAAAAAATAGTCACAGTTCTTACCAAACATCAGAACATCAGCATGACAACAAACTAAATTTATTTGACGCAAAACAAATGCATTTCAAGCCTTGTTGGTTTAAGTAGCCAAATCACCATCATCAGTCATTCTCTGAGAAAAATTGCATCACTTCCTTATAGGTCATTCATCATTTACAATATGTACATATTGCTAGACAAATACATTAATTATCTTTGAGGGGCAGATGTGGCCATTTAGTAGTAATTGTAATTTAACATGTCGCTTTGTTGTGTATGTGAGGAGCTCTGTAAGTCTGAATTTACAATGAAAACAGGCAGACGTAGACCAAGAGAGAGGGATTAATTTGTAGCTAATGATAGGAAAAAAACAAACAAACAAAAAAAAAAACATTGTAAACAAAAAGCAGGCATAGTTCGGTATAAAGAAGTTGCATATCTTATTTCGACTTGTTCAGTGGTGTGTGTTGCAGATCTGCGAGAAACAGTCTTTGGCCTAAAAGCGTTAAAAGAGACTGCAACTTGAAGTGGTCCTGTGGGGAGTTCGCAATGTGTAAACGTGCATGAGTCAGAGTCACCATGGCAACCGTATCACTAATGACAAATAAATAACACAGGAGGAGGTGAAATGTTTTGCTGGTTCATCAGCACAGTCTCAAGTTCACGCCCGGGTTTGACTTTCATGCCTTGGTCCTTCGTCACGTGTCAGCTGATGCAAAGATCTCCAGTTTGTAGTTTTCTGGTCCCGTTCAGGTCCATAAACAGCTGAGTCCCAGTCCCTCGCAGCAGCAGGGACTAGAGGTGGTCATAGGCGGCTGCAGACGGAGGAGCGGTGCGGGAGGCCGAGCTGTAGTAATATGGTGAACCTGCGGGGGGAGACACACATGAAGAGGCTGTCAGAAGAGGAAAGTGGCGCTGGCGGTGGATCAGACGTTTCTTGATCCATATTATCTTCAGGTTTTTACAGCAGATGGTCTCAGGGTCTGAGCTGCTCTGTTTGTCCTGTGAGTAGATTCAGACTGAACTCATCTCATTTCTCGTATAAGGAATAAAGGGATCAGAGAACGGCAGGACTTTCATTTCTGTCCAGACTGTGCGACTCTGGAGAGGAGCAGACGAACCCAGATACCTCTGTATCTCTAAAGCTCCTTTCCTGATAAACAGCTGTCTCGCAGTAATTCAGAGTCCACTTTATCAGAGCAAAACTAGATTTTTGCTTGGATGATTCTCAGCAACCATATTAAAAAAACAATGTTGTTACCGTTGACTAAAAATGTGTTTTCGTATAAGTTATTGAAATGATGTATTGTCGCCTCGATGAAAGACATTTTTGATTTGTAATGGATCAAATCTGGTGAAATATACGTTAACTTTTAAAGAGTCTAAGAAGGGCTTGGACTGTGTTTTGTTTTTCTTGAATGATAAAATATAAAAGTCTGATGTTTCGATGAAGATGTGAAAGGATCATAATCACAGCTTTCAAATTATCTGTGTGATTTTCTGAAAATGCTGCAAGCAGAATTTTCTTGTTTCACAGCTGGATTTCTTTTTATTTGGCAGAACATGCAGGGAGGAATGAGAGAGAGAGAGGGGGCATTGGAAACAGCACACCGACCACAGCCACCACCACTACAACTAGGGCTTCAACTACAAGGTGAGAGAGTGGGAGTCACAGGTGCAGAGGGTTTGCAACAAATGTAGTTTCTGACAGAGACAATCGAAGAAGCCTCAAAACTCAACACAGTATGAGCTTCAGCAGTGTTGAAGGACTAGCTGGGTGAGAAGATTACAGGTACTGGTGTTATTTTCAGCACCTGTTACGAATGCCAATAGAAAAGAGTTCATGTTTTGAGTTTACTGTGAATAAAAATATTAAAACTAATGTGATTTTTAACATCTAAAGAAAGCTGGTGTGAAGATTTTAATGTTAAAGAAATTGTAAAATTTAATGTTAAATTAATCGGCAGATAGGCTGATGAGAGGACTGTTGCCATAGCAATGCAACAAACTATCAAATCTTTTTTTCAGCTCATAACGTCGACCTTTTAAGTCTTAAAGGGATATTCTGGCGTAAAATTAATTTAGGGTCAAACACACCATAACACCGAGTTAGACACCCCCTCGAGAGATGAATGTTGCCGACCACTTGCTTCTCTAGTTATAGATAGATCATAAATGTTCTTCCTTGAGCTGCATAACCCTGCTGTCGTCCATAATGGACTGGCCCGAGGTCTCGCTATAAACAAGCGGCTGCTGGAAGAGAGTTGGTGAGTTGTGTTTAATCTCTTTGCGAAAGAAATTAGGGAAAGTTAAAAAGATGTTTGGTGGCTAATGCTGTGGCTAGGACCCTATATGTACTGTTGATGAAGTTAGGTGCTGTTCCGAGCATTATTTGTGGCTATAGAGCAGCGTTTTGGTTGAGGCTTGTTTATGGCTCCTCGGACCGCTGTGTATTGCTATCCTGCGATCATTACTAAAGTTGGTATAACTAGAGAAGTGAGCAGTTGGCAACATTCATCTCTTGAGGGGGTGTCTAACTCGGTGTTGCAGTGTGACCCTAAATTAATTTTACATCGGAATATCCCTTTAAGTTGGTAGCTTGGTAATGGCTTGGTAACTCTTCTTCATGGTCTTTATTATGACCACCCTGCTGGGATTCTGTTTAGCAAAACTACCTGCTCACTATACAGTACCCCTCACTTAAAAGCTGCATTAGCAGACATGTGACCAAAGCCAATTTGCATGCTGCTTCCTGGTGAGTTTCCCTTCTTGAATCAATCATGCTTGTCAAACAAATTGTCTCATACTGGACAAGAGACAAAATATTAGGGAGAAGAAATGTGTAGGGGGTTGTAAAACAACAACATTAGCGCAGTGTTTTCTTGCTCACCCAGTATAGAGGAGTTGGTGAACCTCCAGGCGTCGCTGTAGGTGGTATACGGCGAGTGGCTGTAGGTCTGACCCGAGTACTCTGCACCTGCTGCACAAGAGAGAGAGAAAACTTCATCAAACACTGACAACAACAACAACGACAACAACGCAAGAAACATTTGTTATTAAAACGCAAAGCCAACTCAGCGCCGGCAGCTCTTTGTGTGTGTCTGTGCTCGGCTTTAGCTCATAATTCACCAACAGTTAGTGCAGCCTGTAAACCATTAATCTGTGGTGCAGGTGGATGTCTGAGGGTAAAATCCCTCGGCTCAGTGGTGCGTGCATGAAGCCAGCCTCTACGCCCTCTCTCTCCTCTTAGTTCTGCCCTCTCAAATACCCTCCTCCTCTTCCTCCTTCTCCTCCTCCTCTTCTCTCCGTCCATATTCCACTTCCTGCTTTTGCCTCTCTGGCACTCCTTTTTTTTCTTTTTTTCCTTTTTTTTAACATTCCAATATCTAATTGGTAATTATGCCGGCTGGAATGAATCCCCAAGCTCCCTCCTCCTCCTCCTCCTCCTCCTTCTGTCCTGAACCCCCCCCCCCCCCTCAGTCAGTAATTGTGTAGCAACTCTTCCTCACAGCGAGCCCACCAGAAAAATAATAAATCAGACCCTCTCATTTCGCGCTTCGGAGGGCAGACTTCAAATAAAAAAGGCACATCACACACACACACATACACACACACACACACACACACACACACACACACACACACACACACACTCTCTCTCTCTCTCCCTGGTCGTATGCAGGCATCCTGATATCGCACACACACACACACTCAGATACACACAAAACCTCCTCCTCTTCACTCATACCCAGACTTTAACCCCCCCCTCCCTCTGCTCTCTGCCCACCCTGCATCTCCCTCCTGGGCCCCCTGGTTCCCATGGCGATGTGTGGTCAGAGGTGTCTGGGTGGGGGGTGTGGGCAGCAGGGCGGAACCCCCAGCCTGCTCCCCGTACCCCCTGGGCCCATGTGCACCCGCACACACGCACACACACACACACACACCTACACACACAGCGCCCTGGCAGAACTAGTCATTGACTCAGCCTGATTTTCTGTTAATCTACAAACCCTCGCCCCTGCCTCCTTTCCCCTTCATCCTTTCCTTCCTCCCTCATCCTCTTTAGCGTCCTTTCTTCTGTCTGACTCAGACGGTCCCGCCCCTTTTTTAAAAAGTGACCTACTTTAATCCTTTACTTGTCCTCTGAATAAAACAAGCTTAAAACCGCTCTCTTACCTGCTACCATGCCTGTGATGGCCGAGGAGGTGTATCCGGTCTGGGCGGGGGAGGGGATGTGAGGCGGGTAACCTGGCAGAGTGGAGCTAACCATGTCACGCCCTGAAAAAACACACATAAATGCGCAACTTGAACATCAACTTCAATCACTGTTTTGTTTGGTTACAGCCTGGAGGCTCAAATACAAGGAAAAGCTAAAAGGACGGATTGTTTGGTTTATGTACGAACATCTAAAAACTGATAGTCAGTGAAGGCACCATTTGACGGTAGGAATGCAAGAATTTGATTGGTTGGAAATGCTGACTGCTTTGGAGATCTAAATAGTTGTGTTTTGTAAGGAATATTCTAGCATTTTTAAAAACAGAATTGATGGATAAATTGATTGAAAACTGGTCAAATGAAAGGCAGAGTGATCAATGGCATTAAAAAACATGAAGATGGGATGGATCCCTGCGTTACCTGAGATGATAGGCTGGCTGCTGAACTGCCCGTACACAGGTGCATGATGGGAAAATGAGTTGAAGGCATTGGGGAAATGGTTGGCGTTGCCGCAACTGTTGCTGCTGCTGACAGAAACGGGCTTCTGCAGAGCCTGCAGCTCCACAAACGCCAGGTTGGAAGCTGCCATGTTTGGGGAGGGGCTTGTGCTCGTCACTTCCGGGGACATTTCCTGTTTCAAACAGAGCGGCAGCGACTGGAGGGGCTCTGAGGTGACAACGGCGAGCGGGGATGAGAGCAGGCGGGTGAGAAAATGGAAATGGTGAGCATGAGCTGAACTACGGTGGAAAAAAAAACGATGAAAACAAACAGAACGTGAGCGGTTTCAAGATGCATGTGGGTCAAAGTTTCTCACCGGTGACCATCGTGTAGCTCTGGTGTGCCGCCAGGTTCCGGCCAATGGCAGACGAGGATGTTGAGAGACTGGTCTTGGCTTCTTCTAGGCTGCCATTGATGAGGGATAGTGGGTACAAAGTCTGCAGATGAAAAACAGAGATTAGCTATTGTTGAGAGGGAGGAAAATGTCGCATGTGCAGGTCGAGGTGCAAGGCTCCGAACACTGAGACTGAAAATAATCCACAGGTAGACTTGGATCTAACCTGTTCTGTTTTGCTGCTTGACGTGGCGCCGAATGAGTCCGTTGGATAGTGGTGACGATCGAACCCACAGTCCAGATGTTGGGTGGCTGCTGAGAAGTGATCCACCCTCATCTGTTTTCTTGGGACGCCCCCGCTGCCCTGAGAGTCCACACTGTGCCTACAGCTCTCCTGGTCACCTAGAAGAGAAGAAGTTTGAGCCTCACAAGACTATAGAGCATTTCACTTACACTGATAGAACATTAGGAATACTGAATTTCTCAGTTTCTCAAGCTGGTTGTTAAAAAGATCTCATTCTTACTGTCGTCATGGCTCCTCTTGCCCTCAGCGGTGGGTTGGGGGATACCTAACAAGCCACTGATGGAGTAGGTGGAGCCCAAAGAGTCTGAGTGTGGAGACTCAGGAGGAGTGACAGCCGAACTGGGGACTGACACACACACAGACAGAGAGAAAACACAGACAGATTTCAGACAGAGCGGAAATGATCCCGTCAACATCCCACTGTAGTCTTGTTACCCCAACGCCATGCACTTAATCCCACACAACGACGAGCATGCCCTTTAATCTTTAACCTTAATCCCTGACCGTCATGTGGTCAGACTGTGATATGTGTTTGTGTGTTTGTAAATGGTCAAGACTCACTCAAGGTTTGTCCAGGACTCAGGCCTTTGCCATCCAGAGGGAGGTTGAACGGCTGCTGGACTTTGGTTCGAATTATTCTGAAACAGGAGGAATATATTAATTATAATTTTTACTAGTTGTTTGGTGAGAAATGTTGCACCAAATCCAATTTTTTCTGACACTGAAGTCGTTCAATATCCACATCCTGCCTCTCCACAGAAGCCCATTTGTACCTCTGACTGGATTTCATTCATAATTCAGTTTGTCACCTGTTAATGGAGCTCACGCTGGGCACCGTGTCGCTGTCACACACTCCCTCCGCCAGCAGCCTGTCTCTGATCTCCCAGGCGAACATGGTGGGATTTTGCCTTTTGTACTCTGCGATTTTATCCACAACCTTCGGGGTGGCCACCTTGGGTTTGGAGCCGCCGATCACGCCGGGTTTGATGCTTCCTGTCTCGTAGTAACTGAACGAAAAAAAATCAAGTTTTTAGTTGTGGTTTCGAAGGCAAATAGGCTGCAAGAGGTCAAAGTTAAGTCAAGTACTGCTCACCGTCCCAGGATCTTGCTGACGCAGCCGTGGCTGACTCGGAGCTGCCGTGAGATGTCACAAGGCCGAACCCCTTGGTGGGCCATGTCCACGATGCGTTGCCGGATCACCTCCGGAAGCGGGCGGCCATTAACAAACATTCCACCTAGTTGGTTAAGACCCCCATGACCTGGGGGGGGAGGGGGGATGAACACTTATAAATGTCATGAACAACGGACAGTTAGACCGATGCCAGCTGCTACATTTCCGGCCGGGGACAATGGAAATAAAAAATAGACAAGATACCAAGACAGGTTTCATAAAATAAACTTACTTTGGATTAAATACGCTGATACTCAAACACTGTTTAAACTATACAACTGCACTTATAGTTAAATATCTACATTAAACAAGCAGAAACCAGGACAGAAAATTACTTAAGCCTGTATGTGGCATCAACTGGGATCCAAAATAAAGTTTTAGGATCTTGGACGGTAACACTAGATAAAGTTCAAAATAATTATTTGTAAAATGTCTCATTACTTTCACTGACATTTAAGAAAAGTGTCATATATTTAGGGTCCAAACTTATCTGTGCTTTCACATTAAAAAGATAAATACTGTATACTGTTTTATATGCACCTGTAACAACTCCAATATATATATAATTATATATAAAATTATAGTCTGATTCCTGCTCTCTCAGTTCTCATATGTAGGACACATATTTGCTACTTTTTTGCTACGACACTATTGTGTCACGTCTCTCTTTGTGCTTCAGTGAGGAGTCCTTTTTATGCTAGGACATCAAAAGTAAACATATTTACAAGAGACATATTTGAAGGCACTGTTGTTTACCAAATGAAAAATTTAACCTCCATTACATTGATTTTTTTTCCTTTTTTCAGTCTCTTCTTGACAGTTTTTCTTTTCCATTTATGCTGCTTACTTTGTTTGCCTGCTGTGTCTTTCTGTATATTTAATTCTGTTATGATATGTTCTGTTCAGATATGTTCCTGGTTTTATTTCAGTGTACTCTGTGTATTTCCCCCGGTGATTCTGTTTCAGTTTTCAGTTTGTGTTTGACCCTGTTTCTCTCCTGTTCTCTGTGTTTTATTCTTTAGATCAGTTTTCAGTGTTTTCTGTTTTATTTTGTAGTATATTCCTCATGTTTCTAGTCTTGTTTTACTTCCCTAGTTTTCCCTCCTTTGTTAATCACCCATGATGAGTTTCACCTGTGTCTCGTTAGCCTCACCTGTTGCTCGTTTCCCTGTGTGTATATAGTCTCTGTCTTCCCCTCTGTCCTGGTTGGTTCATTTTATGTATGTTTGCCAATGTGTGTGCACGCTTGTGTCCCCTGTGGTTTTTGTTTTTTTTTGGATTTTGATTCATCAATCAAATCAAATTTTATTTATATAGCGCCAATTCACAACAGTCATCATCCCAAGACCCCAAGAACGTTTTTCTTCACAGGTGGGATTTTTCTAAAATAGCTTGCCTCTGGTGGTTCGTTCCCTCATGTATTACTGCTTTTCCCTGCATGTTTAACACTTTAATACTTCACAAGTGCTTCTTGTCCTTTTTTTTTTTTTTTTTTTTAAATCTTGTTCTTTTAAATAATTTTTTTTTTCTGCATTTGGGTCCTTTCCCTTATGTTTTTACTCTGGCACATGACTGATTCATTGTATAACATTAAACTGTCTCCACAAACTTCTTATGTGACAAAAAGATGGAGAAGATACTTTCCCATCACACAATAGGCCCACTGCTGTAGGACATGCAACACTCATGCCAATGCTCACAATTTAACCTTAAATAATTACGATACACAGACTACGTAAATACACTAGGTTATCGTATGCTTTAGTGTGTGCAGAGGATCTGTCAAATTCTGGTCACTCCAAAAAAACGTCAAAAGCCAAAAAACAGGGTCAACCCCACGACAGACGCAGGGCTCGCGCCTCCTCCATGTTCTCCATAGACTGCACGGTGGTGACTCTGCAAGAACACCATCGCTTTTAATGTAACCCATTGAGACGCTTCTCTCTTTCAGCCTTTTCCCAGCTTTCATTTCCACATCAAACAAGCCGGACTAGGCCGAGAGAGGGAGAGGGAGAGGGGAGGAGAGCGGGAGAGGAGAGAGAGGAGGAGGAGGAGGGGGGAGCCTCTATTAACGCTGCCAGCGGAGTGTGGAAAAAAATCTCCCCGCCAAGCTTCATCAACCTGCAGGATATTAAAGCGGAGCAGAGCCGAGGGGGGCGGCGAGCGAGCGAGCGCACCATGCACGTGCACGCGGACGGTATGTGGACACCGCGAGAACAAGAACAACAAAGCGTGAGTTTACGAAGCAACTTCACAGAGATAGAGTAAATTAAAAAAGAAGAAAGTATTTTGACAGAAATAACCCCCTTGATATTTCAAAAAATATTATTTGGCTGAATTTAACAGATTCAAACCAACACAACTTTATTTACAACTATTGATACAAGAATTTCAAATAGTCCACAGACTTTCTGAACTTTAACAGTGACCAAACAACGAGTGGAAATCACAGAGAGAAAGAGAGTTTCCCCTCTTTATTTGGCAAGTGAGTCCAAAGTAGAGTTTTCATCTGGTTAATTGTGAATTGAAGGCCTGGTGACTTTTTGTCCTCATATCTCCAACTGCTGTTTGGTCACCTCTTGACTTTCAATATTAATATATATATATATATATATATATATATATATATATATATATATATATATATATATATATATAGTATGACTACAGCCTACTAAAAATTTATGTCCTACATTTTTCCATCCTTGTTAAATTTTGACAAACTTATGTTAAATTTGTTGCTGCCTGAGGGTGACTAAGAACTTGTCGAAGAGGGTTGCAAAATATCAAATAATTCAAGCTACATTTTTTCAAATGTGGACAAAACTCTAAATACTACAGTGACGGAAATGAGAGGCTGATCACTTCATATAGGGTAGAAATATGGCAGATATACTTGATAATGTTATTAATTAAAGTTTTAGATACTTTGTGTTACAACAACACTACACAGCACTGTTTCATCACTTTGAATTTATTTTACAACTATTTTATGAAAGCTGTTTGAAATAATCTAGCGTATACCTAGGGTCAGTTGTTAGCAATATTACAGATGATGGTATAGGATGCAGAGGTGATAATTCAGTGTATAGCACTAACATACTAAACTGTAAATGAAGTGAGAATGAGATTTTGGAGTCTATTTTAAAAGACTGTCTTATGCATAAATCTGTAAAAATGGTTGAATTTTTCATCAGAACATTTTGATCTGCATTGGATTTACTACTCTGTTACAACCAACATAGCACTATCATAGCAATACATCTCAAACCATTCTTTTTGTTTGTTTAGAAAAAATATAACGCAATTTTTGAAGGTCAAAATATGAAAACAGATTTTGAGAATCAATTCAGGATCAGGTGACAGACTGATTTGATATTTTCTTTCATTCCTACAGAAAACAATAAGATGTAAATGTACAAACTGCTTTTTGTCTCTATATATATGAAGAAAAAATTATATATACTTTTTTTTCTTTGACTCACATCACAAAAAATAAGGGGGGTTTGATGGGTGGACGTTTCCTGCCGAAAACAGTGTTGTGTATTTACCTCTCCCACTGTTGCTGGACATTTCCCTGAGTTTGTGCTCTCTGCTCCACCAGCTGAACGTGACGTTCTCCTCCACGGTGTCCCACTTTAAAGTGTTTTTACTCCCCAGCCTGCCTCGTCTGGCATGAGTGTGCTCCTGAACGCACCGTCGAGCACACGCTGCAGGACAACACAGAGGTTCATGAAAGTGGCTGTTTGTCATGTGTGACGCCTGAGAGCTGGTACAGAACAAACGCTCAGCTGGTGTTCACGGTGGCTCTCTGCAGGGAAACACAGCTGAATAATGACTTCAGATCACTTATGTCTGCCTTTTAAAGCTGTTTACTAACCTAACTTCATACAGAACAAACCTATGCTCATGTATTTACCGAAAACTACTATATGAAACTGAATGACCGCTATTTTTAATATAAGAGCTCCCCTCTCTGTGCGGCTTATACCCAGAAGGCTGCTGCTCCTGTTCCAAGTAAATGTCTCCTTTATTAACTGCTTAGTGATAAAGATTGACTGGCCTCATTAATCATCTTGGACAGAGTTTTATTTTTAGTCTCAAGAATAAAAACTAAAATTATATGAAAAGACATTAAACACCACGGACACAAGCCAATCTAACAAATGATCAGGGACTCAACTCAGTGAATACTTGAGAAAACTGTTTCTCTATGTTGGGTTTCTCCTCTCAGTGAGTCTTTACAGACATGATGTAACATTTTTTATATATAATCAATCAAACTGACAATTTTTTCAGGAGAGTTTGATGTTTAACTTGATAAAGGTGACGCAAAACCCCAGTAAAAAAAAATTCACAAAAATGATCAGTTCAACTGTAGCCTATATAAATTTGATAACCTGCTGAGTGGAGTCGTCAATATGAACCCAATATTCACCAGATTGTCACAGTCTGTTACACGCCTGTTTTGACAGCTGAAGTGACTGTTTTAGGTGTTAAGTTTTAATAACATCCACACTGTTGCCCACTGTTCACAGTCAGCTTTCATTAGCTTTTGTCTTCTTCACTGACATCTATGTATGTTGGAAAATGTAGACAGATGTTACCATGCCATTTTTTAAATTTAACTTTGCAAGATTTATCACAATAAAAGCACCCAGAATATTTTTTTAAAACAGTTGTTAAAAATAAAAGCATGTCATGAGAATTAATTTGATGAAATGGGAATTTTAAAAGAGCAGATGACACAATTCACCTCATGGTTTAAATCTATAAGAGTTGTAACGTTTTGTCTGCAATTATTAAACCATTAAAGACTGAATCTGTTGATTTATAAGGAGCAGAATACAGGAAAGACAACACATTATTTCACACATCCTTAGCATCTGAATTGATTAAAGTTAATACAAAGTTTAAAGGCCTATAAATTGTATAACACATGGTCCTCACTGGGATACCCTTTTCTGCAGAAATACACACCTAACTTTACTTTTATTTCCAGCTTATTTTGCATCGTTCGGTCTATTTTGGATCCTTTTGCAAGATCTTCTAATGGTGAATAATTTCAGTTCAGTCAGAGTCAAAGTTTACACTCACTTTGCCTAGAAATCTTTTTATTTTTAATTTTTAGAAGCATTTTTTTTTGTTATTAAGAGATTTTGACTTTTTTTGGTGATCATTTTTATCTGTTATACTTAAAATATTTTTAAAAAATAAAAGAGGCCTTTAAATTTTCTATTAGCATCCAGCTTTTCTTACAGCTTCCAATGAGATTGAAGCTGTTTCCTCTATAGGAAGTGAAGCTGTTAAATGTTATTAGAAAACATGTCACTTTTCAAAAAATAGGCTGTTTAGCTGTTTTGACTGTAAGCTAACTCTGTCTGCTCATCACTGCTTCTGAGAAACTTTTACCAAAACCACAACCTGGCTCACATCTCTGCACCCTCGTTCTGACCAACAGGACAATTCTGACTATTTTGTGGCACCAAAATAAGTCAAAATTTCATCCAAATGAGTTTTTTGGGGGGCTAATTTCAGTCCCCCCGCTTGGATGCTGCAGAAATCACCGCGAAGAGGTCACTCTGGCTTCTGAAACAATGATAGAAAATAAAACACAGCTTACCTTTCAGCGAAGCAGCTCAAAAAGAAAAAGCCTGTCCCAGTAGATGTGGTGATATTATCCAAATGACGGCTCACTCCGGCGGTGTGAGACACTGTGTGTGTGTTCGGAGAGGCAGGGGCTGCTGTGTGATGCTCTGTGTTGTGTTGACTTGGGTTGTGTGTGTGCACCGAAAACACTCAGCCAGGTTTTATCCAACCGGGGCTGCGCAGAGGACGGAGCCCTGCAGCCATTGGAGGAGGAGGGGAGGAGAGTGCGAGAGGGGGGCGTGGTCTTAAAGTCACACAGGAGAAGGGGGGGGAGAGATAGACACGGGTACAACCCTGCTTTAGTTAGACTCCGTGTGTGTGTGTGTGTTTGAGTGTGTGAACATCACTGCAAACACAAAATATAGTACCTCTTCTGAATATCGACGCAGTCCTGTTTTAACGCCGAGTTTACACACAATTTAGTGCGTGATTGGAGTGAGTGCGTGACTGACAGGTAGACCACACACCTGACGGTCCGAAAAACAGCACTGACTTCAGGTGTTTATCAGAAATATGCATTAAAATTTCAAAATAAAAGGCAAAAACTCGAGTTGGTAAAGCTGGTTCCTATTTAAAAGCTCTCTACAAGTACTTAAATGTCATTTCTTAATGGGATACTGTTATTAAGATCTGTTATTGCTTTACATTCAAGAAGAAAACGGTCTTATTTTTTTGCCCCTTTTTAAAAAGGACCCTATACAGATTTTATTTCTCATCCTCGTTTGAGTCTAACTCCAAATAAAACATCTGAAATGGTCAAGTCACTGCTTCCTCTGGTCCTGAGTGCTCCAGAGAGACGTCCTCTTAAAAATAATCTCATCAATTCAATTTATTTGAGAAGAAATGTCCCTGCTATTCTTATAATAACATAAAATAATTTAGATTATTATATTTTGGGGCTTTTCTTGCTATTTTTCATAATGATGTTGAAGCTTTTTAATGATATTGAGCCATTTAATCAACTTTGGAATAAATAAGAATGTTAAAATGATCCATCCTCCCCTCTTCGCCTCCAGCTTTTACTCACCCAGTTAGAAAGTGCTTTAACTTGGGAGTATGTTTCTAAAATGGGACATCTTAATGCTATGAATGTGATGTGTATATACGCCGCTGACTGACTTTCTTGCACGCATGCTAACGACCTGCTCCAGCCTCTGGGTTGGTTGTGCGTAAATCGCGCCGGTGCTCGTTTACGCGTGATGTCACACCAGGGTGTCAGGGTGTCCCCCCTGAGTTACAGCGCGGTTAATGTTGTTCTCACGCGCCTGTAAAACAAACACAACACCTTTAATGACACACATTCATGGTACCATGTCGTCTGCTGATAGAAAAACAGCTTTATGGACCTTTTTTTCTTCCTTTTTATTTTAAGGGGGGATTGTTTTTTTAGCTGTTTGCAAGAGAGAAAATGAGACAAATCCAGAGTAGGTTTTTGTCGTTTGGGGAAATTGTCAATCGGTGGAATTAATTAATAGTTTTAAAGGAATTAATTGAGTTTAAATGAGAGGTTTAAAGCAGGAAAATGGATCCAAGACGCGCGTAAACTCAACCTCACTTCTTATCTCACCGGTTTGTGATTGAAGTCCTTCATCCCCCGTCTTTAGAAAGCTCCAGGACAAAGGAGGTGTCTGTTTTTAAATAAATACAACAGCCAGGAGACTAAAGGGAATCATAACAGGAGCTGGAAACAGAGACAGGCTTCAGTAAAGCGACCAGAGCGCAGAGAAAATGACAAGTGCCTGCAGGGAGAAGAGGCAAGGAGAGGTTAAAGAGAGTTTAACAAGGGATTAAAAGTCACAGATTGGTATCTATCGCGATGATACCTTGAATTATAAGAGAGCTTAATTATATGGGTCCACTCGCCAAGGGGCATGGAAAACACACGCCCTCAATACACTTTCATAACGCAGACAGACGCACACGAAGACAATATCCCACTGAGGAGCTCTTTCTTCAGCTAAACGGGATAAATGACTTTATTCATCATTCAAGCTCTTTAAATTATTCGTTAAAATCTCATTTAATTTAATAATGACAGACTCAGAGAAATATGATAAATCATTGTTTAGATTCTACCAAGTTTGGAGTGCAAACTCAGACCGAAAAAGGGCGAGATAAAGAGGATAAAAAAGTTAAATTTATTCTTTTCTTTGGAATTTATAGCTTTGGTGATAATTTGAAACTATAAAGATGTGAAGAGATGAATAGGTCTGGTTGTCAAAAAGAGACCAATGAAAAATAGCATTAAAATTTACTCAAAGAAACTCCTGAACTATATGTCCAAATAAATAATGGTTTTGATATTTGTTTCATGTCAAGTTTTGCAAATATTTTAATCCCCTAAAGGCCAACAAAGACGTGGAGTAGGATACACCAGTATAAAACTAAATATGTAGCTGTTTTATAATTAATGCAAACTAAGAATTATAATTTAAAAACTAAAAAAATGATTAAAACTAACAAGAGCCAATAGGCCTATTTAAAACAGGAGACACAAACAGACACTTTATCCAAACTGAAGCCACTCCTAAACTCTTTATTTCACTGCCATATCCTGAAATCTGCTGCCTCATTATTTCTCTCACTGTTTAAATTTTAAGTAAACTGTTTACACTTAATTTACCCGAATAAAAACAATATATAACATTATTAAAGGTGTAAATATAACAGCCCAAGTTATAAGCTACATCACTGGAGATCTCCTTTTTAACTCATTTTTCTTTGATGGTACAAAGCTTTTGACTGAATTGAATTTCAAAATAAGTTAAATAATGTTTATTTCTGTTATCCTAGTGTCCGGGTGTGTCTTGTTGACGGGTGTTTCTCCGGATTTACTTCCCCAAAGTGAGCAGCGTGACCTGCGGCGACAGGTGCAACAAGAGGTGAGGGGAAAAGGTCACTTCCGACTGCACAGATAAGGAAACATGCAGATAGCTACAAATGCATATTTCTGAATATTTCAAAAGGAGCTGCTGTGGAGCTCTGCTGACATTTTCAAGGGTTGATTTTCCAAATTGAAAATCAGTTTCTCGACTCCCTGAAATCTCTCCAGCCTATAATTAGACTTTAAAGTAAACTGCGGCCAATACTCTGACATTTTCAGAGGGATTATTATGGGAAAAACAGCTTTGCAGCCAAAATAAGAAATATACTGCAGAATTAAAGGACAATGAGGCGAAAAGTAAAAAAAAAATCATGAAATAAATAAAGATTTTGCGTATATGTGCAGGAATAACAAAGTTTTATGCATTTTAGAGCTCCACACAATACGTGGACAATAAATTAAGTACAAATATGATCAAATTCACACGTCTCGCTGTCCAAGTCGCGGCGTACATGCGCGCTCCCGTGAATCCAGAGGCGCACAACCCCCGCGCGTGCACAGGCCCCCCACTTAATGACAACTTTTATAAATGTAGCCGAGCGAGCTGCGTGTCTTTGTGGGCAGCGAGTCGAGAGGAGCCAGATAATTAGGTCATAATAGCTGCAGAAACACCTCTTATTGATGATCCCATTAAGACCATGATTCCAGCAGCTCACACGTGCTAAAACATATATTTTTGTTAAGAGGGCCCCCAGACTGACACTCAAGTGAAAAATAATTACTTTTTCTTTTTCTTTTCTTTTTTGCAGCATCTAAAAAGAGTACATGTTATAATTTGATTTCAGTCTTTTTAGATGTATGTAAGCTTTACTCAAAGAAAGTCCTGTTCCTTTTTTATATATAGCTTGGGCCTACATATGCACCATTCTGACATCATGAAACCTTGGATTTCATCATGATATTGTTGTTTCTAATACACAAACAACACTCATTGATGGATTTCACAGCTTTGTTTTCTGCCATAGACATTGGTGAATGCTAAATGATTCTTACTCTCATTCCCAGGGTCTAAAAAGCACAAAACAAACATAGAAATAAGCTTAACTTACGCCATAGCATGTCCTGGTCTGTCATATCTCAGTGACTGGCTAATCGTTCTGATAGAGGCCCAAGAAAATAATCCTGCAATCACAAAAAAGTGTTGTTATCTTGACAGAAGTTATTCTGTTGTGATAAGAAAACTACTTTTGTTATTAACAAGAAAAGTTGTAATTACCAAGCAGCAATCTCCCGTGTTGAGAAAACTGCAGTTCTTCAAGTGTCCACTAGAGGCTCCTAGCAAAAGACGAGACGCTCCCATTAATTCCCTTGTTACAATAAAGTCTTTCCAGCAGAAATAAACATGTCAAATACTTTTTTATAAATGCTTATTTGCAAAATTAGGGGTACAGGCGATTTTACTGACACATAAGTACGATCTTTGTTTACCACGGGGAGCTAGAAGTGGGTCTGCCCTCTGCTTTTTTGTTTTTTTTACAGGTTGAACGAAAGTTAAGTTGAATCAGCGTCCTCAACAAGGTGATCTCTAATGCTGGACTTTAAAACACTTCTTTAGGTGATGTTCACTGGTGTCACATCCAAGTTTTATAAAGTATAATTTTTTCTTTATTTCTGGCTGAACACTATTGCTGCGTTCAAGTTACCTTGGAAGTCAGGGAAAAAAAGCAAAATTGAAGGCCTGAAACAAGATGGCTACATCTACAAAAGCTATTTTAGCGCTTGCCTTATGTTCGGACAAGGCAAGCACTAAGGCTGTTTCCGAAATGGATCCCTAACCCCTATACAGGCGACTATATGGGAGTTAGCGCCACTTTGAGGAGTGTCTGAAACCTGAGTTATCAATTCCAGTGCCCTATATAGATGACACAAAATTTCCCATAAAGCATTGCAAAATGTAGTGACCATCCAATGGTCACTCACCGGTGGTGGGCATCCCATCATGCATTGCGTCTTGCCATGTAGTGTCTGAAACCTACGGTAATTGAGCCCACTACATAGTGAACTATATAATGAAATCCCATATGGGGGTTAGGGGTTAGGAATTGAGTGATTCATTTCGGACACAGCCTAAAATAATTTTTGTAGATGTAGCCATCTTGTTTCAGGTAACTGAAACATTGGGAACTCAGGTGTGACGTCATTTTTAGCTCCAACTTCTGACTTCCGAGGTAGCTTGAACGCAGCATAACATTCAAATTTGATTGGAAAGATGAATTCCAGAT